CCTCATATATTATACAATAAACGTTTCTATCTTTAACTTAAAGTTTTTTTAATTTTTATTTGAAATTGAAGATTTTCTACTGATTGTGAACAGAAAAATAGACTCGTCTCAATGAAAAATTAAATCATTCTACTATTAAATGTTTCACTTCAAGCATAGAAAACTCATTTTTTTAAATACTTTTATCGCTTGTTACTATATATATATACTTTATTAAAAAAAAAAAAAAAATATATATATATATATATATACACATGTATATTACATCTATTATATCCATTACCAAATCTACCATATCTCTTAATCTACTTCTTCTATCCTTGTTATTAAGACGTGTCGAAATTTTTATTCTGATTCTAGGATATCCGGGAATTTCTGGACAACGCACGGGATGGTGCTATTTATTTCTCTCTAGGTTCGAATCTACAAACTCACCAGCTACCCGCCGGGCCTTTGACCGCATTGTGCAACGCCCTGGGTTCGCTCAAGCAAAGAGTTCTATTGAAACATGACGGGTACATGGCCATTCATCCGACCAACGTCAAATTTGTGAAGTGGGCGCCCCAGCAAGCGGTCCTCGGTAAGACTGCCTAAGGCTAAACTGACCACCTCTTTACCTCGTTCTCTTCGAAAGAAGCGGATCAACCGCCACAAAATATGCATTTACAAAGCGTTTCGATGAGAAGTATTTTATCTCAGAATTTCTTTGTGCATGCAAATAGGAAATCAATAAGATTACGCAAAAAAAAATAGATCGCGAGAATTTACCTCATACGATCTTATTTCAATTCTCTCCCTCTTTCTCTCTTTTTTTCTCTTTCTTTCTCTGCTATTATAACCTTACTTACTTACTTTTAATTTTAATAATAAATGTTCGAATTCGAGAAGCTATTTCTTCCTTTAGAAAAACTGTCAAAAAATGTCGACATGTCTTACTACAACTTTTTAATGATATACTGTTTAATACTTCATTAATAAAATAATAATAACATATATTTAAATAACATCACAATCAGATCTCATATTAACATTTAGAAAAAAATAAATTAAAAGTAATATTGATTTCTTATGTTTTTTTGATTATTTGTATATATAATAATTCATTATTGCAATATATAATATAATTAATAATAGCATAATTCAAAAACTTGATGTCCCAAAATATTAAGATACATCCTCTTTAATAATTCAAGAAAAAATTAACTTCTCAAACTAATTATAACATTTATTATTAAAATTAAAAAGAGGAATTGTGAACCCTATTCTATATTTTTTCTTACTATAAATACCTATACATTTAAACGCGTTATCGGATCAATATATCGTAAACATCATTAATCAATTCAGTCATCGTCGTTAATCGCAAACGATAATCATTTACTAACTTCACTGGAACTCTTCTAACATGAGCGAAATGCAAAATTCCAACTTAATTGTTCGATAACAATTTCGTAAGAGCCTCGTATATTGCCAAAGCGCTCAACTGCTCGTTCGCTATTATACCGCAAACGAGTTGGGAAACTTATACTTGGACCGTTAACGATTACATTCTTATTTCGTTAATATATACAACCTCCAGAATTCACAAATCGCGTGCTTCGTAAGTTCGTTAAATATAATTCAGCATAACAAAAAAAGGAATAATAACCATAACGTATAAACATTCGACAAAGTTAGCAAGTCGTTGACTTATTCTTCCATCTACAAAATATATTTTTCTCGATTAGATGCAATATTTAGATATAATCTTCTTCAAATGACGTCTTTAAATAATTCAAAATTAATTACAAAACTATATTCGACGATATTTTCGGTATCGTTTGACGCGAAGGACGAAACAAATTTCTCTGTATAGATCGGAAACACACAGGATTTCAATCAAACAAAGTCTCAGCGACAGGAACAACACAGCCGCGTTTCGAAATGATCATCAAAGCCATCTCTCTTCCTCTTCACCTCTCTTTCTCTCTCGCTTTCTCTCTCTTTCTCGATCGACCGATCGATCGATCGACCGATCAATTGATCGAGATCGCGTTACTCGGACGTTTGAATTCGACCAACGTTTGCCTTCTTCTCTCGCGGCACATCAAAGAGAGAAAAGTAACGTGAAATATAAGAAAGGCCGATGCATACGTCGATACCAGGACTCCCTTTCGCGCCTTTGGGAGAGCAAAACCCGCTATTTTTGTGGAAGCCGCTTAAAGGTAAGTATTGAAACAAACAAAAAAAAGAAAAATTGCCAGCAACATCGTTGCGACCAAGGAAAATACGGCCACGGGCTCGTATAGCGGAACGAAGCGAAACGATAACTCATGACGCATGCAGCGGTGAAATTCTCGCGGGAAATTCTGACAAACAACTCCTGTTGGCAGTAACGCAACGGGCTCGATGCAAATGCACAAGCGTGCACAAAGTTTTATACACATTGATAGACAGGCAATGGTTGCACCTCCACGAAGAACATATACTAATGTTGAAAAGTGCGTATTGCGTTAAGTGAAAAAAATGATTACATGGGAACGCAATTATATCGAAATATCGAAATTTTCGACATATGACATATACGACTTGATCTTTCGGTATATGCATACGTCCACGTTCGATGTATTGAATTTCTGCGATATTTTATTTTACATAATTATAAAGAAATTTTTTATTAATTTTAATAATATTTTTACTTAAATTTAAATGAATGATAAGATTTTATTTTTTAATTTTAAGGAACTTAATTATATGTGTTAGAAAACTCCATTTCTAAAAAGTTTTTAAAAAATGTTAAGATTTTTGTATATATGTGGAAAGAAAACGGAGTAAACAATTATATAACTATTGCACGCAAATTTCTCAAAGGTAAGAGGTAAAAATAAATTTTTCTGATTAAGAAGTGTATCGAATTATGTAAAAAAATCTCACTCCGGCATTCGCGAGTGTATAAAAAAGGTGCACATTGAGCAGAATTTTGTCGGAATTCCTCGCGCGTTGATACTCAAACGCGATCAATCGGCCATAAAAAGCGATGCAAAAAAAATACGACAATGCGAGCATTTTTATAAAATCTGGCGCCCTATCTCTCACGGTCGCCCGTGATTAACCGCTGCCGGGAAAAACTTTGTTTCACACCTCTCGTCATTCTTTTTCTTTTTTCCTCTTTTTGTTTTTTTTCATCGCGCGTGCATTTTTTATATACCGTCCCACGCGCAATTCACCTCACCGCTCGTAAATGTTCGGCGGCAAATAATCCGTGAAGCATCATTTTACGATACTTTATGCACTTACGCCGCTTTTATATCATATATATGTATACATATGTATGTATGCAGCGCATCCCAAAGTGATGGCGTACGTGATGCAAGGCGGATTGCAGTCGTTACAAGAGGCGGTACATTACTCCGTGCCGGTAGTCGCAATTCCCTTTTTCGGGGATCAACTTTTCAACGCACGTAAAATTCTAGACGCCGGTATTGGACTGACACTGGACATCGACACCATGACCGAGAGCTTCGTCGTACAAACGCTCCGAGAAGTCGTCGAAAATAAAACGTAAGTGCGACAATGGATCTAACACAGAACCGCCTTGACAATGTAATCCATCAAAAATTAATCCCCATAGGACTTTGCCAGGTTTCAATCGCTATTCTTAAACCATGAATGCATGCATTGTATGCATGTATCGTAGATATAAAAAGTTCTAAAAAGTAACTTACAGTCTGCGCGACTGTATTAAATTATTTCCTATATATATATGTAAGCTAACTATGTATAAACCCTAAATGGTTCAACTATGTGAAAATTATATGCGGTAACATAATTTTTAATATTATAGTTATAATTTTTAAAGTGTTATTTCAAAATATGCTTTTATATATAAATTCTGATTTTTTTTAAATATGATTCATATAAGTTCTATATTTTGTAAAAATTCTAATTACAGATATCTGGACAATATCAGAACAATGTCAGCAATTGTGCAAGACGAACTGATAAAGCCAATGAACAAAGCAGTGTGGAATATAGAGCACGTATTAAAATTTTCGAATTTGAGACATTTACGATATCATAGTCATGATATGTCATGGTTAGATTATTATGCACCATTTCTGTATCTGAGCGGAGGTCTCGCTCTTTCGTTATACGTAAGTTATATATTGATTATGAAAAATATTGGCATTTTCATTAAAATTAGATCGACAAGTTACTTGAAACGAAAGTTCGATTAATAACATTTTACGATAATAATAATTAATGGAATAAAAATTGATTATATCCAGACAATATATAAAAATTGATGTCATTTCATTATACAAAATTATTTTTATGTAATGCTTATAATAAAATATAATATATAATAGATAAATTTTACTGACATTAAATTATATTTTATAGTATTTTTATTTAACAATATTATATTTCTATCATTTAAAACTTCCTAAATGTAAAATACATATTCTCGAATGTTTCATAAAATTTTTTTATATTTATTTCATTATTTCATATTTATTATATATTAATTCTAATTAAAAATATATTCACATATCCCAATTAAATAAAATGAATGATAATAAGAGAAATAGATTAAATTTCTTAACAATTTTAAAAAATTTTTTCATTATTGACTACATTTAGATCAATAATAAATGAAATAAATGTACAAAATATCAATAAAGTTATTTACCGACCGAAGTTATTACGTATAGTCGATAATTCAGAAAGTCGGATATTTGTCATTATATTTATCATATAATTTTAGTTACCAATGATGGTAAAACAGAAATTTAACGTACAATTTTATGTGCAGATAAAACAGAATTATTTTATGATTTATTGACTTCAATCAATATATATCACCAAATAATATAATCAAATAAAAATTCAATATATATATATATATATATATATATATATATATATAGACTTCAATCAATATATATATATATAGACGAGTAATGACGCTATAATAGCCCTCAAATTAACATTGTAGCATAATATATATGAAAAATATTAAAATATTCACTTACTCCACCGCCAACCTGCAGTCCAATTTCGTGGTAATCCAATAAATCCTGACTTATAACTCCATCGAGCTGCGATTCTCTGACGATTCTCACACATAATACTCGCGATACGATTTTCACATCACACGCGGCCCGTACTTTGAATTTTACTCTTATTCGGACATTTTGTAGCTCTGAGCAAGTCTACAAAATGTTAGGAGCCGGTCCAAGACTCATCTCGGTGAAAATCCGATTAATTTCGACGACGACGTGGTCCAAACTCCGGACGACGATTCCCTCCAATTTTGACTAAAGTTATAGGCGATTTGAATCGTCAGCTACATCGCCCGACCAATCAGGACCGAGGAACCTTCGCGCCTCTATCCCGATTGGGTAACCAACGTGAACTTTGCCCCTCGCGTTCTGATTGGTTAACCGAAAGACCAGAAGCACTTGCGGCGTCTACTGTTGCGCCCTCTCGCTCGTCTGACTGTACTAGACTAATGTTAAAGACATTTTTATATCGATTTGGATATTATTTATATATAACGATATTATATAAGATATTTTAACTTAATTAAATGGCTAATATTGATATTGTGCACCATTAAATATTGATTATTCCATTTTCGAAATATTTATATGTATGTTACATGTGCATTTGTGATGAGATAATTTTGTACAGCTGCCTTTAGTATGCAATTATATGCATCAGATTTAGTCAGGTGTAGTGCAGGTAACCGAAAAGCAAGCAAATAAATGATTCTTATATTTTTAGTCACAATTTGTAATATTACGCTGTTATAAATTTATTACCTTTAATTGTAGAACAAGAGTAATGCATTGCAGTTTTGATTGCAACTGAAGAATCTCAGATAAATAAGTGCGATAAATATCTCTTCTTTTGCCTATGTGCTTGGACAATCTGCAACAAAGATTTTTATTCTTGATTTTGTTTGTAAAATGCAAACAAATATGATCTTATAAAACTTGACGCTGTGTATAATTGCCAAGTGTGTATGTAACTGCCAATTTCTTGAATTTTTTAATGAGAATATAACTGAGAATTCAATAATTTATACACAATGACTACATTAAGTGGCTTTATAGAATTTTTCCAAAAAGGAAAGGTAAAATCAATATATTTATTAATTAGATGATTAGATTTTAAGATAAGCTAATGTAAACTATTGATATTTTACAATTTAATTGCAGACATTTAGACCGAAGAAAAGATTTGCTCATGGAACATTACGGTATTCTTTACATAAACAAGCTCAAGCTTCCCTTAATTCTGGTATCAATTTAAGAGCTGTTGTAAGATTACCTTCTGGAGAAGATTTAAATGATTGGATTGCTGTTCATGGTATATAAAACATTTAATAATAGTATAAAGATTTGTTATTATATATATATATATATATATATATAAAAGTTATTAAAAACACTTCAAAATTGATTATTGTATATTACTTATATTATACTTGATTAAAAAATTATCTTAAGTGTTTCAATTAAATTTTCAAAAATCTCATTTACATATTGAAACAATGACAATAATTATTTGCTTTTTTTTTAGTTGTGGACTTTTCAATAGAATAAATCTTATATATGGTACTGTATCCGAGTATTGTGATTCAGCATCATGTCCAACTATGAGTGGTGGAGCACGTTTTGAATATTTATGGGCAGATGGAGAAAAATAAAAAAGCCAACAGCATTACCAGCACCACAATATGTTAGTCTTCTTATGGACTGGATTGAAACTCAAATTAATAATGAAACAGTTTTTCCAGTATCGACAGGTTATTACATCTATCTTTATTTATAACATTGTTTAACAAAATAAGCAATCTTATTTTGTTAGAACTTAAGAGAGATTTTTTTTGTTACAGATGTGCCATTTCCTAAAACATTTATACCATTATGCAGAAAAATCTTAACACGTCTCTTTAGAGTTTTTGTCCATGTATATATCCATCATTTTGATCGTATTGTAGCGATAGGAGCAGTAAGTATTTCTCAATCAAAATAATTTTAATATTTTACTATGTATAAATCTCTGACTAATTATTATTATTATTATTTTAGGAAGCACATGTGAATACATGTTACAAGCATTTTTATTACTTTGTAACAGAGTTTGAATTAATTAATTCTAAAGAGTTAGAGCCATTAGCTGAAATGACTGCCAAAGTTTGTAAAGATAGTGCTTCCCCTACTCAAAGCACAGTATCAGATAATCAACATAGATAATTATTTTATAGTTATTTGTCTAACACGAACAAGATTATACAATTTACAGTAAACTAACAGAATCTCCAAAAAAAATATATATATATATATATAAATTTATTACATGAAAATAGGATATAGCTTAATATTTTTTTCTCGAATTATACACCATTTTTATGAAAATAATTTACTTCATATAAAAATATTCTTAAAAAAATAGATTTTAAAAACATTAATCTGTTTTATTAGAGTAAATAATAATGTTCATTAATAAGAACTAATTCAGGAATAATTCAAGATCTAAATACTTATAATTATTATACTATTAACAATACATCACATTTTGTTCATTTTTATATTGTATCTTTTATATTATATCTCAATTAGATAAAATATAATAATGAGCAATATATATATACAGAGATTTTTATATCTCTACATGAAAAAATAATTTACATATTTAATTAAAAACAGAGTAGTCTTCAAAGAAGACTATCTTATATAAAATTTATATTCTATATGATATTTATAAATATATACAATCCACACACACATACACGCACAAGTTTTAACAGAAGATAGGCATAGATGCAAATAGTGATATTTTACAAAGTTTTCTTATATTTTGTTATTATTTTCAAAATTGATATATTAATATTAAACCTATATATATAATTTAGATCATTGTAACGTAAAGACAAATTCAAATATTTCTTTATTGAAATGTGTTTAATTTTCAAAAAGATATTTTGTTGAACTTCTATATTTCTAGTCGTAGTTTAATATTTTTTTGCTTCAAAATAAGAAGCTGTGTTAGATAATTATAATAGTATTTTAAAGTTAATTATTTACATTAATGGATAGGATTAATTTGTTGTTTAATTAATTTTTTTTTGTTTCTTATATAAATTGATGATTTTTATACAAATTTTATTTGAATCGGACAAGCAAATACATTTTTTCTTTTTTGTTAAATATAACAAATGAAATTTTTTATTATTTATGAAATTATTATTTTATTACAAGATAGAAAAATTGTAACACATTTAATAATTAACATATTTTAATTAATTGCTGACTTATATAAATCTCGTATTTAGATATATTACAAATGATATTTTTTAAGAACATATATACAATCCATATAAGAAAAATAGAATTAAACTTCCTATTATTCATTTATTATTATTATAAATCAAATATTTAATATTTTTGTTTGCAATATGATATTCGAAGAATTTCATGGGCAAGCAAGCATTGCCTCAAAAATTTTCCTATATATATGTGTTGCAAATTATTTTTTATATTAAAATTTATAATTTTAACTTCATTTTTATTTTGTTTATACAAATTTACATCAATATTTAAGACTAAAGATTTTAATGTAAAATGATAAAGTGTAAAAGAAAGAAAAAATGAAGGATAGAGAAGTTTATATTACATCTTCCTAGAATCTATAGAAGAATCTATCTCTCAAAAATATTATTTATGCCAAAACTTATTGTGCTAATAACAAATAATATTAAGTACCTTTTATATTATGTATTATATTAATAATTAAATAAAAATGTAAATATTTTGTAATTTTGAGACTTAATCCTCAAGTACAGACAAGTGATCTTTCAGACTTCACTATTCTAGTTTATTTGGATTAAACTTTCACTCTAATTTATTTGGTTAATTATATTTGAATAATATTAATCATATTTTTTATTCTGCTTTAGTTTTATATTTATAGAACTTGAGTGATATATAATAAATAATAGCAAATTAAATGTATGATATATTGCAAATAATTTTTGTACTGAAATTTATGTCTGTACTTAAGGTTTAAAGTTTATTTTAGCATATTTAAAATAATATACCTAAAATTATACATTGTAATACTGTTCATGTCACAAATACAGTCCAGAAAAGTACAAATAACTAATTGGAATATTCCATTTTCTTTATATTTATTGCTAAAACATTCATAACAACAATAATTATATGTATTATGTAAATAAAAAATATTACTAGTTATTTATTTTACTTATATACATCATTTTGGCAAATAAAAATTGTACTTTTATCAAAATTATATTTTTTATCTCCTATTAATTATACATTCATCTTGATATTTATTAATATCATAATATAATATAAATTATACAAATTTCAAATAAAATTAAAATTCAGTTTTTTCATGTATGCAATTTATCATATAATTACAAAATATATAATATTACAATATATATAATTTAAATATAATAAATTTAAAGTAAAAAAAATTATTTTATCTGTTATTAATTAAATGTTATGAATACATTAATATTTAATATTTAATTTTTTATAAAAACTGGTATATAATATCAGGAAATTATTCAAAATGTATTTTCAACCATTTATTTCAGCCAAGCAGTATACATCAACAAATATTTCCTTTGTGTGTGTGTAAATGCATGGCAAAATAAAGCTACAATCTTCATATAGAGAGAAAGTTACCATATTAACATTATTATTAAAAATTATACTTACAACACAATTAAATATTATCAATTTACATGGGTATTTTTCTCAGGTGGCAGACATATGTATATTGATGACATTGTTATTTTATTTCTAATTGATCTGCTAAGATTTATTTATTGACTTAAAGATGATTAAACTCTGAGCCAATACATAGCCCCACGAATATTATTATAATCTGGCAGATTTTCAACAGGGCCAACTGCTGCAATCACAGGACAGTGATCAAAAATATACTTCATACCAACATTTTGAATAGTTGCAGCAGTTACACTCTGAAAAGAAATTATATATAATTACATATTAATATATTATATGTATTCTGAAAAATGAGATTGTCTTATAAAATATTTTATAAGATATTCATTTTTTTATATTGCATTAATTTTTGATACATATACATATATAAGATAAAATATATTAAATTAGATAAAAAATGCATTAATAAAAATTCCTTTATAATAAAAAAGCTTTATATTATATATAATTGTGTGTCAAGCTACATACATCTATCCTCATCTCAAGTTCGTGAAGTGGAATACGGCGATTATAACATAATATTTGACGACCAATATCTTCACAAATGGCAGTTGTACCATCCAATTGTAAGAACATGTTGGTCTTAAGAATATTCTTTGCACGTGCTACATCTTTCTCAGTAACTGATGTGCATAATTTCATCCATTCGTTTTGAACTTGTGATGTCATTTCATCACACTGCATAGGATCACAAACAAATATATACCCCAAAGGCCTGTATCCTGCAAAATTTAAGAATAACATAGTGATTACGATTCAAATATTGATATAATCACATATTATATATTTGTTATTTTGTGTAAAACATGTATTAATATTCATTTAATATAATACCTTATAACATGTATTAAAACTCTGATAACTATGACATAAGCCATTTTCTGCACAAGCTTTAGCTAGACTGCTTGCGTTATTTACACCTCCTCCTTGGCTACGATCCCATGCTCCTATAAGGGTATTGGCAACCATAAGAGGAATGTTGTCTGCTTCAGCCCATCCAGCACCTTTTGCAACAATGTTCATTAATTACATTGCATAAATTGTAACTACTTTATTTGTGAATCATTTTGATTAAATATTTTCTAGATACCCTCAACAGCGATCGCAATATGGGCGAGAGGGATCGTATCATCTCGAACTCTTATTTCAGAACCAGTATAGCGGCAGGATTTAATATACTCTGGAATATCATCATAATCTGGTCCTGTTAATTGACCAAAATGCTTATTAGCAAGTTCGATTAACTGATTGTGATCTACACCACCAGCACCAGCTAGTACAAATCTAAAAAAAGCAACATTTTTATTTTATTGTGTGGAATTTCATATATCAGCTAAAAATTATTTAATAACAAAAATTTCACCTAGGTGGTCCATAATGAGTTTTCACATAGTTAACAAGATCGTTTCGTGAAATACTTTGGATATTTTTCGTAGGTCCCAATATCGTTCGTCCTAAGGATGTACCTTGATAGGCAGCTGCGTGCAAATGATCAAATACAACTTCTTGTAAATTTGTTTCAACTTCTTGCATTTCGCGTAAAATAACGCCACGTTCTCTTTCAATCTCTTTTTCACCCAGTTTGGAATTTTTAATAATATCACTGAGAATTTCAATAGCTTTTGGTACATCTTGTGATAAGCATTTTGCATAAAATACTGTTTGTTCTCGACTTGTATAAGCATTCAAATGAGCTCCCATATTCTCTATTTCCAATTCTAAATCAGTTTGAGAACGTTTGGCAGTACCCTATAAAAAATTATACCAGTATTAATAAGCAATAAAAATGAATGATTTATTAATTAAATATAAAGCTAAGTAAAATTAACTTATAAAAGATTTAAAATTGATTACATATACTGTAATTATATCAAGATACAAGTGTTCTGTTCCAATTATAGGCATTGCAGATTTATATTATATATTGCAGATTTTAAAAATCTATTACAAATTATATAGTTATCATTCCTCGTTAATGATGCTATTTAATATTTCAATATACCTTAAAAGCCATGTGTTCCATAAAATGAGCTACACCATTGTTTTCATCTGTTTCATATCGACTACCAGAATCTATCCAAAGACCAACAGTAGCTGTTGCAGCTCCACTATCTTCACTAGCAACTCTCATTCCACTATCCAAAGTTGTAACTCTGGTAGCTGGTTGATTGATAAGAGTTTCTTTCAGAGAAGCAGCAGTTGACCGCCATTGCTTCGGTACCTAGTTGACAAAGTCATTGACAACTTTTAAGTAACATAACACTTTAGTCAAAAATATAATAAGTGAGTTTATCAATAATATCCAGTTATCGTAACAAAATTAAATTTATAATTAAATAATAACTTTGTATATCTGAATTGCTAATATAATTACAAAGTATGACAGTAGGATCTCAAAATTTTATCAACATTATTTTTCTCATGTATTTTTAAATAATTAATAACAAAATATATATATATATACATATATTATTAAACGTTCTTTTTTATAATGTGCTTACAATATATTAAATCACACCTGTCAAAAAATATAACATCAATATTGCATTAATTAAGTTGAGGTTAGAAATATAAGTATATATTCGAATGCATATCGACCTTTTTTACTCTATTGCGTTTTGTCAAAAATAATTTAAACTGTCAAACAGTCACATTATTTTCACATATTAAATGTCCTAAAACTGTTATTTTATTATTATTACGTAAGGACCGACGAAAATGACAAATCTTGCAATTAGTCTAGTGAAATTACAAATAAATCGATTGTGAAGTTAAAACCGTCATCGTAATTACCACGATTGTATATCGTGAAATGTAATCGGTTTTCTTTACAAGGCTGGTTTTATTAGAATACGTGCGCAGTGCGCTACTAATTTTTAGTAGACGAGTAGCCATTTTTTCGAGCAATTTATCGAGTGAAGAAACCGACTAGCGAAACGCTGGAGCACACGACGGAAAAGCTAAAAGATCCGATGTGCCACGAGATGGCGTTGCACCTCGAAACTCGGTGCACAAAAAACGATGTAGAGCACCCGACAACAGTAAAATCTAGAGGTAATTAATAGTAACTAAATGTAGCTGACAGATGATTGGTTCTGGGCTCCTAGTGGAAAAATTGCGCATGCGCGTTGCTGATCTCAGATTTCTCGTGCTTGCCAGTTCTACATAGTTTTATATGATCGAAGCTGTCAAGGTACACGTAATGAGTTTCGACTCGTTCTTCGCAGAATCGCCATATTTTACGGATCGAACGGGAAGCTTCGATAACGCCATTGTGTGCATCGTGTTATTTTTCGACAGTTCGTTTGGGGCGTTTTTTAGTGGGACGCCGCGACTTTTTCGACTTCTGTCTTGTCGGGAGTCCGATATCACCCTGAAACAACGAATCGCCGCAACGGGTAACGTTTATTCATGAACGCTCCGAAATATTTCGTATTCAGTCTCTGATCGCGAATTTCCACGCGTCATGGCTTTGTCGAAAAATGCTTGCTTCGAATATTTGTTTTATTTTGAGACCCAGCGAAAGCGTTATTTATTTACGTTATTTAGGAAACCGGATAATGAATCGCGATTCATTGTAATCTGCTACTTTTCTTGCCCGTTTCTTTTTCCTCTGTTAAATGTCGCGTTGATGCGTTATAAAAGCGCATTGCTGTCATAATGCATACAAAAACTGCTGCATATAAAATCGATTTTTCTTTTTTTTCGGTACTATTTTGGAGTCGGACAAAAAAAAATCCGAATCTATTTCAAATCTTTGAAAGGTCAAATATTTATATATCTTACTAAATAAAATGTAAAATTACAATATTTATATATATTTTTGATTATAGAATTAATAACACACATAATGTGTGTGATATATATATTTTATTTACTTTCGTTAATTTTTATATCTTCCTAAAATACCTTTTAAAAATTAGAATATTTTTATAATAATATTTAAATAATCATGGATGAATATATATTAATATATATCTCGGAGTACATTTTACTTGTATATTTTGAATTGAATATTTATTAAAAAAACAAAGTTTTTTCATGCTGATTAGTTGATCAAACAATTTGAAACATTTATAACATTAAATAAAGAATATTAAAATTTAATTCTGATACACAGAAAATAAGGATGGAACAATCTTTATGTGTAATGTAAATATTAATTTACATGACATTGAAGTAGATATAAATAATTCTAAATAAACATACACACACACACACCACACACACACACACACACACACAATAATATATATATATATATATATATATATAGACATACATACATACATACATACATACATACATACATACATACAATATCCAAATAACATAATAAATAATTTGTATTTTTTTACATTTATAATATATTAGAAAAATATATATTTATATAATATAGAAAATAATATTGTAAAGAAAAATAAGAGAATTGATACTACATATAATTATTCTCTTAATATATTATGGAATATAACGTATTAATAAATATAAAGTTATTGACTACTATTTTATATTATTATTCAAAATATATTCTTATACAACTTATATATGTACATAAAATCACAATTTTTTAGAATTGAAAATGTACAATCATTTTTTTCTTTTTGCAGAAATTGAATAAATGTACAAACAGCATGTACAGCAATAATATGATCCTTGGGAGCCTGGCTATGGGCCAGAAAGGAGGAGTCATAATTCCGATTATGACTACCGCAATGACTATGGAAGCAACAGATCGCCAGAGTATTCGGAACACCGTGACGTCGACCATCGTGATAGGGATCATCGTAGTCCAGACTACAGAAATCATCGTGGAAGAGACAGGGATCGTGAAAGAGACCGTTCGAGGGATAGGAGAGATCGTAGCAGAGACGATCGTGATCGCAGCTATAGGGATCGCGAAGATCGTTATAGGCAAAGGGACAGGGATTCGGTAGAGCGGGACAGAGATAGAGATAGGGACAGAGACAGAGATAGAGATCGTTCAAGACGTGACAGGGATCGGGATAGAGATAGGGACCGTAGGGGAAAACGGGACGATCGGGATCGTGATCGCGATGATGATCATAGTCGGGAAAGTTTAGACTTTGAGCACGACCATGGTCGTGCCTATAGCTCGTCTATGGAGGGGATCCACTACAAATCACAATCGCCCAACAACACCATAATGATACGTGGGCTCGCTCAACATATAACTGAAAATGACGTAGGTTGTCAACTTTGTGGCTTAACTTATAGTGGCCACTCGATGAGCCAGCATTATAGAGCATGGCATCACTATTATTATGATGTGTGTATCACAGGTGCGGCAAGACATCCTCAATTGTGGTCTAATGCCTAAGGACATCAGGCTGATTCGAAAAAAAGATACAGGTAACTATTGCATTATTAACAGTTTTAATACATCTTTATGATGTAATTCAATCCTGCATATAAACAGTCTTAGACAGTTGTAATATTATTGCGTACTATGAGATTTATACAATCATTATTTCTTACAAAATTTTATAAACAGAACGTGCAAGAAATTATTTCGGAATTTTATACAATATATAAGTAGATACAGTAAAAATTATATATAAAGTTAATGAGAGAGAGAGAGAGAGAGAGAGAATTTCTTGCAAATGACTATTTATTTAATTTTAAGAATTTTTGTTTGTATTATTCTAGTACCAATCATATATCTCAAAATTTTATTAATTTGACTATTCTTAAAAGGTAAGTTTATAAAAAAAAAATTCATGAGATTTTAAGAACAATAAAACATTAGATTATTTGCAAAAACAATCAGAGATAATTCAATGAAAGCTTCAGAGTGTGCATATAATATTAGATTATATCTACCAACCACAAAAAATCATGTTTTTTATACATTTTAATGGCAAATTCTTAACTTACAAGTAGGATAATTTAGCTTGTAGTTATAATTATAGGGATACATAATAATTCTTCAATTAGAGTACCGTTGTGTGTTTACTTTCAGACATTACATCTATAAGATATTATTTTAATAGTAATACAACTATTCTTTTATTTAGTGAAGACTCACAAAGAAAGGAGAAAATAAGTACTTCAAAAAATAAAAATTACATTTTTGTAAAAAAATGTATATTTTATTTATAGGTTTTCTCATTACATATTTTTCTTATTCTTTTTTTAACTTTAATACTTTATATTTCAAATAGAAGGAAAATCATCTCTTGTATTGCTATTAAAACAATGTCTTTTATTAAGCTTCAGTTTGATCTACTTACTACTATTATTATTATTACTACTACAGATTACGATATATAAAGACGATTAATATACATTCGGGTTCGCGTTTTTTTTTATTATATCAGCATAATTTTGTTCGCAAAAATTTCTACATCGTTCTCCTCCGTGATAGAAGGATAAAAGAAAAAAAAAGCCAAGAGAGAAATTTTGCCTTAGCTAGGTTTGCGTTTGAAAAAAAGATTTCCCGTAACGTTAAATTAAATCTAAACCGATTGACGTGATATATAAATCGATGAACTGCGGTCTCTCGCACGGAATTCGTTCTGCTGAGATTTAGGTAATATGGAAAATGAAAGCGAGAGCGACGAAGCGAAGAGACACAAACTTCGTTTGAAAGTCTCGGTCTATCACAATGGTTGGTGCTGTGATTGCCTGCCCTCTCAGAGTAGAGACCCCCAGGCAAAAACGTGGATTAACTCTGGATCTGTGTGTATTTCCTCTGTATAGGTGCTTCGCGAGGTTTTGCATTCGTCGAGTTTAACGCGACTCAGGAGGCCGCACGGTGGATGGAGATGAAACAGGTAGAACGAAGTTCGGTCCAGATACCCAACTGATGCGTTGTCAGACGCGTGCCACCGACTGCCCCGTGGCGGCAAGGCACGGTAACGCAGCCCTCTGGCCCTGCCCCGTGGCCACGGCTGTGCACCTGTTAAGCTAACTCTATCGTATCTAATTATTTATCTAGGAATCCCTCACATATTTTGCAGACTTTTTCTTAACTCGCTCGCAATATTAATTCGCGCGCAGATATTAAGTTCACTCAGAGATATATATATACCTATTTTTCGCCGCGTCGCGTGCTTTTTACTTGTCCTTTATCATTTAAAAAAAAAAAAGTTCGTCAAATAACGATGAAGATCGGGAAAAAAGGGTCATTCCAGTCGTCTTTTATACATATCGCGTCTTTTTGATTGTATATTCGGGCATGCGTCGGATATTTATAATTTTTCAAGCCATGATTTGATTATGCTAATTCGCGTCATCCGCTTTTCCGTCATATTACTTGGTATCTTTGCTTCTTCCTCCCGTTTCGCTTGAATCTTGATGCGATTGTTGATTAATGACGTTCTCGAAGTATTTATATATATTATAGAAATTGTGCACGAATTTTTTATTACTTATACATAATAATATTTACACACGCAAGTGATCGCGCGTCATGTTGCTTGCTTGCACTTTCTTATGGAAATTTAAATATTTACAATTGCTCTTTTTATCAATTAAATCGCGCATGTAAACAAGTCGGTCTGCAAACAAGTCGGTGTGGAATGGCCCACATTAATATAAGCCAACGAGGCTTTATTCGCTCTCGAGACAGAAAGCAATGAAGTAGAAAACTATAATATTTCGTCAACCAAGAAGGAAGTTTACGGGAAAGACAAGAGGCCTTAGGAAGACGTTGGACGGGATAACACTGAAATTCTCTGTTTCAGGGAGTGCTGATGCTGCAGGATCAATATCGTGCATTGATGCAATACAGTATACCGAAAGAGTGCCATGTGGATAAACCGCCAGCTAAGAATACGCAGGATTGGCACTGCGTTAAGGTTTGTGTTGCCTCGTTTCTTCTCTTATAGAAATATATATACATTTATTTATATATATATAAATAACAATACATTTATTCTTTATATACAGTGTGGAGCACACAATTTTAAACGGCGCGAGACTTGCTTCAAGTGTTCCGCCTCGCGAGCGGAAAGCGAGGAAGGTGGAGAAGGCAGCGACGAGATTAGCCCGCATCCCACTAACATCGTGCTTCTACGGGGATTAGACGTATTAACGACCGAGGATTCGGTTCTGCAAGCGATGAAGAATCTGTCGTCGTTGCCGATACGCAGTATTCGTATCGGTCGCGATTCACTTACGAATACGTCTCGGGGAGTTTGCTATCTGGAGATGGGCAACGTAGTGGACGCGATGTACTTGCATACCGCACTTACGAAGCAAGCACTGGTGGTCGACGGTAGAAAGGTGGAGATAACTTATTGTAAGCTTCATCAGATTAACAACGCGAACGCGTGGAAGTCGAACGACGCCCAACCGCAGAGGTACACTCTGGACGACGTCGCCCAATTGGCTGAATACAGTGCCAACTTGTATGCCAAAACGCCCGCGCAAAAGGCCCACTACCTTCAGTATTATACGCAGTACTATCAGAATCAGATAATGCAAGGCTCGGCGATCACGTTGCCGTCTCTTAATCAGACAGATAGAGTGAACGCGGCCGCGGCGGTGGCACAGTCCGCTATACAACAATTGCAGGCGTCCAGGAAGTTAGGAGGCGATACCGACGATGTGAAAGGACGACCAACTCCTACAGCACCGTCTAGTACAACGCTAGCAAGTGGAAGAGTTCCTGCACACTCCAGCGATGGAAAAGTATACTGTGAGTTTATCTAAAGAATAATATTAACTAAATCTATAATTAGATAATTAAGACATATAAAACATAATTGCCCGTAATCATCATCTAATTATATCATCTAATTATCGTTTCAGCTGTACCGGACGTCAGCACTTATCATTACGACGAATCATCTGGTTACTATTACGATCCTAGCACGGGATTATATTATGATCCGAATTCGCAATATTATTACAACAGTCATACGCAACAGTTTCTTTATTGGGACGCCGAGTCATTCTCTTATCAACCAGCTAAGGTAAAAACTTCAAGAGAAAAGATTCGTGTACTGTACGTCATGAAATTAGTTTAAAAGTACTAAGGACATTTTTGTGTTTTATAGACAACTGCGAGTACAACGCAGGGTGCTGCAAGTACAGTAACAGCGACGGCAAGCGGTACAGATTCCGTGAACACGATCAGCAATCAGGCCACGACTTCATCAGCTGCTAATCTGACTCAAGAGGCGTCGAAAGAGGACGAGAATAAAAAGAAAGACACCAAGCAAGATAAAGTGAAAGTAGCGAAGAAGATAGCGAAAGATATGGAACGTTGGGCTAAAACATTGAATCAGAAAAAGGAAAACGCGAAGAATAATTGGAACTCGGAATTTGCCGGTGCGGACGGCAATCAGGGCATCGGTGGCAGCGGTGCGGCGGACGCGGGATACGCCATTCTAGAAAAGAAAACTATTGCGACTCCTTATCACGAGGACGAGGATCAGAGTGGTAATGGATTGGTAGCCGCTTACGGTGGCGGTAGCGACACGGAGGAAGAGATAGAAGATGTGCAACAGGAAGAGAAACAGCACACCGATTGGAGTAAACTGGCATGTCTACTTTGCAAACGGCAGTTCCCGAGTAAGGAGGCGTTAGTCCGACATCAACAGCTGTCCGATCTCCACAAGCAGAATCTAGAAAATTGGTATCAAGTACGCGGTCTAGATCCTAATGATCCGCAGCAAAGGAACAACAAATACAGAGACCGCGCTAAGGAAAGACGTGCCAAATATGGCGAACCCGAACCACCGCAACCCAATAAATTAAAAGAAAAATATTTAAAAACCAGAGTAGAGGAGATGTCGGTGTCTTACGAGGAGCCTACACGAGCCGGTATCGGATCAGACAATGTCGGCAATAAATTGTTGCAAAAAATGGGTTGGAGTGAAGGGATGGGCTTGGGAAAATCTAATCAAGGTAGAACAAGTATTATCGAAGCCGAAAGACGTGTCCCTACGGCCGGATTAGGAGCGAAGACTTCGTCGTATAGCGCATTACCGGGCGATACTTATAAAGATTGCGTGAAAAAGATGATGTACGCGCGATATCAAGAACTGTCTGACACGTAATAGGTAAAGTATATATATATATATATATATATATATATATATATACACATACACACACTATTATAATAGATTTTTATATACATATAAGTATACTTGTACTCAATTTTCCATAGACACAATTATACACGTATTGTTATCATTCGAATATTGTAGTTACACTTACCAATTGCACAGTGATAGCCAATTCTTGAAACTGTATGTATTCTTCATGCAATATACACGCATTTCATACATTCTCGTATAAAGTTCCACTTTCATATGCTTCACGATAATGGCATATTGTATAAATTTTGTTTTCTTTTTTGTAATATGTAAAAATACAGTATACTATCAAGATAAAAACACGTATGCCATTTTCTACTTTTATTTATAGAACGATGTCATACTTGTGAAAAAATATCCTCTGATCTTTTAATTATGTTATTTCTATTTTTTTTCAAGAGTTGTAATTTTTAGTATAGAAAAAATGAGGCTCTTGAAATAATAGATTGAGTTGTTATATCATTGTCCAATACAATAATGTTCTTTGCCAATAATAAAATATGTACAGTGAAGTATATCAATGTAATGTACATTGGTAGAAAAATTTATGACGAATGATTCTAATAGCGAAAAATTCTCTTTAAAATTGTAAGCAATACAGAACATCACAGGTTAAATATTTTGAAGCATAATAAAATATTCGTTGACCTAATAAATGATTTGTACGAACAGTATCACTTTAATATGAATATTGTTACACCTTATTAAAAATACTCGTACTTTTTTAATATGTTCAGGAAATAATACGCCAAGAACTTTGCAAAAGTACTGTTAATTTCATGCTTCTGTGGAAAAAAGTGACCTGTTATTATTCAATGTTTTTCACTTTATCTTTATTAATGCATCTTATATTTATTATATCGTAACAAAACATAATAAATTCCTTCAATTTAATTGTATCAGTTGAATATAAAGATATTTTTGTGGCCATTGTATTTATTCATGTATACATGTACGTTTTTTTTTATTATGATTTTTTTTAGATAATGCATTTTACCTATACATACATATTTCTAACATTATTCTTACAATTTATTGGTATTTTTCTAAAATTATCGTACGAAATTCATGTATTTAATAACATCAAGAAAAATTAATAAATGTACATGCGACATATATTATTGTTTGCATGTTGAGAACACGTAAATATTTTCTATATACGTTAAGTTTTCTAAACTTGCTCTGACTAGAACATCATTTTCCTTCAAAATCTTTTTCTGGAAACATAATCGAGTAATAATATTAGCAATAAAAAAACTCATAATAATACAGTTTTGAAGTCTGTAAAGAATTATATAAAAAAAAGTTATTTCAATGATTTTAGAAAAAATTATCTACAGAAATATAAATATATATTTTAAATATAAATATATAATTTATATCTAATCATCTTTGATATTTTGGGGATTTATTACAAATTTTAAATATGATGAGGATACATATTTGGAATAGAAATAGAGATATACTCTTATACAGAGTGTGTATGCATATATTAATATATGTACTTTCACAAAAGTCAAAAAAGTAGAACACACTGGAATGTTAAAATGTTTAATATTATTTTTTTCTTTTGTTTAGAGTCATGCTTTAAGCTTAGTAAGATAATAAAATTCTATATTGTAATGTTTTAAATATATTCCTTATATAATATATAATATACAATTTCCCTATATTATATAATATATAATATTCTTTAAAATATTCACAAAATGTAAATTAATATTATATATTCCACTATATACTTGATATTTATCTTATTTAGATCTATATTTCCATTTCTACAGTCAATCTCTCTTTTCTATTTAATAATAATAAATTAATACATATGTTTTATTGTTTTATAATACTTCATTGTTGGTAATAGCACATTATATAATTATTTGTCACTATTATCTTTATCAAGTACAGAGATCACAAAGCAAAATATTAGATACTTCTATATTATGTGATTTACAATTTAAAGAACGGAGAATTAAATAAGTCATTATTATAAACATCATTAATAACTGAACGATGTGTGTGTATGTTAAAGAGAATTTCCTATTTCACTCGTATTTAAATATTTATACAATATTACATCAAACTTTGTTTTTATAACAAAAAAAGTTTATTTTATATCTAAAATAATTAGAAACAATCGTAGAACCAAATCACTGCATTATAATATAAAAGAAATATAAAAATCAGAACATCTTTTTGAGCATGTATAAGGTGAGTATTACATATTGACCAAAGACTATAATGTACTCTGTCTATTATAAAATAGATTTTTATGCAATTAAACGTAATTTTCTCATGTAAATGATAAAAAATTATATTAAATAATGGTCTATATGTATATATAGAATGAAAGTACATTATGTGTCTTTAAATGATTTTGTTCCTTCTCTTATTTGGATGAATCACATAAAGAAATAGTGATTTTGATTACAGTCTTTAATCCTTATTATTAATTATATAACTAGATTATTATCTTTTGTACACAAACTGTTAAATAATTAAAAACAATTACAATACTAATAATACTATTAAAAACATTGTGAGTGTAAAAAATATTGCAAGTTTAAGATTTTTCAAATTCTAATATAAAAATTTAATAGTATTTTACTCACTAAATAAAATTGCAAGATTAATCATTAATGTGCTCTATCACAGCATGCCAGCAATTATATTTATTGATTTAGTATATTTGGGATAAGATCAAACTTTTTCATACTGCCAGAAAATAACAGTATGATATTGTAACTTATAATCATAATCACTTCATAGAAGATATGTGTGCAATATGCAAGATATCCATTTCATTTTTTACTATCAAAAATAAAAGGGAATACCTTGTATATATGTGTGTGTATATATGCTAAATAAAAAACCTACAAACATTACACATCGGCTAAGATCCAAGAGTATAGCGGTCGCAATTGATGGTTCAATACTCGATATTCCAAATTGTTGAGCCCATCAGTATCGTACCTGCGAGCACCATTTTCCAAATTTGCAAATCTTGCGGTGCTGGGTGGTTCTTTCTTGTGTGTTAGCATATAATATTGTGCCACATTGGGTCCAAAACGTGTAATCTGCAAAAAATCAGCATATAAATAATTTATATAAATCTACTTCTCGTCACACAATTATATATGGATACTGAATCACAGTAGACCGAACCTGAAAACCCCTAGACTGTAAGCGACTGTAAAAGTCATCGTCCTCTCCGCCCCAGCCGTAGAAAACATTGGAAAATCCATTGACCCTTTCAAATTGTTTCCTGGTTAACGCTATTGCACCCCCAAACAGGCCTGTATAGGGCAGATTGTATCGGAAAGTATTTACACTAGAACTCATGTGTCTGGGCATTTTGGTGCACGCATAGATGTTGTCAGGGTTCTGCGGTATCAGATCCACGTCTTGGAAAATAAAGCAGTGAAAGTCATTGATCTTGGTGGCCTCTGCATAGCCGACGTTGAAGAGTTTGGCACGATTGAACTCGCGCATCGGGCTTTGCTCGATGACGAATATCCGATAGTCCAAGTTCTGCATCTGCAGGAATGGATGTATGTAATTCATGAAGACGGCCAGCTGACTCTGCCGGTTGCGGTAGGGTAGAATGATGGCGACGTTGAAGAGCGGATGACAGTTGAGAGGCTTCCACTGGCCACCAGGTAATATGCCCAGTCGTCGTGCCATCGCCACCGGATCCTCCCGGGGATGCTGCTCCGGATAGAGCAGCTGGGAGGATCGTCTACCGTTGACGGAGATCACGCAGGAGTTATCCCTAGGTGGATACGACCTCTCCATCTCCTCGTATATATTCTCGGTCTTGATGTAAGTGTAATGAGAGGCAAAGCGCGCCGGATGAAGGCAGTAACATAATACAAGTATCGTGGTTACCGTATAAGACAGCCCGCGCGCGTAATCGTAAAGGAACGCGACGAGCATCTTCAAGATATTGACGAAACTCCTCATTTTTTCTAACCTAAATTCGAACGTGATCGAACATATGTATTCAATTAATGATTCTTCGAGGGACGTGTTAGAATCGCGACCCTTACTCTTTCCCGACTTTCATGTAGATACATGCGTGCTGGTTGATGACTTTGATCTCGGGAGAGAAACAATTTTGTAAGAAAACACAAGAGACACGGAATTGACAGATCACTTGCAGCTTGCAGACGACACGGCACAACTGATGTGCGCGCATGCGCAAATAAAATAGTTTTTGGAATGAAATAATTTTTGAATGAGATCATTTTTTTATTTGTTTATAATTTTTTTTTAAATATATTATTTAATAATTTAATATATTTTATATATAAATATTTAATATATTAATTTAATATATGTTAATATAATATATATTATTTAATAAATATATTGGGTTATATGTAGGAAATGCTAAGGAAGAAAGTATATACATTATCAAAAATTATAAGTGTTAACACTTTATTTAAACCTCTGTTAATTAATAACTTTGATTGTAGGATTTATCCATTAGATAATTTATATTGTTATTTTGAAACAATACACAAATAGATAGCCTATATAAATAAACATCTCTATATAGGTGTTTGTACGATAACATGACCATTTCTATTTTATATACATTTGTCAATGAACCAAGATAGCACGAGCCGATTCGTTCGGTTTATTAGGTATATTAGGTATATTAAGTCGATGAAAAACATCCAGCGCGTCTTCCACGAATTTATCCATCATGGTTTGAGTATGACTCGGTGTTGGTGCTAATCTTAATTTCTCTTCGCCCTTTGGAACAGTAGGATAATTTATAGCTTGTACGTAATGTCCTTTGTCATTTAATAAATGGTCCGCTAACTGACTGCATAACAATGGATTTCCTATCTGAAAAAAAAAAAAACAATTATTTATTATTAATTATTGATTATTTATATTGATCAATTTTGATTATAATCACTTAGTTAGAAATTACTTTTATAGGAATAATATGCGAGGGCGATGATTCAATTGGAAGACCTGCGGCAGTAAGAATAGACTTCATATAGGCCACGTTGTTCTGATGAAGTGTCCGTAATGACCTGCCGTCATCCGATGCCAAAATGTCAATGGATGTCAAGGCTCCATGCAACACGGTAGGCGGCAATGAAGTAGTAAAAATAAAACCAGGAGCATAACTTCTTATCATATCTATCAATTTTGCGGAACCGACAATGTAACCGCCTATGTTCCCGAATGCCTTTCCCAATGTACCAGAAATAATATCCATTTTATTCAGCACATTATCTCTCTCGCCAATTCCAGCACCCGTATTACCATACAATCCAACCGCGTGAACTTCATCAATGAACGTTATCGCACCGTATTTATGCGCTACATCGCATAACTCTTTCAATGGGCAGACATCACCGGTCATGGAATGCACGGTCTCGAATGCTACAACCTTCGGCACGCTTTTATCTACTTTTGATAAGAGCTCTTCCAAATGCTCGACGTCATTATGTCGAAATACGTGCTTTGGCACGCCGCTGTTTCTTATGCCGTATATCATAGAGGCATGATTTCCAGCGTCGGAAAATACGTGACATCCTGGCAGTCTTTTTGCTAAGGTGAACAAAGTGGAGTCGTTGGCGACGAAGCAGGAAGTGAAGAGCAAACCAGCATCCTTTTGATGCAGCTGTGCCAGTCGCTCCTCCAACTTAATATGAGCGGTAGAATTACCCGAAATGTTTCTCGTGCCTCCAGCTCCAGCACCGAACTTATTTAAAGCTTCTCGGACCGCATTAATTACCTCTGGATGACGTGACATTCCTAGATAATCATTGGAACACCAGACAGTAATAGGTTTCTTCCCACGTGAATATTCCAAAGCTTTTGGAAAGTTTTCAGCTAGACGATTCACTTTCTTGAATATTCTATATGAATGATCTTTCTTCTTTTGCATGATTTGGTCGTGGAAAAATTCTTCATAGGGAAAAAGTGCCTCTTTTGCTTGATTATTATTTAAGCTAATAACATCTTCTTCCATCGCAGGATTGGCTTCCTTAACAGCGTTCCGCTCTCTGGACAAGAATGGGCATTGATTTTGTATAGACTCTGGAATTGGTTGAGGCTGTTGAGGCTCCTCTGACTCTGACATCGTACTGAATAATCTTGACATTACTGGACAATGTTGCCGATAGTTCATTATCAGGGATGATCCATAGTTGCGAACATAATTTGTGGACAAACGAGTCAAGAATGGGCACGGCATGGCTTTCAAGAAATCTAAAAAATACATAGATTTATGTAATAAAATGAATCATCATTAAATGTGTCATAATACATATTTCGAAAATACTTCACAACAGTATAGTGCATTCTAAAGTTAAATATGATTAAATAAAACAAAATTTGTAATGTAATATATATGAATTAAATGTAATAAATATCAAATGGATAAAAAAAAAGAAAAAACGGATAGCATGATTATACAATCTTATCTCAACTAATCGTGACTAGGGACAATTACGAAAATATCCGATCTCTTGGGAGTTGCATCATTTGCACGCGAGAAAATAAATGGAAAAGCAATTACATTAGATAAATAGAGCAATAGTCGTAAATAATCATGTTTAAATAAAAAAAAAAATGGAATAAAAAAATCGCAGTAATCCTCGGTTGTGCGCGAAATGGAAAAGGAGAAAGTGACAGGTTTCCGCATGACACAGCACACCTGTGTCGTACGTATGTCTGCAGATAGTTGATACATGCATACATTACCTTTCGTGATGTTAATGATAGAACGATTGCTAGCCCCGCGTCGAACAAATTGGCGGATTAGCTGAAAGCAAGAAACGATTTAACGTTGCTTTATTAAGATCGCGACTGAGATGACGGAAGATTTTCGAATGAGAAAATTCAACTAGTTCTTAAAACGAGCGAAGAAGCAATTTCCCCCACATCCGAACTGCTCGGCAACTGGTCCGCTACTGGCGCGATGACGATGACACAACGAACGACTCGAACGAGTACAGCAACGCTACTGTACTATCGTTTATAAAAACATTAAAACGCAATTCACGAGAATGTTGATTTCGATTTCTAAAGCCAAGGTGTTGCTTCGACCTCGTTCCAATCGTATATTTAATTGATTGGAAATAAAGTTCCGGCCAAATCTGGATCGGAATATATATGTTACATAATAACATGTTCGCGTTTACTATTTTAATATTTTCGTATTTTCGATTATATATTTATTAATACTTATATATATATATATATATATATATATATATATAATTATTTGTAATAATGAGAAATAATATTATATAAATATATATAAATTTATAAATAATTTTTTTTAAATATATAAAAAAATTTTAATATAAATAATTATGTCTTTACTCTTCGCTTATGAGAAATTTATTACTAATTGTCACCATTTATTACTAATTGTCATTGTTATATATATATATATATATATATATATATATATTATGTATATATAACAATGACAATTAGTAATAAATGGTGACAATTAGTAATAAATTTTTAGAGTAATAAGGACATAATTATATATATAATTTATATACAATTATAACTAATTATGTATATGGACATATTTCATCATATATAGTTATGTATAATTTTATATATATATATATATATATATATATATATAAATTTTTTTACCGGATAGTATGAAATAACAATAAGTACTTTATTATTTTTTAAAGAATTTGTTCAAATATTAAAGAAAATGCGTATCAAATTAAATTTCTATAATTTATATTAATAATATGAAATAAAATATAATATATATTTAAGAACTTATATATTAATATAAAAAATTGTGTATTTAAATTCAATTTAATTTAAATTAGTCTTCCAATACACAAATCTTTAGAATCTTTAGAATTTAAAAGAAAATAATACAATTGACTGAGTATTATTAATGATACTTATTGTTATTCATTACCATGAACTTATGACTGAGTTTTTTCACAGTTGACAATTAAAATGCACATGTAATTGTACTTGAAATTTACATAATTATTCCAAGCGCCATGTCGCATTTACGATTTTTTTAAATTTAAAATAGAATTTTTCATAATAATTCTATTGAATCTTTTCTTCATTGTCATCTTAAAACCTAGAAATATTCAAAAAATGACATTCAGAAGATATTCTGGAGGTCGATTGTGTATCTTGGGTGAGTTTGCTCACGAGATAAAAATTACAAAAGTGAAAAGATTTACTAGATATCGACAAATAAAACCGTGGGTACTCTAGTAAATTTCCTCACTTTTGTAATTTTCACCTCGTGAGCAACTCACCCAAGATACACAATCTACCCTCTGAAGATAGGCAATAAGATATATTTTTGGTATAGCGGGAAGCACACACTTTTGCATAAGCGCATATAAAGCATATGAAATATGCATAAGAAATTTGATTGATTGAATTTTTTATGCATACGTTTATAGACCAATCAAGATTCTTATGCTTACGTTTATGCGCTTATGTAAAAGTGTGTGCTCCCCGGTTATCTCTGAAACACCTTTTAGATAAGGTGCTATATAAGAAAAGGATCTTTTCTTTACTTTTTCATTATTTAGATTGAAGAGATTATTTTTTTCTAATATCGATTAATTTTAATTACGTCTTATTTCTTTAGATATATTTTTTCTATAAGTATCTATATTATAATATTTAATTTATAGAAAAAAATAACAAAAGAATGTACCTGTTGATCTGTCTATAATAAATTATTAAATATGTATATATATATTTAAGTGTCCCAAAATTCACGAATCAAAATACTATAGTAAGAAATATCTCAAAAAATAAATTATAAAAGAGTATTTGCCATTTTATCCCGGAAATTGTTTGAAAAAATGGCAAATATACTTTTTATTTTTGAGATCTTTCTTGTTAAGGTATTTTGATTCGTGAATTTCGGGACATTGCGTATATTATTGTTTTTTTTAATATTTTAATTTTTAGTCAAATATACAGGGTGTCCCAGAACTGATGGAAAAGTTTTAATGGCAGATTCCTGGTATCGTTTGGAGACGATGTTTCTTTAGTGAAAATGTTGAAAGAACCCATCATTTTAGCATTTTCCTAATTTTTGGTATTTTATATATATATATATATATATATATATATATATATAATTAATATAACAATAATATATAATACCGCCAGAATTTGAAATTTAAATCGATATTATATATCTTAACACTTACCATGCTGATTAGCAGACGGGAGATAAACTTGCAGACGGGTCGTTGATGATTGGTAATTTTTTTTTAGTTCGCGCGAGAGCGAGATTTCTTTCAATTAATATTATTTTTAATTTTGCTTTTGCTCTTAAATTTGATTTTTTTAAATTAATTACCGTAGCTACGACACGCGATAAGATTCGAACAGTTTATGCATGAAGTTACTTTGGCGCAAGTCGTATTTCCTTGACTAACGTACCTTCCGGACGTTTCGACTCTTAATGAAAGAGCAAATGGAACATGAAACGTCGTTACGCTTTTCCCCATTTTTTGCCATCTCATCATTGATATATGCGCTAACTGACCAATAGCGAAACGTTGTCACCTGCTGTTCACGTTGCGTTTTGCAATGACATCAGCAACATCTTGTCAAAACCTACTACTATGGCATCTTGTATTCTATTTTATAAAAAAATTAAGATAGTGATGTAAAACATGTCTCTTCATCCATCAATATTCTGCTCTTCTGAGATTTCTTCTTCTGATATTTATTATTATTATTCCATATCTGAAAATGTGTGTGTGTCAATTGATTGCTTTAAACAACTGTGAAAGGCTAAAAAATGTATTTGAAAGTCTGATTACACAGTAATATGCTAATTAAAATAAAAATTACTTATGCAAATATAAGATTTTGACTCTTGAAAATCAATTAAGTATTTTATTGTGACATTCTCTTATATTTCAAATATATTTTTCTTTTTGTCAAACAGATTATTTCTGTATAATATATAAAATAAAAATTTATATTAATTATTTCGTCTGTAATTTATTAATATTAGAATTAATAAAAATTAATAAAACAATTAGAATTAATAAAAAAATAAAATGTGCACTATATTATTTAATTATTTATTAATATTATTTTTATGCACTAAAAGCCAAATAAAATGTTTTAAGCCGTTTTTAATTACAAGATATGTCTATTGTAGCATTGTAGGCATATGTTAATTGCATTTTTTATATTATACGAGCAAAAGTCATATATATGGAAATGAAAACAATTATCATAATGTTTCTATTACAAAATATTTCACAAGAGCGCGACAAAACATATCTTGTGCAATAAAAAATTTCTAATTAAAATAAATAAACACAACGCGGAAATACCGGCTCATATAATGACGAGATGTTCTAGGAATTTCCATTCGGTGCATATTTCCTTTTCGATCTGGGAATCCCATCAGAGGTGAAGAAATATATTTCATGTCAAAGCTTTTTTTTATTTTGTCTAGATTATTCCGGATGCTAAAACAGGTTATAAATAAATGATAAACTCTAATGAAGTTATAAAGATAAATTATAAATAAAATAGAAAAGCTTCAAAAAACAAAGACTTTCTTAAATAAGAATAATAAATATATACCACGAATTGTCAAAATTGCAGCAATTTCTGCGATGTAATCTAATTTTGCATATAAATGTTTATATATATTTTCTCCCAGAATCAGAGTAATTAATGTACATAAAAAAATAAATGCATAACATAAGAAAGAATCACAAAGCTGTCATACAATTTTACGTTGAAATACCTTCTTTTCTACACGCACAGCGTGAATAAAAATACAATAAACATCAACAGAAGCCAATTAACTAATTTTTACTTTTTAAAAGATATTTTTTTAGGCTAGAAATGATAAAACAATTATTTGCTCCCTCTATAGTTTATATCTGAAACTTTTTATTTGCAAATTTTATCTGCAATTGATAAGTGAAGTTTCTTCATCTCAGTTACCATCAAATAGTAAATCTTCAATTTTTGTACTAAACAAAAAAAAAAAGAGAGAAAAGTCGATTTGAGTCGCAGTTTAAAATGCGCCACTTTCAAATATTGCAATAAATCCGAGAATCTTCGTCCTAATCAGTGTTAAATGTCGCGATCAATCGTGTATCAAGTATCAAAAATCAAAACGCAGCTGTAACAGCTGTCATCTGTCATTTCCTACGATTCGTGTTAGGCGCCTCGCGCGTTTATTATCATTCATTGCACTCTTATCTATTCTTATACACACACACACACACACACATATATATATATATATATATACATATACATATATATAAATATTCACGCTGAGTGCGAGTGTGCAGGAATGCAAGTGCAGGGAGAAAAACATTTATTGGGATAGATATATTTTTTTTCTAGTCAGATTATATCACAATGTGTGATGCAGGGTGCGAAAAGTGATCGCGGAATTTTAAAGGGATATTTAAGGGATCCATATATAGTTCGTTCGATTGCATCTCGTGCAGATTCCATAGAAACAGATGTGCACAATGTTACATCGTTGACACGCTGATGAATAAACGTCATCGTACAACGCGTGCACGATTTCTCGTTCATTCAGGTTATGTTTATTGTCTGGCAAAAATACGCAAAGAGAGTGCAACAAATAGACAACAATGTGACCTTTGGTCAATTGTGCACGCGAATTATATATATATTATCTTCTCTTGCTGCAGCGATGATTACATCGCGATGATTTGTTTTCTTTGTACAACGTGATGACGACCTGCTGAGCTCCTGATTTTATAATAATGATAGACTGATAGAACGTTCGCAATTCAAATTCATTATGGCGAGAAACGAGGTAAATTTATTTTGAATATGATGCTTTTTTCTCTTATCTTCAATTCGAGAAAATAAGCATAACTTCTTTTTATGATTAACATATATCTGTCAATGATAACAGTATGGAATTTCTATAATATGTGATTATAATCTTGAACAGGATGCGCTTAATATTGTATATTTTCTTATACACATATTGTTTCAAATGTCCATATTTTAAAATTATTATGATATTTTATTATTACACATTTTTTACAGGATAAAACCATTTTAGAAGCAGAGACTATATTTCTATTAATGAAAAAGGGTTTTCCCATCTCTCGTAATGTAAGGGCTCAATGGCTGCTGGAACATTTGGATTCTGTGATAAGCATTCAGTGTCCAAATATAAAAAATAAAGAAATACCAGAACTAGAAATAGTATCGGTGCTGCCAAAAGATAAACCAGCTTTCTGGTCTACAGATACTAGCTACCAGTTTCTCTATAAAGTTGTTTCAGCAACTTCAATTATATTTCTGGCACACAAATACAGGATAGTTTATAGTTTAGATTTAAGCCCATCACTTGCAACTGTTGTAAGTAATATAAAATTAATTACTTTTATTATATAATTTTTATATAGTAATAATTATTAATTATAGAATATAAAACATTTAATTTTTGTTTTTTCAGGATATACAAAATGGAGAGATTGTCATTGATGAGGTATGCTTGGCAACAAAACGATGTCTTGAGGGTATAACTAAACCAGTAAGTATTTTTTTTTATACATTGCAATATAAAAATTTATAAAAAAATTAATTTTTATTTATGCCTATAGTTTACAATACCAGGCAGCAAGCGTATTATGCAACCTGAGATTTATGTAACTGTGATAGCTCATACGCCATTCTTCACAACCCCGGCACAACAGGTGCTAGTACAAGGATGGTTGATTACTGCGGATAATGTAAATTCCCTCACGCAATATATAGAGAAACAGCTGTATCTATTGGAGGAGAGAGTAGCAACTGTTACATCTGTAGCTAATCAACAGTTGGAAAATATAAGAGCCGAGAGTGAACGCTTGGTAGGAAGGCTTTTTGAGGAAAATAGCAATTGCTTAAATAAAAATAACTGTAATATATCCATAGTCTCACCGGAAGCCAGTTTTGTAAATATGCTGAGATATGGAATGCTGGCTTTAACTCTTTTACCTGAGCACAGCTGTGCACGTGAGTGTTTGTAATTTACATGTAATCTATTTATAGAATGAATTTTATGTGACGTAAGTTGCATGCATTTAGGTAATATAATAACATTGAAGAATGATGAGTGCAGAAGGAAAAATTTTCAGATATGATAATAGTCACGGACGGTATCGTAGGAATCAAGAATGCTCAAACATTAGATTCTATTATACAACAGTTACGCGCGACGACGGTCGCGTGTAGCTTTTTATGCGTAGGTAGCGCATATGATCCACATTGTGCGGACGGTTTAGTGCCATATCAAGATTTATTGTATTTTATTGCTGCGGCCACGTTAGGGAGTTATATATCTTTCAGTTCATACATTGTACGTAAATGTTAATCTTTATATTTTTGCATTTCTCTTTCTATCGATTTTAATTGTTTTCTATGATCAGGTACCTGCACATGCAACAGATATGAATTTCTATCATAAACATTTTTTATGCTGGCAATTATATCGGGATGTATTTGGCGATGATATATCAAATCGTCGCTTTTGTTGGCGAACCGATAATAATTGCTTTCACGGGCATAAAACTGGCCAGCTCTTGAGGAAGAAACAGATTGATGACAAAGTTACTTGCACCTTAAGCAGTTTGCTATGTTGTCGTCTAAGAGAAGGATACTTAATAAAGAAAGCCAGTTTACGAGATGACATTCTTGAAATAAGTTTCGTGCTGCTATGGAAAACCAATGTTTTCCTGGAATATCTAGTTACGTGTCCTTGGTCCACAAAATCATTGTCTCTGTCTAATGTGATACAATATACCATTACCATAGAAGGTAGGCCGAAAATTATTAAATAACTGAGAATGTCGAATTACATAATTATATATTTATCTGACAGTTTGGGCTATAAAATCGATTTTTTTTTCAGCTCCATATGAATTTTTACATGACATTACATGTCTATCGAAAAAACCATTAAACTCGCATTACCGTCAAAGTGTAATTTCTCGTTTTTGGACGGCGTTAACATCATTAACCGAAAGTGACAATATGTTAGCACACTTTAGTTGGTTTCCAGGCTCTGGATGGACTTGGTATAGTGTACCAGATACTATCAGAAGCGGGATGCCAGTGTTCTACTTGTCATCTTATCCATCACCAAGTACAGTACAACTTAGGTATATTTATTTTCTTATACAAATTATGAAATATAGACACATATGACTGTGACAAATATAATTGCCCAAAATAATGCGATTGTGAAAATACATATGAGTATTATTATTTTAGTGATGCTGCCTGTCCACAGTTTGGACAGATATGGCAACCGGTTGTCTCTTTGGATCCGCTTCAGTGGGCACGTTGGATGCACACTCAGAGGATCACGTTGATCCTAGCTTACGATAGACCTTTACCGAGACATCTTCATCAAGCGAATCAGAGTGGTCGTTTCCAATGCGTGCAAAGTCGACAAGCCGCGGCTGTGCTATACGCCATGCTGAAGAATTGGGCGACTTTTGTGCTGGTCGAAAATCATACGTACGTCCAGTTCATATATAGGGAGGCAGAGAAACCGCCGGTGTCATTCTCATTGATTCGTATTAATTGCAAAGCGCTCTGCGTCGTGCTCAATATAGCATTCGCCGGCGGTACCGAGGGTGTCGTCCGTCACAATGTAGTCGTAGATCTCATAGATCGACTGTCCAAACTTACGTTGCCGAACAGACCGACAGAGCAACGTGAAGTTCCTTGTTGCACGATAATACATAAATCGCTCGAAAGAATTCTCGTAAGATACGAGCGTATACCGAACAACCTGAGTATGGTAGTGTTTCCCGATGGGACTCAACCAACCTGCACTAGGACTGCGCTAGGATTGCTAGGAAGTAGTTTAACAACCACTTTGTCCAGATATTTATATCACAATCGTTGGCTGTGGCACGTAAAGCGACCGTTCGTTCAGACTATTCCGGGAATTACTTTGCCCAGACTGAATATCACTGCGATTGCGAGAATACTCTCTACAATTACAAAGTAAATGTATTTTAAAGAATTTTATTGCAATTATATAAAGGATAGTGTGAAATATATCTGTATCTATTTGCAGAATACGTTTGGGTGAAGGCTTTAATTTCGCGTATTCAGCAGCTGGTATTACAAACATGGTATTGGAGGTACAGATGCAAGGTTTCGGAAACGATGACAACTTTTATCCTTGTATTATTCAGTACGTTTTATTTCCGCCTCACGTTGTGCCGAATGCGGCATTAGAACGTGATAGTGGCACCGAAGATGACACGGAAGAAGGTAAGAGAATATACATTTTACAATCAAATAAATGACTTGGATATATTTGCATGATAAATGGATATCTTCATATGTTTATATAGGTATCGCCGAGGCGGAAGTATGGACTGAGGATTCTGAAGGCTACAGCGATTTTCAAATTGTTACAGAGGTTTGGGTCGAGCCACAATGTGGCTATGTACAAATGCCTACACAGTCAACCGCCATATATATGCATCCTCTGCAATATCATCAGTTGCCCGATGCAGTGAGTACAGAATTTATATTACAACTATTCATAAAAATTTTGATTTGATACATATTTGGTATATATTCTGGTTCTTATTAAAATGTGGACAGAAAAGTGTAATAATTATTCCATTAACGTACTATTTATTAACGTCTTTTTGAGCATGCATATTAAAAAGACATACAATTTTTATTATCAATTTATTTGATACAAATTAAATTTTAGATCTTATATTTTTAGTTTTTCCTTTTTAATAAAGAAAGTTTAGTGTATTATAAAACATCCATGAGCTTGCTTAAATCGATAAGACGTGGTTAATTCCGTCATGTTTCACGTCTTGAGAGTGATAAGATATCTTTATTCGATATTTCTCCGATATACTTGCGATACGTAATTTATGAAGCGGTAGAAATATTAAAAATTGCTAATCGTGCATGTTTATATGTTATGCAGTATTTCTATAATCGTACATAATATTCTGAGAAAATTCTGTGATTAATATTACAATTTTTATATATTGCATTATAAATGTAATAAAGATCCCCCATTACAAAATCACTTATTTAAATTCACATATTAAATATTACATTTTTGCATATTTATAAGACTGATTAATATATAATTATGATAATATGTTATATCTTGATTTTTTTGTATAAGTTTGTGAAAGGGGCGACCACTTTGAAGCATTACTCTTTTACACTTCTTATCTCCAGCTAACTTGATAATGCTGTGTGGTAACACAAAAATTATATTCTGACGTGGTTGTCTAAAGTGCTTTATTTTGCTAGGTATTGAATCTATATCTGACAGTAAATATTGCTCGACGATAGCAAATTATTTTATTTACCCTATTTCTTAATTGAATTTGTCACACTTTCTAATATATATTTGACTTTTACGTACATAAATACTATATATTGACGCCTATCCGCATTCTTTTAGCGGAAATATGCTCTTCCCTAATCTTCCGGAACATTAGAAGCACCCATACAAGGGAAACTTTATTTACTTAGCATTACGTTAGGTTCAATAATCTACTGATTTCATAATGCACGTCAAGACAAATGCTATATAGCTCAGAATGTCTCTTAAAAATGTAAAACGTAGAATATTCCAATTTTTATAGTATCATTATTATAATATTATAATAAATCATAGAGTAAAATATATCAATTGTAGTAAATAAAAGAAAAAAAGAAAAAATATCGAACTATTTTATATTATTAATCTGAAATTTAGTAATATTGGGATGATTCGTGCAAATATTCCGAATGTCTTAACTTCATGGTATAGCATGTAATGTAGCTTTATCTTCAATCTTATCTTTCTTTCAATTCTGATAGAGATGCTTATAAAATGCGTATAATGCACTGTCATTTGACGATGAAGGACGATATGGATAAAGATATACTTTCTCTATCGTCGCAATATATGATTTTATTACAATTTCTTTCATGAATTGAATTTAACATTTTTATTATTGTATAATTTTCACACATATAATCTCCACAGAGTCCTAAAATTATGAAATTTATGATTATATATAGTATAAAATTTTGAAAATAATAGAATTTTACTTTCCGCATTTCTATTAATTGTTCTAATTTTATATAAACATTGCAACAAGCAGGATATTCAAATATTCTACGAATAATGTGCTTGACGATAAAAATCTGTATTTTTATATTGGCACAAACATAATTGTAATACAAATTCACGCTAACTCTAGATAACTGTTATCTGATTCGTATTCGTTACCTAGAGAGCTGTATTAATCAGAAGATCAAACTTCAAGGTACATCAATTCTGATATGTTTTAAATTATATTTTCTTTCGCGAAAAAAAATTACACTTTCGTTTTATTCTTTTTGACAAAAAAATTCTTTTTTTTTTTATAAGAGATATAATTTTTACTTATAATGTTGCTGAAATTCTTGAAATATACAAATATAAAACACAGTTCATTCTCATCAGTATAAAATTCATTAACTTTGCAAATTATGTGCTTTTCAACGTTCACATTATAATTAATCGAATTGAATAGCAATGAAATGCAAACATTCATTTTATGAATTAAATTTATACGATGACGTTGCGCATATACCATCTCTGTATTTCTAAGAAAGAGCTCATAAGTCTTCTTCTCGATGAACCCGAAAGTACCCAATGCTTGAAAAATTTTCGCTGTTATAAAACTTTCGTAACTTTCAATTATCTTTTTCTTTCGAAACTAAAAGGAAAGAAGCTACACGGCGAAGTAGTGTCTGTGAAGTCGTCAGAAGTCAGTTATCATTACATCACGTATAATGCAAATATTTATCTATGCGCGTTATGCAAGGACGTGTTGGCAAGTGACGTGTTTCTTCGTCATTACTTTTTTCGATCTCTCTAATTTATTTTCATTGTCTCTTCCAGGAATTCCTAGGAAAGGGATAAAATCCCGAAAAATCGAGAGTCGTACTATCTTCTTATGCCATGTTTGAATTTTTACATAGGTTCTTCAGGTGATAAAGATGAAGGCAGGATGCTTTGTCTGCTCATAATCAGTTTTTACATGCGAAAAGCTTTCTAATTTTCGACAAGCTTATGTTTCCGGCTCGTCAAAAAAAACGAAGAGAACGGTGTCTCATATATCGTTATCGTTATCGGGGTGGGGCTTCGATATCGATGAGGGTCCTCGGAACGAGGTTTTCCTATCAGTCGCCTCAGGTATATATAGGGCCCAATACGCGCCCTGCGCTCACTAGTGATCGGATTATCTTTTTCGTGTAATTTTATATCGCAATTGTACATTGTGCCCGGTTACTTCCATATCTGTACAGATTTCTAAGTCTCTTATCTAAGCCGAAATCCCCTGGTGACGATTCTTTATCGCGTTTCGCACGCAGATTGGAAGTGGTTTTCGTCGCGCGACTAACTTGACATGGCTTTTGTGCAAATTATCGTCTTTTAAGTCAACTGTCCTGTTTCTAGTGAGATGAATTTTATTCCTCTTCCATCGAGAAGATAAATCACTGATACAGACCTCCGCTCGTTGACGAAAAAAACTTGAAATCTTCGTGTCTCGTTATTATCAACTCCTAACTCTTCAAGATTCAAAGTCGAAGAAACATGGTCGTCTTTGGTGCAGACATGCGATACGCATCTCTTCTTTTCTCTTCGGATTATCGTATCCGTGTGACCTTCAGTTGGAAGTGAGGATCTAGGCAGTGAGCTAGGCCATAAGCTCTTGATAACTTGCCAGATCTAACTCTTCCAGCTCAGAGTCACGCGGCTTCACGTCATCGTAGGTCACAGTGTTGTACCCGGATTCTCCGATAATCTTTCGCAATCAAATCGTTCATCCTGGGACGTTAATGGGTATCACGGTTCAAGTGGAGAAGTGGTCTCTACGCTTTGTATGAAAGTGAGATTCAACTCCTCCAACTTATTCCTGATCCCCTGTGATCATCGAAATTGACATTTAATGTGTAATCGATCATCTACTCTCTACAGACGAATCTATCCATCTATGCAAACACTGATGTGATTATTCGTTAATCGTTGAGCGATTGAGTGCTATCAAAGAGATAGACTACAATTACGAACTATGCTTTTTTTGTATAATTGTAATATTTAAGCTGTGCTCGATAAATTTAATTTAAGGTCAACGCACACAATGATGATTTTTTAATTCATGTTTCGAATTTGCGATATATTTTAAATAAAACTATGATATGTTATACCACACCTTAGTTTTATTTCTCTTAATAAATAAATATATATTTATTATAACATGTGTATAACAGAATTTTTTCAGATTATTTATTTATGCATAAGTCTCTCTCTCTCTCTCTCTCTTTTATTTGTATTTTTCTTGCATGTAATATATTAAAATTATTTTAACTTTTATAAATCCTATATGCCATGTCAGCCATGTATTTATCATCACTCTGTTGTCCTTTTGATTAGATTGCCCGAATAGACGAGGAATGCATTAACGCTCTGTTGACCCTAGAATACTTGAGCCTCTTGTGCCAAGTAACACCAGCGGAAAAAGACACCGAGATCGTGTTTGGACAAGCGCACCAAGGAGTCAGGTATCACGGAGTTATGGGCATCTCCACGGATCATATCCCGGAATGTCCGAATCCGACCGAGCCCTTCGAAGCGACGCCGATCATCGACGAGAGGATACATCCAATGTACTTTTCATTCGACACTCTGAGCATTTTATCTAAATGTCAGCAGGCAGAACTCTTGTTCTCGATGTTCGCTGATGGTTAGGCTGACTCTAGAATATTATCAAAATGAATAGGTAAAGAGGGGAAAAAATAATCGATCTTATCTTGTTAGATTCGGTACATATCGACGAGGATAGGGATAGCGCGAACAGAACTCTCATGGCAAACTTTTTGGAGCATATGAAACAATTGCACAATAAAGAGCTATTGCTCACGTCAGCGGAATCGCAGAGGTTCACCAGAATGCTTCTTAGCAGACCACGCGAGAATAATTCGCCGTTGCCTTTTTTCATGCAAGGAGGTACAAGAAAATATTAGATTCTTCAATCATTATAAATACGCCAAGTATTTTGCATTCTTTCACATTTTTTTTTGTTCGAGAAAATGTAATATCTTATGAATTTTAAATTTTATGTCGAGGTAATTTTTTTTATTATAAAATTTATAGAATTTTTTTCTATACAACTTTTATCTTTTTAGAGAAAATCTATAAAGACGACGCGTCGAATATTTATCCTAGATGGAAGTGTTTCGTTAAAGGAATTAGTACGACGCATGTAATTATTACAATATTACCGGCGACTGAGAAAGATGTTCGTTTAATCACGTATACAGGCGACAATTGCACAAGTAATAATTCGGAGAAGAATTGCGATTCCGAAATCTTCGATTTCGATATAAATGAAAAGATGTCGTCTCCAACGTCGTATACGAAGGATACAAATAATGCTGACAATGAGACGAGTCTTGTTATACCTATTTACGTGTATGATTGTTCGCTGGCATTATTAATCGATGCGCTGGTCGGCCAATTGCAAATGCCTCAAAATAAAGACATTTATCAGGATCATACTTTTAAAATTGGCGAGCAAGTTTGTGAAGATTTCGTTAGTCTTAAATCAGAGAGTAACACGAAGCCTTCATCCCCCGAACCAAAGAGCGAGGATTCCGACAATATTTCTAGCGGTGGGCAAGAATTTAAAAAATTTTTCTTAAATGTAGCATGAATAATTAAGAAAAATAATGAAATCAGTCTTAAAAATCAATTGATATTTTCATAATAAAAGCTTTATCGATATTATAAAATGTTTTTAGATATTGAGATAATGAAATGTTTTTGATCAAATTAATTTTTTTTTATGCTAGATCAACGAAGTTTGATGGAACATTGTAAATTGTTGAGCTTGGCACATTGTCATTGTTACGTGGTTGCGGTTTACAAGTCACTAGCATTGCAACAATCGTTGAGCTATGAAGATATGGAGGCTGCTGTAGGGCAGTGCGAAGAAAATTTAATCGAAATTAACATTACAAATTATTTGCGATCGGTGTGCAGACATTTGAGCATGTTACCGGAAGACGGTCTGCTTGATCAATTAAGAATCTCCGCGTGTAACGACGTCAAACCGTTGCACAGTTTGATTAAGAACAAATTTAAAAGGATTATGGCAGTTGCGTTTAGACCCGTGCCTGCGCATCCAGAATTTTATTATTGTTTACCATCGTGGATGTCAGAAAAAATGGTTTGTTTCTTTGTATATTCTGTATTCTCACATATAAAAATTTGCAACATTTTGTTGGTTTACGAAAATTGTATGTTATTTTTAGGAAGTAACGTCACAAAGGACAGATAGTGATGATGATTTAGATGAATTCACCTGTCATTCTGAGATGCCAGCTCCGAAGACAGATAATTCCTCTAATCAAGGTAATCATGGATATATTTCGTCAAGACAAACTTTTTATTGCATTGTAGAACATTATTTAAAATATGTACATACATTATTTTTTTAATTTACCAGTAAGCCAAGCTGTCAATATCACATGGCCGACCACAAATCTTCATAATGAGAAACTTTCTCATTGTAATTCCAAAGATTCGCTTACAAGCGATTTCGAAGAGGAAAATACGTGGAACACGAAGGATCAGCCACTCTTTCTACACCTAAGCTGTTCGATTCGTTTCCACTCCGAGCTTTGCAGCATACCTGTTAAACTGATGCCTACTTGCTTCACCGAAATTATCCAAAGAATAAATGACGACAAGGAGAGGAACCTCGTCGACTTGAGTCCGGACGATCTGAAAGCCACTTTGGACATCATTTGCTTGAACCTCCCGAAAGAGGTGTTGGAAGTATCGTTGGAACGTTATCCAGCGTTCAGGACAACATCTTATTGCAGCAGTTCTCCCTATAGTATGCCGAGTAGTAGCAGCCCGGATGGAACCGCGAAGAACGAATCGATGCAAGAGAGGATGTCGCAACCGATTCAGCATCATGCGGTAATCAGCTTGAAGGATGAGATCGAATGGCTGCTGCGAGACGAGACCGCGACGGCACTTTTGGATCATCCTTCGCCGAGCGCAGACACATTAAGATTCATAGCACAACATGTGTCGGATTCTATCGGAAAGTCCAGTTGTCTGATGGATAAAGTACCTTTACACTTTGTCTTTACATCCGAGAGCAGCACGCCTAAATTTTTAAAGGAATTAAAAAGTCTCGTAATTGATAAATATTGTATTTGTCAAGAGGCTGATCTATTTTACTTTGTCAAGAAACCAGAGACAAAAATACTCGATGTAGAAGCAGACACATTACATGTAGATATAGAAGAATCGGAAATTAAAGAAGGTAATCATTATTTAAAGACAGTTTATTTAACAATTATGAAACGTTTCTTTTCTCTTTCATTTAAAAGATGTTCATAATATATATCTTACTCGAAATAGAAATTGTTTAATTTTTTTAAAACATGTTTATAAAAATGTATTTTTAGATTATTAGTTATTATAAAGTTTATATTTATTATACTTATACAGATGAAAGCGTTGAAAACGTGGAACAGGAAGAAATATCGACCATGATTCAAATAAATGGTCAAGACTCTGGAGATGCGCCAGGCTATTATTCTGAGATATCGAGTATAGCCGAAGGAAAACACGGAACGGACGATGGATACGAGGGTGATAGCAGTAATTCTGATGACGATTATCAGTGGCTTATAGAACTCGATAAACGCAGAGATCGTTTGCCAAATTTCTGGCTAATTCTAAGCGTCGAAAGTAGTCATGTTAATGTCTACTTTCACTGCAGGTTAGTAAATTAATGAAAATAAAAAATTTGTCTTCTTTTTCATTTGTTATGTATAATAACTACGTGTTATAAATGTATAAAAAAATTATTATCTTATAGATTTTTGGAACTTTCCTCGCCAGAAGTGGACTGTTATTTGCAAATACAGAAAATGTTACTCGCTCAAATCAAAGCTATATGTCGGCGAGTAAATCAGTATTTACTTTTACAAAATCTTCACGATACTCGCATATGCGATTCGTTATTGGAACCAGAGTCAACCGAGGATTATAATACCTGGAGAGGAGAAAACAGCACTGAGTCTGGAAATCTTCTGCAGAATCATACTTCTTCGGCTTCTTCGAACACTATACCAGGCATGTTCAGATGTCCCGTCATCTGGGAAGAACCTTTTAATCTGCATCCCCGCTTAAAGACCGGACCTGGAAGATCCGGATTATCGAGAGGAATCAAAGCTCTACATGGCGTACTTAATCGACTGTCCGTTAATAATCGAAACAACATGTTTGTCTACCAAGAGAATAACGAGAATGTATTTTACTTGCGACTACACGAGCAAACGAACGACGGGAAACCTCTGCAGAATAAATTGTCCGAGAGTGACGAGAAACTGGTCGTCTCGCGGAGCAACAGCGTCGCGTCTTTGTCGCAGGCTAAAGGTATCGGTAGCCTAACGAACGATCATGTGATATCAAACGATACTCGACCTAGGGTTCGTTCGTTTGGTGAGAAGGAGTCTGACATCTTGAACAGAACCGGTGATTCCATCATCCTGATGGTACACGGGATATCGGAAGCTGGTCCGGAAGTCAAACGGGACTTGGTGCAAGTATTGCAAAATCGTCTCGATGACGCGGTGTTAGAGGTACTGTCCGTCATGTTGGCGCGCAATCCGATGTGCAAATTGACACCGGCAGATGTGCACTTCATACAAAAACCATATAAGTCTCCCGAATGTATAGTTCAACTCTCGGTGCAACCGCATTGTTTGCCGTATATAAACGCTTTGGGATATTATCTGAGACAGAATATATTACAGTTCTTGTATATACCGAAGTATACGGATCTAGGCACGCACTATCACTTCCAAGATTACTCCTCGTTAGACGGTATTAGGAAAAGAGTATCTGAATCTGACATCTTTTTGTATAATCAAAGTCAGTCGAGTGGGAGTAAAGGTATAGCTTGCATCGCGTTGGCCATCACCGATGGCAAAGGAGAATCCGTAATGGATGATTACAAATCGAACTTCCCTAAATTGTTCAGAGTCGAAAATTTCGAGAATATCGTATCAACCGCTGTTTACGATTATAAAAGCGAGTCTAAACCAAATGCAGAAGCATTGATCGAATTCCGAATTTGGAAACAAGGTAGAGTCAATTTGGAATCCTTAATCCTGAAGTTGTCATCTGCCGTGAAACATGGCACTTGGGACTTGGTCACAGAGTATAATTTGCTAGCTACACCATTGACAGAACCAATAACTGTCAGTCCTTCACCAGTGATTACAGAAACTACAGTGGAGAAGAGTAAAGATGCAGAAACATCACAGAAAGTTGTTGATAATACATCGATTAATCAATATGAGCTCGGCGAAGAAGGAAAATTGAATGAGATTTATCACACTACACTAGCTCAATGGTTTCAATTTGCACTAGAAATGGGTGTTCCCGCTGTTAAAAAGCACGAAGTGATTATTCATCACAGACATGTGATTTCTGTGATCGTGAGAGAATTACAGAACCTTATACGTTCTCAGGATTCAGATACGTCTAGTAAAGTGTTCGTTCTGCAAGATCGACAACCGTTCTTGAACCACTACATTGCCTCGCATTCGATGGCGGAAAATCCGAATCAAAAGAGCACGAATTCGTCTGTTTACGTGCCGCATGAATTTAATAAAGACGAACAAACGACTTACATCAAATGTATTTTAGTCGCAAGAAATTTTCATCAATGGAAGGCATCTTTGAGTAAAGAAATAGATCCAGAACTGCTTGCTCCTAAAGGTCAGTCAAATGTGGTAATTTAAACTATCACTTCTCAATACTAATTGTTTTATATTTTTTCTGTTACAGATCAAAAACAGTTACAGAAATTTAATCCTTTAATATCGGACTCTAATTTTGTGCCTAGACAAAGGATATTGCTAGCTGAAATATCAAGTGACAAAGTTAGTATATCTATTATAAAACAATTATAAAATAATTGTAAGATTAAAGACTAATCGAATTTAATTTTTTCAGATAATTATTTATATGTACAATTGGTCTAAGGAAAAATCGGAAAAATTAATAAAACAGGCAACGAGTTTAGGTACGTGGCTTTCTTCTAGGTCGAGTCTATTCACCAACATAATTATGCAAAAATTGGGTATATTTCATCACAAATTCATCCGGGAACCTCAGCAGAGAGAGCACAGTTCTCAATATTATCAGATCAACGATATGGAGAGTCTTGCGAAATTTCCAAGTCAGTCGACCGATAATAAAGATTGGATGCGATCGAGCAACCGAGCTCAACCGACAAAGAACAACGCGTTCTCCTGGACTCAAGTAGTCGGACAAGCGATGAGGGATGCAAAACCAAATGCACCTCATTCTCATAATACAACCGACGCGATCGTCAAGGCTGCTCACGATTTACAGGACTTGCGACATCGGGAAAAGAAGATCAAAGGTAAAACTATCAAGTTTGCAAAACGAAATAATCAAACATTTAATATAATTCATATATATATATATATTTCTCTGAATCTTACAGAGGATCTGGAAAAATTGTACGCAATGTGGCAGAGTCGCACGTCCAGCATACCGATATCGCTGAACGCTTTGAACACGTTCACTCAACACTCTCGTCTAATACACTTTTGCCATACGCCTCTCCTTTTTTTACCAGCCTGGCGTTTGCAATCCGCTGCGACGAGAGATCACTCGTTGACACCGCCGCTAGCGTCCTCCAGTTTCAGCTTGAACGGCAACGTGCTGCAGCAACAATCACCGCAAGCGACGCAGTCGAGGCAAGAGGCGACAAACGCGATTATGATAAAGTGGCATCAAGAACTTTGCAAGTCGATGCTGTCCGAGTATAAACAGTATCTACAAATTTTGGGCTTCAATCCAATTCAAGTGGAGTCGCCGCCGCATAAAACGTTAGTTCCAGTTTAGCGTCACTGAATTTTTTATTTTAATTAAATACGTCTCAGATAAACGTACTAATTTTTATGCCAAATTACATCATTTTGATGACAAAGTGATGTCATAATAATTACTATAACTATCTGGAGTATCTTTTATCATTAAATATAAATTTTACAGAGATGAAGAGCAACAACAACAATCTTATTACCTTAAGAAGTCGATGTTGGGTGGTATTTTATTGTTTGAGATCCACTTGTCGCAACCATTTTTTATCGTCAAATTGCACATCATCGAGTGTAATCGTTTACAAACGAAGACGAGTAGCGGTATGGTGAACCAGGTAAGAGAATATAGAATTTTGATTGTATTTTATTATATAAGTATAATTTAATTGAGGGATATACTTTTCAGTTTGTATTAAGCTTCGTGGACGTTTGCGACAAGATTCAAATCAACATGCATTTGCATTCGTTTACGTATGACTTTCATTTGCGGTGTATTCATTCTTACATTGCTGGAACTGGACTATGGTCCTTGCAACAAGGATATCACCTCACTCACTTTATAGATGACTTTATCAAATATTACAGTAAAGCTCCGAATTATGCCAGGAACCTGATATACAGCGGTAAGATCTTTTAAAATATCATCATAACACTTTGCTTTATAGTAATATCTATATAATATCACATTGAGACTTATAATTTATTATATTTCAGACATAATAACGATACGCGATATAGCGATACCAGCACGTACGCTATATTCCTATTTACTTTCACACGAGAAAGAATACAATATGCGCGTGTTCGTGATGTCTGGCGAGTTTCAAGAATCTCACGACAACGAATACGTGTTGATTAAACTGCAAAGTACTCCACTGGTTAGTTATTGCGACGCTCACGATACCAGATGCACCGACGACTTTGATGTAGCCTTGATAGTGTCGCGTGTGGAGCAATCGCCGCAAATGGAGAGAACAGAGATCACCTTGAAATATTATCTGATGCTGACGAGCAAGAGGGAATTGTATCCGAAAAGAGAGGTGGAGAACAACAAATTGGGTAAATTTAGACCTGTATATAGCGTGGGTAAGTCCACAACTGGATCATATACGGAGAGCTCAATGGTCGAGTCTAGTCCGGTTTCCGGACAGATACCGAGACCGTTCACGAGAGACAATTCCAGAACAGAGATGTGCATTGATCAGGAGGATTCGAGTGGTGTGACTATCAAAGACAGCGACGTTAAAATGACGGGCTATAATATTCACAGTAATATGGCACCTACGCCTCCGCCAGTCCCGAATTCTCCCCTGACGCAAAACTCCAGCGTCAATTCGTCGTCGTCGTCGCCGCACTTGGTGCAAATTCGTCAGGAATCAGTTAACTATCTCGGCTACTACTCGTCGCACGAACAGCTCATGCAACAGATGATCATGTCACAGGCGCATGCTGCTCGTCAGCATATCACGAACATGGTGAAACGCGGCGCGTTGCAGTGTCGAACGCATTTACTCTGGGACAAACTTTTGGAGAACAAGTCCTCGATGACGTATACCGAGTTCAGCGAACTTTGCTCGCTCGCTCACATAGAATCTTTGTCGAATCTCGACCCTAGACTCAGTCCGCTCATTAATCAACCGGTTTCCTGGTATCAAGCGTTGTCCAAAGTATTGCAGAACAAATATCAAGAGCATCACAAACAATTTATCACATCCGATGGAAACGTTATCCATCATCTCATACTACATCCGACTCTCCTTCAGGCATTCATGATGCTGACTATCGATTTGCATACATCGAGAGGAGTAAGTCATTCTATAACTTGCAGAATGCAATATACTATTTAATGCGATATTTAAAATTAATAAGATGAAAGGCTATCACGGAAAAATTTTAAATAAATAAATATTTATTTTAGGATTTATGCGCGGTTTACCGGAAATCCACAGAAATCAATATACCGATGAACATGGAAGAAGTCTATGCTCTAGTCGAAGGTTTTGTAAATGCTTGTTGCTTCCACTTATGGATGGGCCTTTGCAGCCAGTGATAACATTCCGATCGTACAATGCGAAGACGAAGACACACATTGCTTCTGAAACTTCATGTACTTATATAAAAATGATAATGAGCAGTGTGTGTATCATTTACTCAATTTAGCGAATAAATTGGCACATTAATTACTAAATATTATGGATTATCACACGACGTTGTAAATATGAAATATATATTTTCATGTTACATACATTAATTCTCATGTGATTAATCTCGATGATAATAATAATTTATTCGATAATACATAAAATTAAGCTATATCTTAAAAGAGACTAAGAACTGTAAACGCAGCATTATCAATTAAGTCTATTCTCAGGAAATTCAAAAGTTAGTATAATTAAGGACTCCGTGCAATAACAAAAGAATGCAACTGCTTTTTTTATAAGAAATACAACATTCACTTTATTCTGCGATTCCTAATCAATAATTCCCTAACAATTTCGTAAGGAGCTCAGTAACTACATAATCATAACGGTGCCTGTGTGTTTACGGTTTTCGCCAATATTGTCCCGTTCGATGTGTTTATAAAGTAATGTCCGTTCAACTGGAAACTTTATTTCGTTAGATCTCAAGAGAAAGAAATTACACTTGTTTAACATCACATTTCGAATGATTAATATTAAAATGATATATTTAATGATTACTATTAATTAAGAATTAGTTATAATTATTAATACTAATAGTGTACAATCATACATTTTTAAGGGAAGGACAGCGTTCATATTGTTGTTGAAATCTTTTAGTTAGGCTCAATATCTTTCTATTCAGTTCTCCCTCTCGTTCGCTCTTTTATTTCGTCACTTTCTCTCTATTTCTCTTTCATTCACGCAGGCACTCGTCGTTCATTTATACTTTTGCTGCTTTTTTCTGGTAAAGAACCAGGCTACCGTTACCACCGTTGTATCTCTATTCAAAACTATCGAACCGATTAAAACATATCGCTGACTTCAAAGAGTGCAGTATATTACATTTTTTTTCATCCTATATTATTTCTTATTATAAACTAATGTACGTAACTATTACAGTTATGTGTGAATCTTATCCTTATCTTATCCTTATCATAAAACTGAACTAATTTCTCCTTATCATTCCTTGTTGGGAATTATCGTTAAGCTCAGCATCTTCCTCCAAGATCCTCCTCAACAAAATAAACCCTAGCTTCGGGTATCATTGACAATTATTCTCACGTAATTACATCATAATCAATAATTAGTTATATACGTATATACATATTCGTGTATCTATGTATATATCAAGTTAAACGGGTTTTCTGTTAGATCTTGAATGAAGACCAAGCGTGTCATCAGAATGTCATCGCAAATTGGACGACGCGCATAATTGCATGAACGCGAATTATACAAGAGCGAGTTCTCATAATGAATTTACTCTGAAAACAGGCAGGACAAACACATGTACGATAAACTGCTACAATATACACACGCAGCGATACAGCTTTCCGGCAAACTTATGCAAATCCAAATCCTTCGCTGCATTCGTGAATCGCCTTGAGTAGATTCGTACGCAGTTTATCATATGTCTCGTATACCGGCAAATCTAATTGGTTGAAACTGCAATTGAATAATATATATTTTTAGTCGAGTCATATTGCGTCTTGCAAGTCTAGCTTGCTTATATGTTTAAGAAAACGGGAAGACAAAATTTTTCTCGTCACACTTACCAGGTATGAGCAGACGGAAGTCTGTCTGTGGACCTATCCTCTCTGTGAATTTGGAACTTTTGCACGCCGTTCATGCCTTCTAATGCGGCGAAACCTTGCAGCGGCACTTTGGACGTACCAGTAACGAATTGCAAGAATTTTGCACGATCTGCTTGATCGAAACCTCGTAATGCACGCCAGAACCATTGAATCTGTGTATTGATGATAAAAGTGACAATATATACCATCATTCTTTTTAAGATTAAGTCGAATATAATATATGATCGAAAAGATCAGAATACCTGTAAAGACGTAGCTGTGTACTTGTGATATTCGGTGTTTGCTTTAAGATCCTCGATATCTACATTAGGTAAACCGCTAATCAATAGTTCCAGTTCTTGCTCGTTAAATATAGAGATCAGTCGCTTAGGTATAATATCATAAAAGCCTTCCAAGAATGCGTTTAATCTGTAGAAGAAAATTTAAAATAAATATAAAAACATAATAGTAATTGTATCAGGCTCAATTTTGGAATTTAAAATCCACTTACTGTTTACGAATTGCTCCAGTCATCTTCATTTGACATACGAGCCTGATATATTCGAGTTTGGTCTCTTCTGTAACAACTATATTACGTCCATTTGGTATTAAATCTCGCACATCGTTGACACCGAATTCGTTCACCTAAAAGCAATGCGTGTAATTCAATAAGAACAATATAAATAAATTGCTGAAAATTAAATAATCAATTTTTACCTCCGTGGAGAATGTTAACTCGTATCCTAAATCGGAAATGTTATGCTCCGTGAGATAAACGAGTCCTTTGTAAAAACTATAATCCTCGCTTTCCATGTCTGTATGCTTTACAAGTATGCCGAGTATATGCTTGTAAAAACTACGCGTAAAGTAGCATTCTAACAATTTGTTATCATAAATAGCCTTAGCTGTAAAAATAATGTGAATAAATACATTTGTAGAATTGCTTTTTCTTCGATCTGTGATGAAGAACCAAGAACAAGAACTTACCAATTACTCGACCTACAAATTTATAGTAACACAAATGATTTGGATTACAATGCGAAGATGAATTTATCATATATGTAACTCGATCGCCAGGACTGACTGTAAACAGAGCGTACATCGGATTGAAGATTTCTCTAGAGATGATGACGTACCACTCTCTCAGCAAACCTCCAGCGTCTTGTCCTTCCTCGCCTATAATTTAAAAAATTAAAGTATGTATATTATTCGTTTTTTTCTGAGAAAAATTATATTTTTTCAGAATAAAAAATATCCGAAAATTCTCACCTTCAAAGACAATATAAAAGCGATTCTTCCATTCATCGGCATTTCTTCGATGAAGTTCCCTAAATGAATCTTCGAAGACATGACTTCGGCGAACGTGGACTGCTAATTCCTCTCTACGTATACCCTCGTCCATTCGTTCCAATTCTGTCCTGAAGTACCGTCTTTTTACATCAAAGTCTAACACTCTCGTATGATCCACCAATACGGAAAACGGCCCGTCTGCCAAGTGCGTAGTAGTTTGTCGTAGAATTTGATTGAGTACAGTCCTATGCGTTTCTGCATGAATATAAAATACACGTTATATTAAATTGCAGCACGTATAATTTTTATTCATTAGAGTCCAGACATCAAACTAGCTTCATTAAGCAAGAGATAAAGATAATCTTTGCTTACAATTGCTACAAACTTTATTCACTATTGAACATTAAACGTGAATAACAATTGACGACACACAGACTCTGTTTTTGATTAATTATTACGTACCGGCAAATTTGAGGAACTTTAATTGATCTGGTGGCAACGTTTTTTGTGTAGGAGTAGCAGTTATATCCCAGGAAGCATTAGCAGGAGCTTCCGATTGAGAAGTACCTTCATTATCCGAATATATCGGTGAGACTGGTGCCAAGTCTGGTACAACTTCTCGATTTTCGCTGGTCGTATTAAGACGACTATCACGATCTCGAGAGGTACTCGATGAAGAGTGCACCAAGAAGAACGCTTCTACCGCAGGCTGCAATATTTTATACATATATGACGCAAATTACAGTAATTTCGATCATTAATGATATAGTAAAATGATGACAAGATTTTAAGAAAATGAAAAATGTATTTATTATCTGTAATAATTTTTACCTGTAAAACAAGGACGGCATGATGATCTGGAGTGTACTCTAACTCGAGCAAGCAAGCGCTAAGAGTTTCCCACAAGTTATCTAATACTAAACTCTCACTCAACAGTGGAAGTGTAGTTTTCTCCTCGTCTAAAGAAAAAAAAATCAAGTAAGTATAAGTGCATGAGGATGATATATTTTTTTAAATGCTATTAACATTTAATTTACCATTGCGAGAAGAGGACGTCTTATCAAGATTCGAAGTATTCGCTTGCGTTGTATCCATAGGAACATCGGTATCCGCATTGTCGGCAGCTATTTAAAAAATACAAAAATTTTTAATGTAAGTATAGAGTGTAAATATAATAAAAATATATATAATATATATAACATGAAATACGAGGCCAAAAATAAAAAAGTACCTGTTTCTAATAAATTACTTGTGCCTGAGTTCAAGAGAACTGTCTCTGATGTTTGATTACCTAGAAAAAGAAATTTTAATTTACAAATACCGTAAATACAGCGCATGTGTGCCGTTTCGTAATTCATCGCAACATAAAGTTATAAGAATGTCAAGTATCATACCTGTTTTCTTGGTGTTTGCTAAACGTACAGCTTCTCTTATTTGTACGATTACTTTAAGTATTCTCAAGAAGAATGCCTGACTAGATGTTTTACTGACAAGAGCGGCCATCGATGGTAATTGAAGATCACTTCCGGCTTTAACTTTGCTCGGTGCCGTGACAACTACATTTTCATTAGTAAATCTGAAAAAGGAAGCCTTTTGTAAGCAATTCTCTCTTATTTAAAAATTGATTTTTTGAGTCGCTTTTAAATTATTTACAAAATACATATTACAAGAATGTTTTACCTGTCTAAAAGAATTCCTCGTCCATTTCCTCCACTGGTCGATGGCTGATCTTCGAGCGAATTCCTTCGACTTAATTCACGATTCAGTACCTTGAGTTCCATCATCAAATCGTTGATATGTTCGCACACCATATTCGCCAGTTCCATCGCACCTTCCAGAAGTAATTTTAATATCTGAAGGACATAAAAAAAAAGACACAATTAAACACATCACCATTATAATAATTTTATATTTAATCTATACATAACGTAAAAAAGATATATACGTACCAGTTGTCTGGTAGGATCAGGACAATGAGACAGATTAAGCAGCAGCGCAGTCGCATCCTCGAGTCCGTCCTCGGAGCAGCTCTTGCTAGTCAGTACTTGTACGGCGAGTTTGAGATGTCCTTCCGGCGCGGCGACGCTCTGATCCTTCCCGAGTTCCGTCTTCTTGTTCTTTGCGCCTGCATCTTGCCGCCGATAGGAATTCACTTCCGTCAAGCCGATGGAAATCAAGGACAGAAGTCGCAACAGCTTATCTGTCAATTGACTGCTTCGTTTGATTACAGACCAGTTGAGCATTGAAATGAGTTGACCGAACGCGGAAGCTTCGAACGTCGTTGTGCCATGTTCCGGCTCGCTTCCTAGATTCGTATTCGAGTGAGTCCTCGCAACCGACTTTCCTTTTTTGGACGCACACGAATCCAATTTCAGAAGCAAGTCCCAGAAGTCCGGGAGATCGCTCCTTCCTACTTTGGACGCTGATTTGTTCTTCGCTCCGCCTTCCTCCTTGCTGCCACTTATATCTTTCTCTTTATTACTATCTTTATCCTCTAATTCCTTAGATTTGATTGGCACAAAATATCCGGGGAAACTCTTAGCTAACGATATCAACAGTTCTAAAGTATGCCTAGAATTCAAAAATAAAATCATGTTTTTTATCAAAAATGTAGTGAAAAAATTGCATTTTTATACTCCTTTTTTTATTCAGATTCACTAACCTGCAAACAGTGGGTGCTGCCTGTGGGTGAATCGCAATAATGTTTCCTTGCCTTTCAGATTTCTTACCGGCATGACGTACTATATGGAATACGTTAGCTCTACAACCGAGTGCAGCATCAATACTAATATTTAGCCATGATTGTGTGTTATTTCTTTGGTCAAACATCTTTGGAGAACTGAAATATAATTTTTGTTATATAATATGATTATTATAACAAGTATATTGTTTTATTTTTAAAATTAATTCTCCCAATAAAATTTACCATAAATCCATGGGCGAATTTAATAATCCCTTCCTTTTAAATTTTAAGCCAAAATCTGCCAGGATATCCTTATTTTCGTCATTACTTCTTTCCATAATGCTCAGTAACGCCTTCACTATCCATTCTCTCGTACTGCCATGATAACAAAGATTTCTGATGACTCTATGTAGTCTTAGAGTGTTAATTTTTGGCTCGTCGACAAATAATAACACTAATAGGCACGCCATTGATTCGTGATCGAGCAACTGCCTCCCTCTCAAACGTAAGCCAGCTCCTTGATGAGCCATGTTCGTATCACCGCGAGGATTCCATGTATTCCATTGAGTCCTTTGTGGTACTGCTTGAATGGCATACCGCGTACCGCCACCACGAGCTATCGACAAAAATGTTTCAAGATTTTTGTAACTTTCGAATTAAAGATGTTGATATTTTTCCACAACAAAGTTCTTCTTTTTCATCTCAATGTTAATATACTTGCATAATTTAATATATTAATGCACGAAGAGACTTACCTCTTCCAGAATTTCTCAATATGCTAGAGAGAGCTGTATTACTCTGGCTAACATGATTAAGAAATCTTTCTTGCATCATGTGTCGGTTACGCGCTTCCCATTCTCTCCTTAAATTTTGAGCTTCTTGAGCTAAATCCGGAGGTAGAACGGATATTTGGGATTCTTCCATATCGGTCAAAATCTACAGAAACAAGACATAAATTTTAAAAGTAGTAATAAATTATCATTGTGTTCAAATAAAGAGTAACAAGTTTTCGAAGATGTATGTACTAACAGCTTGTCGAAGAGATGGTTGCAGATTTTGGAAGAAAGCGGCAGCGTCCACGGGATCTTCCGGATTTGCCGAGGCAGCTGCGTGTCGTTGCTGCTCCATGCGTTGCTGTGCTAGAACTTCTTCCTGTATCGCTGGTGGTAAAGCTGCCAGAAATTCAGGATTCACTTCAACTGGTCCACTGAGTTCCTCGACTACAGAAGCTTGCGCTCGTTGCCTCATGCGTTGAAGTCTGTTAACATATATTATTTAATTATTATTATTTTTATATTGTTATCGCGAAATATGAATTTTGAATAAAACCATCAATTAACCTGAGTTGCTCGGCGATAACCTCGTCACGCATGTCCTCGGGCAAAGCCGCCAAAAATGACGGATCGACGCCGTCTGGCAATTGTTGCTCCTGATTGTTAGATTGCTGCTGTTGCTGCTGCTGCTGTTGCGAGGATTGTTGCGACGATTGTTCCGAAGTCCCTGCCACAGTAGTGGTTTCAGAGGATGTTGTCGAAGGCGTGGGATCTTGATTAACAACGTTGGCACTGCAATGACATTTATGTTTAGGTATAACTGTATATTTAGGTATATATAATTCACTCAAGACTCGCGCAACACTTACTTTCGTTCGACACGCCGTAAGTCAATGTCGCTGGTGCGACATTGACCGTCGTCCGTCAAGAGCCTACGAATCCAATCCGCCGAATCGGTACTCTCCCTCGACAAATCCTCGCTGACCTCTTGACCAAAGTCAACTACTATTGGTGCAGTAGAAATGCGATTAGACGCTGACTCGGTAACATTTACAGCTTCTGTGCCACTTCGGCTGGGCTGTCCTGTAGAAGTAAGATGTGTGGGCGCGTCATTAGACACATGTAGGTCTAATGACGAAAGAGCATTAGTGCAAGAGATTTGAATAATTTGATACAATAAAAATTCACTGGAACAAAAAATCCCAACTCACGCTCATATATTAATCATATCTAATGTTCTATTTATTACAAGAATGTAAGTGAATTGTATAATTTGATTTATACTTAATAATATATCTCGTAAAAAATGATAACAAAAGAGATTTAATCTAATAGTCTAATAATCTAACTTACTTAATCTAATAGTCGCTTCAGATGTACACGGTCCCAGCACAGAATCGACGATACTTTCCGCCAATTCCAATGTAGGATTTCGATTCGCCGTGCGTGGATCTCTACTGTCGGATGTCGACTGGTCCTCTGGAGGCGGCGGAGGCGGTCGCTCGTCATCCTCTTGAACCGTGATTTCCATTTCACCTGTTACATCTAGTATGTAAAAGATACATACAAACACGCGAAATAGAAAATATTTATCACAAATAAATATAAAAAAATTGTCTTTCTTTTTTTTGTATTACAAATGTGTACCGATTATATCTTCCTCCGGTGTACGCTCCTGCCTTGTAGTTTCCACAGCAGTTGTTTCTTCTCCAGCTACAAGCGGTGTGGCATCAGTTCTTTGTGAAGTAGATGCGGATGATCTTTGTTCATCTATATGTGTCAAACTGGACGATCCAGCTAAAATATCACATAAATTATGAAAAAGAAATACATAAAACACTTTTTCAAATATATCTTTCATAACATTTTGCATACCTAATATATATATATATATATTTATAGGTATATACTTTAATATATTTCTAATGTATGTACTTACATTCCGCATTATTCAAACGCTCTTTTTCTTCTTTGTTATCCTTGTCGTTTTCCTTTTCAGATCCATGTTGCTTCTTACGTTTTTCTTTGCGCTCTGCAAGTTCGGCGTTTCTATGCTTTTCCAGTCCAGGTATAAGTTTGTGGACAACACCTTTTCAATAAAAAGTATATAAGTATATTAAGATGAAAATTATGATGCACAATATATAAAGCTCATATAAATTCCTTTGTTCTTACCAACACAACAGTCTGGCTGAGAATCTCCATCCAGTTGTTTGCTTTCTTCGATCCACCAATGTAACGCAGTTGGTATATTATTTAAAGTTGCAGCAAGGCTTGGTCCAAAGAGATATCCAGATTGATCCTGATAAAATATAAAGAATTGCTTGTGCTTCTTGGCTTATATTTAGTTACATTTATATATTTTATAGTCATATACGTACGACATAATCAATTTGTTCTTCCTCTTGATTAGTAAATATTCCCAATCCATTATCCATTACAACAACACGTGTATCTCTGAAACTTGATGCTAAAACTTGACTTGCGGATAAGGGAAGGGTTTGTGCGGCTGGGCCCAAAAGTCTGTATTGTATATTAAATAGAATTAAACATATTATTTATCTTAATATAATTTTTGAAATATAAAAATATATTAATACATACCTTTGTAATATTACAGGCGGATTCGAACTACGTGGATTAGATAGCTGAAGATATTGATATCGCCTTTGTCGTAAAGCACGTTGAGTTCTAGTACTTGCGGTGTCTAAACTTCCTTGTGATATTAACAGTGGATGAGTACTGATTCCTGCATAACAATTTGTCGTAATTTTATTCTCATAATATTAAAAAATCGATTATAAAAGATAAAGGAAAAAAAAGGAAAAAAAGAACACATTTAAACCTCCGTATCCTCGACACCTCTATTCTCGTTTAATCTCTATAAATGAGAATCTTAAACATATATGTATGCGAATGATTATGTATTTTTAACTTACACATGTGTCATTGCACATATGTGTATAAGTAGAGATAAATACAGAGATTTTTTAATCTCGGTAAGAAGAGAATAGAGGAGTTCGATTGTAGAGCTATTTATATTTTCGCTCTTATTTACCATTGTTTTCAGAACCCGCGGGGGGTTCCTCAAATAAACCCAATGGTAACGGAAATGTGGTGTTCCATGGAAGACTAGGTCGCGTATTAACTGGCGTCGACGTACTAGCAATATCTTGATTTTCAATGTTGTGTTGTATCATTACAACATTGCCACCATTATCGCGTTCGGAAGTCGGGAACATACGGAAAACGCCGCCTTCTCCAGCGTCTTCGTAAAATTCTATTCCTTCTTCTTCATAATTGGACGATCCTTCCTCCTCTTCCTCCTCTTCCTCTTCGTTCTCTTCGCCTGCAATAATGATACAAATGAGAATAAGAGATCTACAATCTTTCCACGTCGTGATTGCAATGTATTAAAAAGCAGTTTTATCTCTACCATCGTCTTCCTCTTCCTCTTCTTCGTCCTCATCATCCTGTACCTCGTCCTCATTATCATCGGATGGATTACTATCGGAATCTGAATCGGAACTCATTAAATCCTCCTAAAAATAAAATTAATTGTAAATTTCGAAAGTAAGAGATGAAAGATAACTGATTATGTCAAGAAAAGTGAAAAAAAAGTGACGTTACTCTTACTGTGGTATCTCGAGTCGGATCGAAATCGCCCTCCGCGTCACGCATCGCGAGACTTTCATCATCAATATCCATTGGCCTATGCGGGCGAGAAGATGGCTCTTCCGCCACGGCCGAGCCGTCCCTGGAAAATAGTACACTACTTGATTATAAGTACTGTAGCCTTCATGAATTTAAAAGGCTACATAAACAAATAAAAGATTTGCGAACGTGTGCAACACATAAACCAAAGACAAATACAACCGAAATACTGCTTAAATTATTTCAAAAAATATTTATACATGTTTGAAAAATTATAAACTTAATAAATGCAAAAAAAAATGTAATTGTATACATGTATTACAAAATCAAATTGTATAAACAGGGTGTCTACTCAAATTTTATAAAGATATTCCCTGAAAAAATTTCCTCATAAAAATAAAAATATAAAGCAAAAAGTAATTTATTACTCATTTATTAAAATTATATATAATTATTTATTAAAAATAATTATTTAATTATTATTTATTCAATTATTTATTAAATAAAAACAGAGTACTAATTTATTTATATATGATCTATTAAAAAATTGAATAATTTTCTATAAAATTTATAATTTATATATAAAATCTTGATATACTCTAATATAGATTGTCAATTAAAAAAAATCATATAAAATTTTAATAAAAACTTAAATATTGCCAAAATATGTTAGACATAATGTTAAGTGCTAAATAAAAATAAAATTAACAAAAAATAATTTTAAAAAAGTCCCTGAATTCCAATCAAATTTCATGAAAAAATTCGCTAACTTTTCAAGATCGAATAAAATTCTCTAAGAATTTTCCTCAGAGTATACACCCGTAAAAATACAATCTTTGTGTATATAAAGACATCAATCTGCTGTGTCTCTTAAATGTAGAGAAACATTATCATTATATATAACGTTTCAAATGTTGTACAATCAATTTTTAATAAGACATTATTTATTATTAATATCATGTTAAAAAGTAATTATTGAATAGATACATGAGAATATATTTAAAGCGAGATTTGATTAGAATTGCATAACGTTCATCGAAATCTAATAAATCGTGAATTTGCATGTCGTTACCTTTCTAGAAGCTGATCCATGATGTCTTCCAATGCCGCCTCGTCCCCTTCCTCGTGCACTTGACTCTCAGAAGTAGGCTCCAAACTTTCAGCCGTCACGGAGATGTCGTGCTCTGTGTTCTCCGCATCTTCATTGGCTTCCTCGCCTACGGCATGCGTAGCCTCCGAGGTTGTGGTGCCCGTCTGTTCTCCGAGCGGTTCTTCCTGGACCGTCCTATTTTTCGGCTTTGTAAATTTGTTATTCACCGCTCCCGGCATCGGTTGATTAATGATGCGCGACAGAGTCTCTAGTGGCTTTAAAGCGGCATTGATGGTACCGGCCATGTTCGGACTCGACAGATCGAGACTGTGCGGAATTTTAGCTAGATCGGTGATGATACCTTTTCGTAACATAATTCGAACGATGTAATTGACATTGTTATATTGATGGGCCCTTAGAGAAGCCCTGAGTTGTGAATGCGACATATTTGGCGGACAACTGTCGATCATGGTGGATATCAATCCGATTAGTAGTTGAAGCTGCGCGTGCTTTTCGGAACTCTCCGGAAGCGCGAGCGTTCTCGTCAAGGCTGCTTTCACTTCCGTCACCAGGGTGGTCTGTACCTCCGGCGAATGATTGCACGAAGCTATAGCGGCGATCAACATTCTCGCCATACTGCTGCACGTTCGATCGCCCGAATTTTCCGGCGACATTGGCAGAAGTTTATCGAGCAAGAACGCTAAGGCCGTTGTATCCTCGGACACCATCTCACTCTGTCCACCTCTATATGTATGTTCCGTGATGAGACTAGCTACAGCGCCGTAAGATCTCACGGCTTCCGCTAATATCTTTAATATCGCCGATTTCGTCAAAATGGGCTTCTTCGCTTCTTCTGGCTCCACCTTACTGTTATTACCGATGTCAGGATAAACCTTTAATGGAATTATTGGCGACACTTGATCGTCATCGTCCAAGGGATCATTGGTGGTTGTTGCATTGTTTCTCAATACATCTCGCCGCGAAGACGTCGACAATGTTGCATTACCAATCGCCGAGGTTGTCGCTGCGTGTGATGTCTTCTTTTCGGGGCTTGTCGGGGTCGCTGATCCGTCATCCGATGACACAGGCATCGGCTTAATTAATGCGTTCAACATATCACGAATAACACCTACGGATACCTCTTCCACCATCGGTAATGCTGGCGAATGACTAGGAGGTAAAGCTTTGACGACAAGCCTGTTATCGATATCATCTTCTGCAAAACGATAGAAGTACAATTAGAAAATAAAATCGTTGATCCTTTCATGTTAAAAAGATGCAAAGAGCTGATAAAACTCACTTTTCAAGCAACTTATATCGACTCTGAGGATATTTTCGCACACTTCTCTGTACACTTCTGGATTACGGCAAACGGCGCTGCTAATTTGCCGGGTCATGAAAAGTATCTCTTTATATGCAGGAGGTATATTACTCTGCGTGCGCGCACGAATGACCTGGAATAGAAACGAATATGAATAATTAATCAGACAAACAAGATGTTTAGAAAAAAAATTCCCTGATCTTCCAAGTAAAATAAAAAATTTTGTACAATGCAACTTTTTAAAATAAGTTTTTTTATTGTATGTGCTTTTTAATGTTTTTTATTCATCTGACTGCAAAGTTATCAAGAGTGCAACATTTAATATTAATTTATTAATTGTAAAATTAATTTAGACAATAACGAAGTGCGATACATCACTATAATATTGCTAAATCTAAAATATTGCAAAAATATATTAGATATATGTTTAAGTGTTAAATGAAATTTTTTTTTTAATTCCCTGAATCTCAATCAAATTCCATGAGAATTACCTGATTTTTAAAGATAAAGTAAAAATTTCTGAAAATACCAGGTTTTCAAGTTTTTCCTAGGAGTATATATGCTGGACAAATTAATATATGCAAAACTCATGTAGGTTCAAGAATGTCCATACCTTCTCCATCGCGAGACGAAGAGTACGTGGTTCCTCGAGGGTATGTCGTATCAACAACGTACATAGATTGACGCAACCGGTGAAACTACATATTTGAGTCATCTCGAGAAGTAACTTGACACCACCCTCGCGTGCAAACACTTCTGCATTTTTGTAATCTCTCGTCAGTCGTAAGCACACTTTCAACACAGCGTGTAATGCGTCCCGATCGACTGGGATTGCTAATAATTTTACACACGCCCTGCAAAAATATACACATTTGTAAATGTATAGCAAAATTTCTTGCTTATTCTTACACAAATTATTCTTACACATTCTTAGATTCTTTTTATATAATTTATTTTATATTAAATTATATATTTTATACTAAATTATTTCATGTAATAATGCATTAAAAAACAAGAAAATGACATTAAAAAAAATTAAAATATTTTATTGTTAATTAAATATCTAGAAATACTCCACAAAAGCTTTATTTAATATAATTTTCCCTTCTTTCAAACATTTGCAATGCAAATCTTGTTACACTCACCGTACGATACTCGGTGCTATACTGGGGTCCAATCCTTGTATCACGGTATTTCGTTTCTCCTCCACGGGACTCTCGTCGGTATCCATGTTCGAGTCGGACCCTGAAGAGCCACCGTCTTCTTTGTCCGTGTTGAGTTTGAAACCCATCGTGATGGGTCGTCTATTGTCACTATCTTCGTTCACCTGAGTCATGCAGGAGAACGTAATGAGATAACGACGCCGGCTGCACGATATCCGCACGCTGGACTCGCCGGCCCAGTAGGCGTCGTTGATAATCCTATTGTTCAGGGGCGAGTAAAGAGTCCACTTCCCGGTGCTCAAATCAAACCACTTCCACGCTCTGGTTGTGACTTTATGCATCAACTGTTTTCGCTTCGTGAGTGTGGCCACCTTCTCCAAACGATCGATGAGCAATAACAATGGTGCTAACCATTTAGGGGTCTTCATGCTCAACACACCACTGTCCTTATTGTCCTTAACGATCTTGTTTTTATGTGCGGTAAGCGGTGCCTCGCTCACCACTAGCAGACGCACGAGTTTGTCCAGGATCGCGCACTCCTCCACTATTTGAGCACATGGCACCCGCATCTCTTGGAACGAACCCTCGAAGAAGAGTGTGTAGAGATAGAGACGACCGGAGAGTTTGTTCGCTTCCTCGCACTCGACCAATCGCGAACCAGCGTTCTCGTCCTGGCTTTCGGCGATGTCGATCAGATGATCTACCAGACGACCGACTTCGCGCATCAATTGACGTAGTGTATCGTCCCGCCATTCATCGCCATTTCTCTTCGTAATTGTCACTAATAGATCGCAAATTCTATACACCGTATCGGGCATAAGATCCAAGAGATTCAGACACTGTCCCAGCGCATTCTGCGTGAACTCGTCTATGTTCTCGGTAATTGTAGTCTCGCGACAGATAGCGATGTCCTCGGTGCCTGTGATCTTGCGTGTTTCCGTATCGCCGAGCGACATCGCGATGGCATGCATTATCTGATCGTCATCCGCCAATTCCAAATCCATGATCAGACCCTGCCCGCTGACGTCGCTCACGGGAGCGTCGGGTCTACGTACCACTAGAGTCGCAGGATTTGTCAAAAGATAGTCGGTTGCCTGTTCTACAGTCAACGTATGCAATAATGCTTCTATACAATGTGCTCGACTGAAACCCATGTCCATTAACTGTCTCAGATATTCCGGGTTTACGTCCGCTTCCGGTTCCTCCCTGCGATCGGATCCGCCGCTTCTACTTCCGACACCGCTTGCACCGCTACCGCTGGCCGTTGCACCGTCCCCGCTCTCTTCTTTTTCAGTACGTTCCTTGATAATCTTCTCACCCCGTAAAATGTGTCGCAAAATCGATAGAATGGACTCTGTCATGCGAGCTCCGTAATTTTTCAGCGGTTTCTTACCCCACATCAACATTACCGCTGCGAAAGCCTTCTTGTGAATATCAGTAAGGTATTTTATTGGATCAAACGTTTCGCAGACTTTGTATATTCCTGTACACTTTGAAGATACCACATGGGGCGAATCCAAAATGGCTTTGGGATTGACCATTTTTTCCAACAACATCAGCCAAGCGTCTAGAAATTCACCGGTTCCATCGGGTAGATTCGGATGCTCCAATCCCTCGGATAACGGAAACTGACCTCCACCTGATAATGCCCAGTGAAAGGTGGAGAAGAATGCATGTTGGCCATTTAACTTGACGAATTTTTGAAGCATCAAGTGATAAGGATGTCTCTTTTCGTCAAAGAGCATCGGTGAAGTAAATCCCACTGAACATATGAGAAAGGTTAACTTAAACTTGGGAATCGGTGACGGTGGTAATTTATCCCATGACAAACCGCGTGTCAGTAAACAGTTCAAAGCGGTAGCGACGCTTCTCGCTGCTTGCGAAGGCAGCGTAGGTGTTAGAGGCATCTGTTGTCCTCTACGTTGCCTCACAGGAGAACCCATGCAAAGCTTAACGAGTAGACCAAATAACTCGGAGAGTGCTCTACCGAGTCTCGAAGACGCACCGAGCAGCGGCTTGATATATTTCAGTTGATAGTTATTTGGTCGACTCTCGGTGTTCACTACACTCGGTTTGTCGTCCACTTCCATCGGCATCGGCGGCGGATCCGTGCTAAGAGCTTCCATGGCCGTGGTCATCCCATTGCTTCCCATATCCGCAGACACGGTAGCAGACCAAGAAGAGGAAGATTCGCCCTCGTTTTTTAATTCCGGTGGCATCAATTTGTCCATGTCTTCTTTACCAAATTCACATCCAGCTGGGATAATATCCTCACTGCACAACGCGAGCAATAGTGTACTCTCCCAAACGAGAGACATGTATAGTTCGGATAAACCTTTGAGCACAGTCAAGCCCAATTCGGAACCCCAGTGATTCATAGAAAGATTTCTTATATCGCTCTGACTTGTACGACAAACGTGAACAAACATCACTACGTATCCGTGAGCTGCATTCATGGCGTGCAATAACGGTGTCGCTGTGTCGCTCGTGAAAGCCGTTTCGAGATTTGGAGCTGATGCAAGCTCGTGCAATAAAACAGAGCCTCCAGGGGATTCCATGTGACTGTGAAGTGGCTTCAGTAAGTTTAGTACTTCGTTCAATTGCGACAAACCTGTTTTGAGTACCAATGGTTCATGCGCAAGATTCTGAAAAAATTACTTAAATTACTATAATACGAATTATTACATAATTCTCGCATGTATCTTACTTATAAATTAAAGGACAGGTGTAGCATCAATAAAATAAAAATCATAAATATAAATAAAAATCAAACGTACCAAAATACTTTTGCATACTGAGGCCACTGATTGAGCCGCTTGTGCGACAGGATAGTCGACGGGTAAATTGGGTAGACCAAGAATCGAAAGTAACGGCACAAGCCCTTTTTGAGCGACGAATTCTCTACAGTGATCATCGGTCGAATTGTTGCTCAATATGGCGTCCACAAATTTCATAACGTTATGGATATATTCGACTAAAGCGATAGGAGTTTTCTCTCTTGGTTGAGGTGGCGGTCCGGGCTGCGCAGGCGATAGGGTAGGTTGCTCTTCTCGTTGAGGATGAGAACTTGTACTCGCCTCTTCTTCATCTTCTTCTTCTTCGTCACTACTACTTCCACCACCTCCACCTCCTCCACCGCTAGAATCTCCCACTCCAACGCCAACCGACTGACCAGACGATTGACGATTTCCAGAGGCGGTGTTTGAAGGTGAATTTTCGGATTTACTAGCAGCACGCCAGCATATGTATCGCGGATCACAGCCCAATACGCACAACTCTTCGAGTAACTGCAGAAAGAGAAGAATAAGTGAAAAATGAATATACGATAAAAAAATTAGTTTAAAAAGTGCAATTTCTATTTATGCTGCAGTACCTTAATAATAGCCGCAATGGCATCAACTTTCAAGCTTGGTTGATGCCTCATCAACTCGTCCATGGCATTTCCTAAATTCGAAGCTGTATCGCCTAATGGATCGGCGCTTCGTCGTCGTCGCATTGCTGATAGATAGATAGGTGACAGAAGTACTTTGAATAAACGTTCGAATGGTCGTCGCTTCACAAATGACTCAAGACCTCGTTGGTTTAAACACAGTGCACTGAACACATTAGGTAAAGAACCCAATACTTCTCTAGTGGCAGGAACCTAAAATAATTGTTTTCAGTAATTTTTTATAATTTTCATGTTGATGTATGTATTATTAATTTCTTGTAATCTATTGTACCCACTTCTTTTATTAGTAATGCATGGAGCACAACATCAGTCAAGCCATTGTCTTGTAGAGATGATAGTAACGATGGTTCTTGGAAAACATACACAGTCACGACATCCGTAGCAAGCAGGAATAACGAAGGGCCATAGTATTCAGAATTACTTATAATGTGTTTCAAAGAAGATGGTAAAGTACCCTCCATAACGTGTCGTATGCTATCAGAAAATGCCGGATCTTGAATTGCTTTCTTAAGGAAATTCAACATCGATTTGAGGAGAGCTGCTCGTTGTGGCAAGCATGTTTTGCCAGTCTTAGCAGCAGAATAATCTGGTTGTTGTTCAATCTTTTCGTCTGTTTTAGAACTCATATTTTCATCTTCTGTTATCTCCATAGAATTCGAGGATTCTTCCCGTTCGTCGAAGGTTTCGTGTTCGCGACGTGATGTCGAACCATCTTCTCTATCTACTGATCTTTCGCGTGAGGTTTGTGGAGTATCTTGATAGAGCAACGGCTCAATTTCAAATGGTTGTTCTTTTCTGCATACATTAACTTCCATGTCTAAACGATTGATGAAGCTTGCTAAACCACTATGAGTTTGAAAACCTTGCATATCTATGTTTGTTATTAAATCTATGACACGTACTGCTCTTGTTACAAACTGCAAAAGAACAAAAAATAAATAGATATACTCAGGATATTTTAAAAGTAAATATACAGTTCAATGTAAATCTCGTAATTTTTTGTAGTTATTAATTGTATAATTGTGTATATGTATTCTATATTACCGTTATATGTTCCAATTCACTTCCTGGCCAATTGATCACTTTCAAAGACTCTCCATCATGCCACAACTAACGAGAGCTTCTCCACCCGCCTCATAACTTGCAAGATGATAAAGAAAGCTAAACAAAGCTGTCGCAAGCGGCAAAGGGAATGGTTGTCCATCTGGTTGCGGCGAAGTCAACGTTGTTATACAAGTACGGACCAAGACAGGGAGAAATCCATGATATGAACTAGCTCCGGTGACATCAATAATCATATTCAATCGCGAGCCTGGTTTTCTGAAATCGCACAAAATTAATAAGTCATATCAGATGTATATTAAATATAAATAAACAAAATAAGATATTTATACTTACTTGGGAAAATGTGGATTACGATCTAAATGTATGATACTTGTAAGAGTACGCAATGCTGCCGCGCGAATCTCGACAAGATGAGTATGTGGAAGTTCTAATAATTCAACCAATTCCTCAAGAAGCCCGGCATGAAGGAGACTGTGCGCATTTTCCTGCAACGCGTTACTGTATACAAGCACAGATAATGCTTGTAGTCGAGCTTGCACGCATTGCAACCGCCTTCGGTAATCCGAAAAACTGTGCGCTAGCCTTATATGTGTCAATAGAGCCATCTAAAAATGTTTCATATACGTTGAAAAATATCTTTCATACTCAATTATATCTGTTTGGAGAAAAAAAAGGTCAAAGCATCCCTACTTGTCGTTCTTGGGGTACGTTGTAAACTTTCAATAGATCATTCATAATCTGCGCTGGGGTTTTTCCAAGTTTATCAACATTTTCTATATGTATATATGTTACAAGATTCGTCTGACCAACTTTTTTTGTACTAGGAAGTGATGTAGATGTCGATGGTTCTATTATAATTGGATTTTCCGCATAAAATTCAAAGTGTAATGTCGTAGCACTTGCTGGAAATGGCTGTAAAATATAAAATTATATATATATATATATATACATACGCGCGCACAAAAAGACATGCACATATATAATTCATATAATTGTACTGTACATCATTATATCTTATTATATAATTATATAAGCTTACTTTTTCTGGAAGTTCCTTGCAACAATCTGCTAAACCAAAACCGTTTTCCTTTCCTCCCCAACTCTATAATAAAAGTTATTATTAAATAATTATATATTAGCTTGCATCATATATAAACATATGAATTAAAATCACTAACCTCTGCTAAATGATTGAGCCTGCTAAGCAAAGCTTGCCGTTTGTCATTATTTAGACGTGTAATAAAATTACTGCGTTTACTAAACATATACAGAAGATTTAATACACCAAGGACTACATGCATGTCACAACTTGATAGTAAAGTAACCAAATGTTCCATGCTGTTGTACAGGTGCCGTGAGAATGAGTGCTCAATCAACAACGTTGTAAAGTGGAGAACCCAGAGAAGCAGCTCTTTTGCCTGTGAGAAAAATCAAGAATTAATCATCATCAATCATCTAATTAATATTTATTTGTATTTTAATTTGTAAATTTATATATTTTTCCATCAGTCAATATTAATAATTGTTTATTAAATAAACCTCTCTATTTTGAGGAAGATCACATGCTAATTCCCATGGATTATCTGGGCTCCTTGCAGCAGCTTCTTCTAAAATACTGTCACTGAGATCTAGGACATCAATCCAATGAAATAATTCACATTTTCCGAAAGTCCACGCATCTATCTGCTTCAGCTCTTCTAGCAGCTCTGCATGCGAGCAAGAGCGTAGTTTGCTTATAAGTGCTTGACATTCTGCGGGCTAAACATTAATATTATTAATTTTAGCATTTTAGCATATTGATCTTAATAAAGAATAATTAGCTTTTGTATTTCAAAATACAATATGTATTTGTCCAAATTTTTGCAAACTAAAATTATCGAAATTTCTGTTGTTTAATAGATTTAATAAGTAGGGACAATTATTAAAATTACTAGAATTATAAAATTTTGCAATTTTTCAGAAAAATTAAGTAATTTTATTTATCATATAATTATGCAATAAATAGTATTTGTATATGTTATCAATTTTTTAAATTATTTAAATAGAAATATGCATATGATTAATATATTTACCACTTCAGAAGTGCATTTTTTCAGTCTGCTCCGATCAATTTTCATTTTGGTGTGTTAATTTGTCCTTTCCAAATTTAAGATCTAAAATAAATATATAAATATTGCATTATATAAAGTTTACAATAACTTTACTTAAAATTAGCAATTATAAATATGTGATATATCACACAATTTTTCTTGGTATGTGACAAAAGATATTTTATGATAAGCTTATATCATTGTAATTGATATGACTAATGTAACTGATAATATAAAAGAACACAAAGAATAATCTTAAAATGATATTAAGAAATTGTTTTTTCAGTTAGAAAAACTAACACTACAATTATTATTGTACAACATTATCTCAATAATTATATGTTCAATATTGTAACTGCGATAATTAGTTAATATTATAGACAAAAATATATAATCACAGATGTTATTCACAATTAGTATACTCTAATTCATTCGTTTAAGATATTGTACAATACTTGCACATGTAATTGTTTGTCTTTGTACATATTAAATATATTAACCATAAGTTCTATATATCACAAAGTACTAATTCCAAGAAAAGCACTTTTATACATAAAATAATTATAGTACACATTTGTCAGAAACAAATGTATTTATATATTTATGAAAGCACATACATCTTGGTAGCATAACCTATAATTTATACATGTAATAAATATAATAAAATTATATATATATGAGTTATAAAGAAATATTGAAAAATCATGTATCTATATACCAAATAAAAATTTAGAAAAATATAAGACACCGAACAATTCTAATATATTTATAATACATATCAGCAAAATGATATGTATATTTGTAAACATTCTAAGAAAATTCCAGTCTATTCATGTAATTATGCTTACATTACTGTAATGCTTGCAATTAATATGAAGAATGTACGAAACAAATTATACACTTTTATAATCATCGATAGGTCTCCGTAGCTCACACTCACACATTGTTTTACAACTTTACACTTGTACGACACCAACTTTGTAATATTGTATGAATACAAAACTTAAAACAAACATTGAATACTGAAAGATTTAATCAAATTGCGTCGATGTACGGAGATTACTGCCAGATTAAGACTAAATTTCACATATTTCTATACCTGTGCAAAATAATAACGAGCTTATAACAAATATTACGCACTCACGTATAAAACTGATGCATATAATCGTACAATAATAAGTTGTGAAATATTTCGCAATATAAAGTAATTTTTTCAACGAGAATTCTCTTGCACTATCTAGGTCAAGTCTCTCTCTCTCTCTCTCTTCCTCTTTGTCCCTTAAATTAAATTCACAAACCTGAATGCTCGCATATTCCTCGCGATACTTATCCACGCGAGCGTAGGAGAAGGCGAAAACGACGCGTAGATTCGACGAGATCACAAAATCACGCTTTAATCTGCACAGTCATCAGCGAGAGACAAGAGAAGCGGTCTAACCTAACCGTGGATGTTTCAGTAGGGAACAATGGTAAAAATGACAACAGATCGAATGACAACACCCTGGCGGCGATCGGTTACACTGCCAGAGCGAGTCCCCGAGACCGGTGCGCCCTCGTAAATAAACGTCTGAAGGTGAAAAGAGGCGTGATGCCCCCCTGTTTCGAACGCCACGACGGTTGAAGACGGAAGAAGGCGAGTTTTTCTCTCTCTCGAGCCGAGAGGAAGATAAAAAAAAAAAATACGTCGTGCGCGTTCGAGAGAAAGAGGAAAAAATTCAGACCGAGAGGAAAGCGAGTTTTTTTTTTTTTTTTCTCTCTCTCTCTCTCACCTGGCAATAATGAACCGTCGTAGTTCCGTGCTCCAAATTTTCCCTCGCAATAACGCAGCGACGTAGCTACGATCACTAGCCTCTTTCGTCGGGTTCGCGTCGATGATGCGCTTCTTCTTCACGTCGAGAGCGTGGTGGCGCGACACGAGCATCGCGTTGAACACGCGAGCCCCCCTTCGTCGAGGATCACTTTATCGGAGCCGCTGCTGCTGCTATCCTTGTCGCGATTCTCGGGCTTTTTGTCATGTAGACTCCTCGGCACGTTGATAGTCGCCGCTTGTCCGCGACAAGGACACCGCGAGTGCAGGAGGACCGGGATAGACAAGGAGGAACGCGAAGGAACGGGTTGATATAGTAGGGGAGAGAAATGATGAGTGTGAGAGAGAAAGAGGGAGGGAGGGGGAGAAGGGGGAAAATGGAACAGAAGAGGGGCCGGCGATCGGGGATGCGCGGAATGACGGGACGAGGCCGCGAATGATAGCTGTCAGATCGCGATCGCAGTTCCGCGAACTGTCAAAATAGAGCTTTTTTTTTTTTTTTAATTTTCTTTCCCTCTATTTTTCCTCTCTTTTTTTCTTTCGCCCAATCAACGACGATGCAGATCACACCGCCATTTTAACGAGGCATTCCGCACGACGGATCGTCCCCGTCTTCTTTAACCTTGACGGAGCGGACGGGGCCCTGAGCAATCGAGCGCCGTCGATGTTTCTCGAACAATCTCGCTTCTTTTTCTCTCTCTCTCTCTTTCTTTCCCCCTCTTTCTCTCGCACGCGAGTTCACGACCTCGCGAGAAGATACTCTCCTCTCGTGCTCGATCTTATCGTGTCGTTCGACGTCGTCCACGAGGAAAACTCGTCCTTTTCTCCCCCCACCCCCCACGTGATATATATATATATATATATGTATAATATATATTATCGCGTCAGAACACCAGACACGCGTGTATATACATGTGCGCGCGCGCGCTCACGCGTCGAACACAACCTCTCCTTCTCTTCTACTCTAGTGAGAATGTTCACCTTCAACGTGCCAGCTCGCGGGTGAACTGGAGGAGACGCTCGTACATCGGCGATATCGTCGATGCGCAATTGTATGCATGTATGTACATGTAAGGTCCGCGCGCGTCCCCCGGTTCCGTTTTCCGCACTTCTCTCTTTTCTCCTTTCTTTGTTTTCTTATTTAAATAATAATAATAATACAATACGCCGTAACGCAAACCGACCCTTGCATTGCGTGTCACTTCTTCTCACTCTTCGAACGGTACACGCGACGATAATGCGCGACCGTGACGCTTCCGAATGATCTCGCGAACGTGCGCCAAGTTCTCGGAGACGCGTCGTCCGATGCGGGTAAGACTGAAGTCGCAAGCGAATCGGCTGTCGTAACGAGGTGACGTCGCGAGACCAGTCTACAGCCAACTTCGGGACAAAATTCTGGCGGGAAATTTGTCCAAGCGATATTCTCGTTACTGATTTAATGAAAAACCCGATCTATGTATTGCGAATTGTTTGGGCTTCCATTATTTTTAATTTTATATATATTTATATTTATTAATATAAATTTATATATATATATATAATATATATAATATTTATATCTATTAATATAAAATATACTATCGTATAGTATATTTAGATCTATTAATTATATTAATATATAGTATATTTAATTGTATATATAATTAAATATTTAATATATAAATATAATTATATATATATATATATATATATATATAAAATTATATTTATATATTAAATATTTAATTATATATACAATTAAATATACTCTATATATTAATATAATTAATAGATCTAAATATACTATACGCAACTTTTAAAAAAATTTACACTATAGCTATATATATAAATAAAATTATATATTTTTTTTCAATATATATATGTATAGATGATTTATTATCCACAAAATAAATAAGCTTTTAATAAATTAGTTCTTTCTCACTTTACACTTGTCGATAGATTCAAAAATAAGATCGACTATGGAGATATCCTCACCCATGACATAACGTGACTTTTTATGAATTTTTTGCAATATGGTATTATTCTTAATACCATGCAAAGTACAATGTATCTTATCTAAATAACTATCTATCTTAGTCGCATAGAATGGTCCGTTCCCTTCATATTTTAATACATTTGCGTTGCTCAGTTCAATCAAGCGATTTAAATATCGCGCTATGTTCACTATTCCCTGAATTCTATGCATTTCCGAGAACACCATAATGGGATCAATCCCGACAGTTTTCCAAATCAAAATGAAAGACATCTCCGCGTGCGCGTTGCTGCTGGAAAAGTCTGAACAGAATCCAACAAGCTCATTAGAAAAATTCGTCACTGTAGAATGAACATATGTTGACACAGAAATATTAAAATATGGTTTTACAAGTCGTAATAAAGGCTCGATAAAATAAATTGGATAATTTGGATCGCAAAAAATAACAAATTGTTGATTAGAAAAGCTTAGCTTTTCTGAAGGATTCGTTGTCTGCTTGATGTTTGCTTCTTGATTTGCTTGATTGCTTTTAATTGACTTTTCTTCTTGTGTTTTTTGTTGTAAGAGCATCATGTAACGGCTGGTTCTGCAAACAAAGATAAATTGAATACTTGACTATTTTACAGCAATTACCTTTATTAGAATTTAGAATATTTTTTACACATATGTATAAGAAATTTCTTATTTTTTAAATAATTTACCTAATTTACGTCCACAAAAAAAGTAATTTCTAACATAAATACCTTAATCTTAGAATGATATTTACTTCTCTAATCGACAGATAGGATTGTTATAAACCATTTCCATGTCCACCTTTGGTCCAACAAGATCACGTATGTTGTTCAAACCATATTTAATCATTGTTGGTCTAGTTTAAAAATAAAATGTTATGATTTTATATTGAATCGCAGAATTGTATGTAAATTATATTTATTTTCATACCTTTCTAACGACAAACCCCATCCAAGAACATTTACATCAGGGGGTAAATTCAATGGCAATAACAACTCAGGCCTAAACATGCCACTGTTACCAATTTCTATCCATTTCTCCAAGCCATTATGAAAACAGAATATTTCCATGCTTGGTTCAGTATATGGATTATACGCAGGTTTAAATTGAAGTTGAGTGATGCCAAGCTTTTTGAAAAATTCGTATAAAATACCAATAAGATCACCAAGTGAAACTTTATAATTGGCAATAACACCTTCAATTTGATGAAACTCTGCAAGATGTGTTGCATCTAAAGTCTCATTGCGGAATACTCTATCAATACTGAAGTATTTCACCGGCTTAAACTCTCCCTGTAAAATATTTTTCTTCGTGATTCATCCTTTTAAGAGAAACAATTTATTAGTTTCTTCTTGTTATATACCTCCTGCATGAGTTTATATAACATCCGTGCAGTAACAGCTGTTGTATGAGTGCGCAGCAAATTTTTCTGTGCCTCTTCCAATTTCCAATCATATCTATAACCTTGAGATCCATATCCTCCTTTACTATGAACAGTTTTCACACGTTCAAGATATTCCATGGGAAATTTTGTAGAAATACGTGGTTCTAAAATATGTAACCAATCTTGTATCTATATTTTCAAGTGTATTATTTCATGTATTATATTGTGATAAGATACCAGAGACATAAAAGGTATCATGTGCATCACGAGCTGGATGTTGTTGCGGCTGGAACAAAGCATCAAAATTCCAGAAAGAACTTTCTACATAATTATTTGTCGGCATTTCTGTAAATCTGAAACAAAAGTGCTTTACATTTTTATGATGCAATAATCAATAATTTTGTGTAACACTTAAATATGTACATTAATATAAAATTAAAGCTTGAAACACAATACAAATCTTGACAAAAGAGTTTAATATTATTTACCCCATTTCTAGGAAAATTTTTCTAAATTCTTGACGAACTTTTAACAATGGATGCAAATGTCCAATTTGAAGTGCTGCACCTAGTGCCTCGAAATTGTATGGTTTGAATTTCTTATTTTTCCAAGCACCATTTGCTAATAAATCCGATGTTAAATCTGCTTCTAGTTTTTGTATTTTTGTAGAAAAGTTTGGCCCTTTTTCCACATGCATAATTTTAATTAATCTATAATTTGTAAAAGAAAAAAGGAAATGAGGAAAAAATGTTTCATTGTATTTTATATTGTTCTTTAACTTTTGCAACTACTTACGTATCTTGCAGAAGCTTTCTCTTCTTATATTCAATTTTAACATTTTCTGGGATATTTGCAAGATCATCCATTAAATGGACTTGTATGTTATCTATAATAAATGGTACTTTTTTTCGTACAATAGGAATACTTCCACTTTTATCAATCTCAATCCATCCAGCAACCATTGCTTTGGAAAAACCTACTTTAGCATAAGGAACAGATTTCATAAGTTCTGCCTGAGATATTCCATTATTAGGAACATTTCTGTAAACAACCGCTTCATGACTGCCATGTTCTATTACATGTTGACCCTCAGTTGTGATTTCCCATTTCTTTTTAGAGATTGGTTTCACTATGATCAACTATCAAAAAGAAATTATATTTAAATAATAAAATTACAATTTAAGTAAATAAAGCTTTTCAGATTAAATGAACAGAAACAATTTCAATTAATAAATAGCATAATTAAATACATATCTATAATATTAATCTTATCTAATAATTCTACAGATTGCAAAAATATTCAATTAGTAGTTAAATTCCTCTTGCACTGACTTGTCAAATGCATAAATAATTGAACATCGTACATAAATAATTGAAGATGAAACTTTAATTAACAGACGCGTAACAATTAACGAGCAATAATGTATTATTGCAATAAACTTACATTGTCCATTGTTTCAAGGCTCTTGATAGCTCCTATGATCTTCTGATGATCCTCTTGAAATTTCTCCGCCAAATCCAGCGAATCCGTGTCATCATAGCTGTCTAAATATTCTAAAATTCGGTCTGTCAGCTGTTTTGCCATCTTGCATCGATTAATGTGTTGTATAATCAAATCGTACGTATAATTTATCGTAACCGGCGAAAACCACGTGGTACAAATTCAATATTAACAGATACTGGCAGTATCTTTTGTCGTTCTGGCATATAAAACGACAACTTGTCACAAAACATAAGCATAGAAGTATAAAAATAGTTAGAAGGAATGCGAGGTTCTATTTTTAGTGCACCTTTACCTGTCATTATTGGTTGCGTTCCAAATTTCCATGGACCAACCAAAATAAGAGATAAAAATATTTTTGTTTTGATTGGTCAATCGAAATATTTCGAGTTTACGCTCTAGATAAATAATATTTAATGTCTGAGCTTAGAGAGGTCGCTTCGCAAAATCATGTTTGAAAGCCAAGTTGAAGATTGACAACTAATTTTTTTTTTTAAGTTGTGGTTACATACATTAAATTAAATTGTTATATATATATATATATATATATATATATATATATATATATATATATATATATATATACATACTCTTATAATTTTTTGTCTGATAAAAACTATTCTAATCAATATTTCATGTAATTTGTGAAGACGTTTGTGTGATTTGTGTATTCTTACAAATCCTCAGAATGCAATATAAATGATGCCATACTATCTAAATGTCTTTTTTTTAAATTAATATTGATTATGTTAAAAAGTTATCACTACCAATTGATCAAATTTGTCTCTGAAGTACAAAGATGGCACAAAGTCCAGAACAAAGTGCCGAAATGGAACTTACGATACAAGATACTGAAACTTCAAATGATCCGGACACCAAAGGATTCAGTTTATCAGCTGGAAATATCTGGATATATCCGGAAAATTATCCAGTTCGCCAATACCAGTATAATATAGTTCAATCAGTTTATACAAAAATACCTTGGTTTGTTTGCCTACTGGTATGAAAAGAATTATTTGTTATTACAATAACAACATAAATTAATTGTGCGTATTTTTATTTTTAATCTTGTTGCAGGTTTGGGAAAGACTTTTATCGCTGCTGTTGTGATGTACAATTTCTGGAGATGGTATCCATTTGGAAAGATTGTGTTTTTAGCACCGACAAAACCTCTTGTTGCTCAACAAATTGATGCATGTTACGAAATAATGGGTATTCCAAGTGTTGAAATGATAGAACTTACAGGTTTTAATATTTTACTATTATAACTTTAATAGTGTACATATATATATATATATGTGCTTTAAATAATGTATTCTATAGTTATGTGTATGTTATATATACATATATATATAAATGTATTATAGGCGCAGTTAATCAAAAAAATCGTGAAATGGCTTGGTGCAAGAAAAGAATAATATTTGCCACTCCACAAATATTTCATAACGATCTTGAGAGATCAGTTGTTCCCAGTCATTTAGTTAAATGCATTGTTATAGATGAAGCTCATAAAGCTTTAGGCAAACATTCATACTGTGAGGTAAAGAAACATTAGTAATATATGAATTACTAATTGTTATTTCTGTAATAAACTGATAAGGTTTATAATTTTTAGTGTATCAGGATATTATCCACTAAGAGTCAGTGTTTTAGGATATTAGCACTTTCTGCTACACCTGGAAATAAAATGGATAATGTTCATGAAGTAAGTAACAATTCTGTATTATATATTTTTTTATTTTTATGGAGATTAAGTGTAAAAAAACAATTATTTTATTTTTCTAATATGTTTTGTGTAGGTAATACAAAATTTACATATTTCCCGTTTGGAATTAAGAGATGAGACTTCAATTGACATAGTGCCATATGTTAATAAAAGAAAAGTAGATATTATTTTGGTACCACTTAGCCATGAATTAGCTACATTCAAAGACAAATATATTGTTATTATGGATCGCCATGTTAAATTTCTTATGCAATGTAATATATTACAAGCTCAGACTGCAAATATATCTAAAGGAAGGGTAATTATAAATTTAGTTTATAGAAGTGTAATATAATGTATAATAATTTAACCTATAATAATAATAATTTAATGATATAACTTTGACAATGTTTTGCAGATATTTCATTTATTAAATGAATTTAAAAAAAAGACAGACAAATCTGGAAATTATGGACAAATTATGAAGACATTAAATATATTATTAACTATGTATCATGCTTATGAACTTATGATCAGACATGGATTGCGTGCCTTTTGTAAATTTTATGAAAGTATGTTATTTATACTCTATAAACTATTATAATTAACTTTTTAAAATATTCTGCAATTATATATTTATTAACAAAGATAAAGATTTTTAAAAAATTATTTTTTAGCTCATTCTGATAAGTTTTGGATACATAATGAAAATCAATTGCAAAGTTTACTTCATGATATACAAACTTATCTCGGACCATTCCCGGATATACTTCCTAATGGACATGTAAATGAGGTTTGTAAAAATATCCTAATAATACAATAAAATTTTTATAAAATATTTTTGAAAATTAATTATTTCAGATACCAGTAAATCTTGTATTTGGACATAATAAATTTTACAAATTAAAAGAATTGCTTGAGCATCATTTTAAAAGCAATAACGGTGATCAAAGAGACACAAGAGCTATAGTTTTTGTTGAAGTTTGTATATTATTTTTTCATTTTTTATATATAACAATCTTGTTTTTATTTTATATTTTAAAATTATAATAAAAACATATATAGAGTATTTAAATTTATATTCGAAAATGTTAATATGTTATTCTACAAATCTCTAGTACAGAGACATAGTCAATGAAGTTTATATTTTACTCTTGAAATCAAAACCAGTAATCAGACCACAGATGTTTGTTGGTCAAGCTGGTCAGAAACAGAAGCAACAAATAAAAGCATTGGAGGATTTTCGAAGCAATCATGTCAATGTGTTGATTTCAACAAGTATAGGTGGGTAAAAATATAATTATTGCATAATTATTAATAATAAACAGAACAATGATTTTAGTTATCACATTTATCGATCTTATGGTTATATGTATCAATCTTCAAATGTATTAATTTTTTTATAATGTATGATTCAGGTGAGGAAGGATTGGACGTAGGAGAAGTAGACCTCATAATATGTTTTGATGTATCACAACATTCTCCAATAAGATTAGTTCAAAGAATGGGTAGAACGGGACGTAAACGAGATGGTCATATAATTATTCTTGTTACAGATGGAAAGGAACACGAGGTAATTGAAAATATATATTACATTATATACTTCTTTATATATATGCCTTCCAATATTACTAAAATGCTTTGTAGAATTTGAAGTCCACACTTTCTAAGAGAGACTCTTTGAACAATAAAATATTAAACACAAGCAACATTGTCTCTTCCTTATATGAGAATAATCCTAGAATGATACCAAGTCAATTTACTCCAAAATGTTACAAGATGCATATTACTGCACCTCCAAAGACGCCAAATGTAAAGAATAAAAGGAAAAGGAAAGGAAATGAGAAAAAGGAAATCAAAAAGAAGAATGAAGCATTTTGCACAAAACAGAAAGAAAGTGAGTTATTTTTATGATTAATTTAATTTTATATTTATTTTTTTATATTTTATTATATATTTATAAGACTAGCAGAGATTGTCTAATATCTTTTTTTGTGTGAAAAATGTATATATTTATTTTACATTTACATTTATTTATATTATTTATTTTATATTTATTTCACATAGCCTCAGCTATAAAAAAAGATACAAATCAATCATCAATGATGAAGTTTCTTATGAATAAATGCAATGAACAGAATCAAAATAATATATGTAATAATCTTACTCAACCAACACAAAGTAATAAACTGCATAATACAATAAATCCTAATAATGTCAAACTGCTATCTGATGATAACGCAGGAGTCGATTTTCTGACATTATGTGCAGTAAAAATGTCAGAAGAAGAAATCTCATCAGAGAAGACTGTATGTAAAATGGATACAACTTACATTCCTGCGCCAAAGCCAGTTAAAGATTTATTCAATTTTATATTGCCTAACATAGAAGTTATTAATTGTTTATCTTCCTTTATGAGAGTTAAAGATATTTCATTAGCAGAAGATAAAGAAAATGATTTGTCAATGCAATGTAAAAATAATGAAGATGAAACTATTCATAACAATGATTGCATTGATATTATAGATGATAATAATGATTGCATTGATATAAATGATAATAATTTTTGGTGTACTGTTCAAAATGAGAAAAACATTGATGACAACGAAATAAGATTTGAAGACATACTTGATGAAAGTTCTGACTCGGATAAAACAACAATTTCACATATAAATCAACAAGTTAGAGATGTTAAATTAAATTCGATTAATACTGAAGCTTCTGTATCTAATACGAAAGATAATGACAAAATTACTGATATAGGAACAGATGTACCAAATAACACAACAGATTTAGAATCTAGTTTATTTGAAAACATATTAGATGAGTCATTTAGTTCAATTGAAGATGACTTAGAAAATCAGGAAATACCACGACAAAATATAATATCTTCAAACTTTCCAAATGTTTCTGTTAATGAAAATATTAATATTACTAGTGAAAATATTGTTACCACCTTTGATGAGAAAAATAATGTTACTAAATCTAATTCAAATTCATCATTATTTAAATTACCTGCTAAATCTAATCAAATGAATAAATTTATAAAAAGTTTCACAGACGAAATGCAAGATTTGGTTTTTGATAGTGATGATGATATAAATGATTTTGTTAGGCATAAATCTAATATAGATAAATCCATGCACAATTCGAAAACGGACGAAAGTCTGTTATCTATAACTCAAGCTATTGATGTAATAGCAGGAATAAAAAAAGATTCGAAAATATCGCCGAAACCTTCTATATGTAACGAGGAATCAATTGACGAGAGTGCTGGTTGGATTTCTGTGAATACTAAAAATGACACTAAAATCGAAAAGAGAAACACGAGTCCTAGAATAGGAAACAAGTTATCAAATCTTTGCAATTCTACTCCAAAATCCTGTACTGTAAAACAGAATTTCGATTTCTTGGATGATTCCGATGAAGACTTCATGATCATAGAGAGTAACAGAAAGAAATTTAATGAGCTTGAAAGCTGTTATTTTCGCGATACGTCAAAAAATTGTGAAGATAAAAATAGTTGTTTGCCTAGTACATCGAAAAATTCAGAAAGTGACTACTTTCATACCACATCGAAACACTTGGAATCCACAAGCTGCTATGATAATAGATTGACAAATATGGAGCCGCATACATCAACGTTGATTAATAACAAACGTGCGACATTGTCTTTGAAACGAAATAAGATCCAACATCCGGACAAGATAGACTTGAGTTTATTTAAAGCACCTAGTAGATACATGAATAGTAAAAAAGATAATAGTATTTTGGAATCTAGTTCGTCAAAACAAATATTCCCTTCGGATAAAACGATCGAACAGAAAATGAAGCGTGAACGCAAACATAGAAACAATGTTAAAAACGAGTTTATAGATGACGAAGCGGAAGTAGATTCTGACGTCAGTTCAGATGAAACCATTGTTATAGATGAAGATGATCTTGCAGATTTCGTGAGCTATACACAACATCAAGATACTGTTGACATGCATGCGCATTATTTGCAAACTATTAAGAGTCCGATCAAGCGACCAGGTGCCTTTCATTTCAGAAAACCACCATCGCCTGATTTAGATAGAGAACTCTATTCGCAACCTTTGTCACAAGTGGAAGATTCGTATCTTTATGTATGTAAATTATTTGATCTATTGCAAGCTATGTGCTTAAATTGCCACATATAATCGATCAGATTTTTTTATACAAAATAAACCAACGGAATATTTATTTAACTTTGATTTCAGGATTCATTTTGCGTTAAAGAAGATGTCGAGTCGAGCGTACTTGCCGATAACGATACGATATTAGAAAGAGCTGAAAGGAAATTAGAACGAAACAGGCGAAAACATTCCTGTTCAGATAAGAAAACAAGAAATGTCAAAAGACAAAGGACAGATAATTCCGAGAGTAGTGAAGACGAGATCGAACAACTGCGCATACAAGTGCAAAATGATTAATTAAAAGGAGGAACAGAAATCGAATCAAACGGTGATGTATAATAGCTATAAGAAATTTATTTTTAGATGTACAAATCATGTGTAAATACACTCGTTAAAGATTCATTATTATTTTTTTTATAACGATGTTTTCGTATAACATTGTGTATAGAGATCTATCTTTACAATCGGATAACAATGATTTATGAATGATAGTATATCTTCATCAATTTTTTTGAGACGCGTAATTTCTCGATTTATCCAAAACTCGTGTTTTTTTTCATTACTTACTCTAATGACATTTTGTCGTCATTTTTTCAACGAAATATTTTCGTAGTTTATATCCACTTGTACCTATATATCAAAGCTTTCGTAAAAAGATATAATTTCTTATGTATATGTTTACTCATGATAAAATGATGGATTTATAGATAATATGTCTGTTAGCTTACTGTAATTGATTATTTTTAATAGTAACAGGCAAGTTCTGAATAAGATAATTAAAACATTGTAATACGAAAATTATACAAATATGATTGTTTATTTATTTATATAGCTTTTTTATATGTGAATATCATATCAAAATCATTGTCAAAAATATTAGACAAATGTACAGTAATACAGGATATATAGCAAGCTATTCCTTCGAATGATAAATGCGGAATGCGAAACGATTTTTTTCAATAAAGGATAAGGGATAAAAACTATTCAGGACAATCATAGGACAGTCATAGGACAGTCATAGGACAGTCAGATAAGATACCAGATAGTCAAAAGAATAATGCATCGGGCATATATATATAAGGACTGAATGCAGACATCTTGTGTCAGTTTCAAATTCTTACTGAGTGAAATAACTTCATTTTTCGAGATTATTGAAAAAAAACAATATTGTATAATAACGCAAGAGCAACAAGTTATTTTCTACAAGATTAATAATTAAATAAATAAATTTAAAATAGTCGTGTTATCACATTATCATTTAATCGTCATATAATTCCTAAATGATATTGATAGTTGAAAATTTTTAATATTTCTTTTTTGATATTTCAAAGGTCTACTTTGCATTGAAAAATGTTTTTTCCTATGATTATTTCAACTTTGATTAGTACGGCGTATGCAGCAACAATCGAACCAATGCATGTTAGGGAGAGGTCAGAAAGGCAATTAATGAACGAGCAGTTGCCTATCAGTGGTGTGCAAAATAATAACTCTGTGCAAAATAATAATCCTCCACCATCTTCGTATACTTATCCAACTTATCCAGAATACTCGAGCAACACAGGAAGAGTTGAAGTGACTACCGGATATGAGGGCTATTTGGCCCCGAAAACGACGGCTGTACAGAAAATTTCCCGATTGCCGTACGAAAACATCTTCTCCAGTTTAATACCTTTCGTCGCTAGTTTGGTCTTCTACTCTGCTCGCGCTGGTACCTTCCTGCTGCCACTTGTCGTAGTCATTTTTGTGGGTGTTTCTAGCAGCTTGGTTTGCACATACACATCGATCTGCAATTCTTTCACGGACAAAACCAAGGCAAGTTGAAATATTTTTGCAACTAATATGTCATTTATTTTCCTCAGGAATGAATAAGGACGATCTAGACTTGAAAGCCACACTTGAAATAAAATTGTGTTAATATCGTGTTAAGCTTATTAGAGAGTTTTTTTACTATTTTATATATATATATATGAGATTGCAATTTCACTGCAAGAATTTATTTTTTGGAATTATTTTATATTGCATTTTTTCAATGATCTTTTTATTTTCTTCTAAAATTTATATTTAAAATAATACTAAGAATATAGCTGTATCAATGCATTATCTACATGCACACTAGCAAACGGACAGACACTGACTACTTATAAGAATGATTCTTATATATGAAAATGATGAATATATATTCATATATGTGAAGCCTTTTTTATAAATAGTTATTTATATTATTTGATTTAATGATTTTATTGTTTATGGTACAGGAATTAGCCGGCATATATATGACGCCGGAAAACTTGGACATCGCCACCGCAATAGTTGGCAAAACGTTTGATAAGTATAGCTTTATATAGTAAGCTGGATAAGAGGGATGCCAAACACAAATAAGAGTTTAGGACAATAGGCAAAAAAATTATCGGACAAGATGCGAAGACTCAATGATGTTGTTTTATACATCTTTATGTAAAAAGAATATTTGATGATTTATGAATTTTTTTGTTATATATCGTAAGTCATTTAACATCTAATTTGTTCATCATTATTTTGCATGTTTTATACTATTATACTCGCTTTTTCAGTAAATTTTACGTGTTAGTGATAATCTTTGATGTTTATGGAAAGCATTTCAATATAAATGATAAAATATTTTCGTAAAACTTAGTAATTTACATCTTATACGATAATCACTATAAAAGTTCCTGTTATTTCTTATATTCCACATTTGATTTATATAAGTAACTATCATTTAATTATATATTTTTACGTTAATAACCGCAATTGTTTTCCATGCGTTCATGCGTATTATCACGCCTGACTGGATTTTTATGAAATACAAATCTCTCTGTGTTAAATGTACAAAGGTCTAAGAATTTTAAAGTCAGAGGAAATATGATTATCGTAAATCAATGTTATGTAAGTTTTCTTACTTTTTATATTTTTTTCTGTGAATATATCTATATATAAAGAGAAAAAAATGTATACAGAAAACATCAAAGAACTTATACAACATTGACAATAATGTAATTAAATGTTTTTAATTAGTTAATTCATACGATTAATGTAGATATTGTTAATTAGTTAATTCGTATGATTAATGTAGATATTGTAAAGATTTTACATAAAAAGTATTATTAATAGCGAAATCTTATAATTTAGCATATACAAAATTGTTCATTCTTGAGTCATGTTCACAGTTTCCTTCTCCTGCCAGAGATCTTTCCGCACCTCTCCACGCATTACCACTACTCTTTCTCGCGGATGGATTATAATACACCGGATTGTCAGGCACTGACCGGTTTTAATCGTATACCAGTCGCGTCACGAACGTGTTACAGTCTGACTATCGTGAGCGTCAAAGGCTGAAAATCACAATAATTTATAAAGTATAAGACTGAATAACAAATCCTGACAGTACGGAGCAATTCATCAATCATGCGGCTCAAATTGGGTAAATGAAATTTTTCTTTCTAAAATTTTTTTAAGTTTTAAAGATAATAACACAAAATAACAGATCAAAATATAAAACAATTATTAAAGCATATTTTCAAAATATTTTAAATTTAATTAAACATCTCTATTATAATGTCATTGAAAAATATAAAGGTCCAAGTATATACATATATATATGTGTGTGTATATATATATATATATATATATATATATATATATATATATATATATAATGAAATGATTGTAATTATCCAATGATTTTAATTAGTACAATTCACAATTAATCATTCAATCTGTGTCCAAAAATTGAATTCTCTTGAATTAATGAATCTCCATAAAAAATGTGGAATTAAGTAAACGCCAAAGATAAACAGGATGCAACTGGAGATCAGTGTTGAAGTCCTCGAAATGTTTTTTCTTATAGACTATAAAAAGTTCAAGGTCTTGTTTACCAAATGAGGTTGCTGACCGCCAACAAAAATGCGGTTTCCTCGAAGTTAAGTTTCCGTTTGGATTATATCTTTGTGGTTACTATTATCAACTTGTACTATCCGGAAATGTTGTTATGAATTATGTATTGTGAATTATACAAAACAGATACGAAACAGGAAATTTATTATATGAGATATGCAGATAATTATAGAAAACTCTTGAAAACACTATATTATTTTATTTATTCAAACATTTGAATTAGAAGATTATTAACGAGAAGAAATATTATATCACTGTGTAATAAATAATTTAATATAACAAAAAATTTGTTCATCTTTATATATATAAAACTAATATATTATTTACTTGATATTAAATTCTATTGTCATTATTTACAAGTTTATTTTTAATTATGAACTCATTTTTGAAATTTATTTTGAAGATTTTTGTCATTATCTTTCTTTTAGATCTTTAAGTCAATTTTCAATTTTTCAAAAAGTATATTGGTAATTAAATTTTAAATTTTATATACCTATATTTGGTACGTATATATTATTTATGTATTTTTTTGTTAAAAAACTTATGCTTGAAATTAACGTGCTTTATTATTTTATTTACACTTTATGTATTTACATTTTAAGTACGTCAAAACTCGTTTTCAAAAATTCATAATAAAAAAACATAAGAAAGAAAATAAAAACATGATTGCCTCAATCAGTTTGTTAAGCAAAAAACTTTAAATTAAAATAGAAAATAATTTATAAATAAATAATTTATAAAATAAAATTGACGATTTTGTGTATGTGTGTGATCCAATATACATATATTCGAGGATGTATATAAATAAAAAATATTTAATTACAGAATATCTACTGTGTCTCTCAATCATGGTATTTTTTATAAAAAAATGTATGTGCGTTATAACGCCAGATCTTGCACAGACAAACAATTCTTCAATTACTCCCCAAACTGAAGATGAGGAAGATTTTGTACCCTATCATGGAGAACGCTTCTCTGCTTTCGATTGGATATTGTTCAGGGTATTTAAATTCATAGTCTCTTGAAAATTTAATAACGACAAATATCTAATTTGAATATTTAATTGTAAGAGATAAGACATGTAAAAGAAAAATCTTTTAACATCCTTTAGAATTCTTTCAGATAGTTTAAATAGTTATATTTTGCTTGATTAAATATTGTTCCTCTTGCTTTTTCTTTAGAATTTGGCCAAGACGAATGCAGGGAATGTATTACTGTCACCAATATCCATAAAGTTAGCATTAGTGCTTCTTTATGAAGGAGCTCAAGATCAAACCGCACGTGAACTTGCAGAAGTCATGCAGCTTCCGCTTAGTGTGCTGGCTACTCGAGAGAAGTTTAACAATATCTTAAAATCTTTGCAAGTAATTAATTTATAAATATGCAAAAATATTCTCATATTATTTTTTCCAAAAGGTTTTATGTACAAAACATATATAATATAAAATTATGTACTATCTTTGTTGATAGGCTCAGTCTCCTGCTTATGCTTTAAATATTGGATCACGTATTTATATCGATAATAATGTGCTGACCAGACAACGCTACGCAGCGACAATAAAAACTTTTTATAATACTGATGTGATCAACGCCAATTTATCTGATACGCATACAATTGCGACTAAAGTTAATTCTTGGGTCAATAATATTACGAATGGACATATTGAAAAAATGATAGATGATGGTAGGTTTGCTTAAAGCTATCTTGATGATATATGAAACATGTGTAAAAGATCTATTCCAGTTAAATAATTTTTCTATAATTATTTTATATAATTATACAAATATAATATGTAAATATATAATTATACAATTTGAATTAATTGCAAAATAATGCAGTTGTAAAAAAACAAGATACTTCGTTACATTAATTAGTAAGATTTATACAGTTATAACGTGTCTCTATCTACATAATATTAATTTTATATTTTAGAAAAGAGTTTGGAGAATTCGGTGATGCTGATCGTGAATGGATTATTCTTCAAAGGTGCTTGGCGCCGCAAGTACTTTGCACCCGAGAACACACGCGTTTCCAAATTTCACCTCAACCCCAATCAGAGCGTAAATGTATCGTATATGCATTGTGTAGCTCGATTTTATTATGCCGAATCATCAAGACTCGATGCGAAGATTCTTCGAATTCCCTATGATGTATGTGACAGTCTATATAATTTTATGAATAGATAATCATGGAAATAACGAGAATAAAAATTTTTCAGGGCTCCAAATTTGCCATGTATATTGTACTGCCACACACGTTGACCGGTGTGAATCATATTGTCAATCAGATTAATTCATACATACTCGCGAGCGACATGTGGAACATGCAAGAATTGCCTCTCAACGTTTGGATTCCGAAATTCAAATTCGAATTCACAAGTCATTTGGAACATACTTTGCGTGAGGTAATTTATTCATTATTCTATATTTAAAAAAAGCATTAAATATATCATATTCATTAAGTTGAAATGCAGACATACATTACCGATTTAATAACGGTTTTTCTTTTGTATAAAATTCACTTTGTACAATCTTAAAAATATGTTTATTATTATAATATGATTATTTTTTACATGCTTTTTTCTGTTCTGTAACAGCTTGGTATTCGCGATATCTTCGATGATACCGCGTTGTTAACAGGTATAGCGAAAACAAAACGGGCTTCCAGACATTTACAAGTGTCTGATGTGGTGCATAAAACTGGGATAGAAGTAAATGAAAACGGGACAGTTGCTTATGCTGCAACAGGTATATATGTTTTATATATTATATATATAATACAAAAATTACATATATGTATATACATATATTAATTAATAAAATTTATTTTATATAATGAATTCATTGAGAAATACGCAAAATAAAGTAAATAAAAATAAATATGTATGTTAGACGTGATATTTTCGTAATTTTTTAAATAAATTTTACCAATTATATAATTAGAATTTATTTAATCTTTTATAAAATTTATTCAGATGTTAGTGTTATCTACATACATTTGCATACATCTTAAATATAATTAAATTTATAAAAGAAATAAGAAAATGTACATTCGTATTATACTTATTTGAATATTTCAATATTTTTTCAACTCAGTTGCTTTATTTGATTGTTTATAATATATCATAAGTGGAAAATATGATTAAAAAAGTGCATTTTTTGCATTTGAAATATTTTTTTGTCATGTCCTTTCTGTTACTCTTATATTTGTTTTGTCTTTAACAGAGGTACAGATTGGAAATAAGATAGAAGAGGGCACATTCCATGCTAATCATCCATTTGTGTTTTACATCGAGGACGAAACCACTGCTACCATTCTTTATATAGGCATAGTGCAGAATCCCTTGAGTGCATCTGGGACTACAGGGAAAATATCGCAAGAATTTCCGTCACGATTTAATCCGGATGCAGCAACAGTAACTCCTAATCCCGGTAAATTATCATAAAGTTATTTAATGTCTTTTATGATGGCGATAATGGCTACAATGTAATAATGGTGTGGTTTTACTCCGGTGTAAGAATTTCTCTTTAGCAAATAGACTTTGATTAATCTTATAGTTAGCTGCGTTGAATAAAATAAAAAAATAGATACTATTAATATTTAAATTTTCTCTTTATTAACAGCGGTTTGGTGTTGTACAGGGTATTTAGACTTAAATTTTTTGTATTATTAAAAAAAAAAAAAACAAAAAAGAGAAAAAGATAACGCATAAGATTAGTTCTTTTCTAAAGATCAAAGATCTTTTATTCAGAATGATACTGTTTACCTAAAAAGGATATTTTTATTTAATATATTGTTTAATATATTGTTTCTTTGTCTTTTCGAAAATAAAATTCGAAATTTGAAGTAATATTTGAAAAAAATATCTCTAAAAATACCCTGTATAAATAAAAAGGGTCTGTTTAGGAAAAGGAATTATTGGGTGAAATAATTAACATATTAATATTGCATGCATTAGTAATACATGTATTATCCTTTATGTAATATTCTATTTCCATGTATTTGTATTTGTAGTATATAATTGTATTTTGATAGATAGTTAAAAATAAGTTAAGAGTTGGACAAAATCGGTTTTCCGATTTGACTAAGTTTTATTTGTTTAGATTCGTCGAATATATGAACAACTTTTTTTTTGCAAATATAAAAAATATATTCTATACATTAGAATATCATAAAACGGGATTTTTTGGCCAATTTTGCTTTAAATTATAGCGTTATTAAATATTTGGATAACACACACTATATATTATTATAAATAAAAAAATTTACTCTATTAATTCCTATTCCCCGTGTGTAATATTAAGTTTTTGCATAAATTTCACGAATCAATTATTTATTTTAATTCTCGATATAACTTTATCGAATGTCAATATATATGCCAAAGATATAAATTTATTTGTACAAAGTGTAAATTTATGGATTGTTATAGATTTTATGTAACAAATACCTAGGCATACATCTTCGCAATACAAGAATCCGAGTTTAGATAAGTTAGTAGTAGTAAGTAGAGAATAGTAAGTGGTATATTTTTTATATAACTTTTTAAATATATATTTTATGTATACGCTCGCAAATGTGTACAAAGTAGTAATTCCTTCATTTATTTATGTCCTCTCTCACTCAGTAAAGTATGTCACTCTCAACAGCAATTTAACTATTTCAGGAATGTTGATAAGTAAGAAATTAAATTGTATTTTTTAAATCTAGCAGATCCAAATTTAATCAACTAATTATTAGTAAAACTAATTATTGTATTAAATTTTATTCAAGAATTGATTGGTAACATGTTTCCTCTTGATGAGTTTTCTCTGTCACATTATCTATTAAAATGCAAATAACAAAATTATTATTATGCATGATTATGGGTTATACGCTAATGTTAGAATTATTGATGTCATTATTATAATTATAATTTATTGGTCCTTATCCTTATCGGTGACTATTATGATTCTATGAATTGTTTGCTTTTGCTTTAACTGACGTCTTTATCTTGATGTACCATATAAGTGTCATAAATAAGTGGGACATCCCGATGACGTAGTGGACGGAAATTCCAAAGTAAATTTTCATTCAAAAACTTTTATATTTTTCAATTATATCTCATCAATGTATGAAGTATTTTGTCGCAATTTTTTTTTAATATTGATGTTTTTATAAAACAATAATATTTTAATTAATGGATTTTTAAGTATGTCATGTTTCAAGATAAGACATAATATAGTAATAAAGTTCGTAATTTTATTCTTCAAATTTGCCTAAAATGACACTTCTTTATAAAATAAAATATTTTAGTTTTTGTTTGTTTCTTTCAATAGCTTCACGTATGTTTTGTAAAAGTTTTTATTCTTAATGCCTTGGATCTCTCATCTAACAATAAATTGCATCAGTGCCTAAATAAAGTTTTCGATCAAGAGAGACGGTATATTTTGTCTTATTTTTTATTCTTCAAACATGATTACATCATTCTTGCCACACCATATGCAATTTTTTTCTCATGTACCTACATATATATATAAGCGGCGTTGAAGTATAATAGTATTTACATCATAGCGACGAGGAGAGGTAATAAAACAGGATTCAGCGTTTGTAAAGTGGGGATGACTTCTAGCCGGAAGTTTAGTTATTAGCACCCGCAGACACCCGTGTTTCCGTTATTCGTGATTATCTGTTCGTCGAGAGCTAATATGCGAAATACACAATATTCGCGTGTGTCCAGTTTTGTCGAGTTTCAAGTTGTAAAAATGTTACTACACTTGTGGATTCTCTGTGTCCTCGCAGGTAGCATTTATAAACAATGTAAACGTCTAAGAGACACTTTTTAACAATATTTTTTATAAAGAAAATTGTTAAAATTTAGCATGTCTTTGATGTCTCTTAGACGTTTTTTAAGTGCTTGTATTACATTTGAATTTTCATTATTACATATTTATTATTGCATTAATCACCGACAGATTTATCATAAGTCTTATTGGAATTTTCACCTTCGAATCTTGACGTAATATTTTCTCTTTTACTATAATTAGAATTATTATTTTTTCTTTCATATTTTCCGCTTTATGTCTGATATTTCGTTCGCGAATAACGGAGATAAGAACTCGAATAAGAACTCGATATTTAACGTCACACGAGTCTTATCTTTTGCTACATCGTAAATCAAAATCATTAATAATAATCATAGAATAGCGTTTTCTACGATTACGTAATCGTGCGGTGAAACAACACTCGCAAGTCACTCGACGAGCCTCATGATTAGTTCCCCATCGTTATTCTTCTTTAGTAACTTACAATTAGCCTTTATTTCGTTCAGCAAATAAAATCTTAACAAACAATTGACTTATTGTTAGTAGAGAGGAAAATCCTCTTTTCTGTTCGTGGAGTCATGTAAGTTGTTGGTCATTATTAGTCATGCCAGGTCTTTAATACCGATGATAAGCATTAGGTTCATAATTATTTTTAAAGCTAATAATTATTTGATTAAATATATATATAAATGTAATAGACAGAAACTGTCCGTGGAACTTGCATTATGCATAATTAAACAAATTATTATTAAAATTGCAATGTTATTTTACTCAATGATGATAGAAGATATGAATAGTATATGCATCTCATTTTTGTAACATATATAGAAATAAAATTTATTAATTTAAATTGTTTTCTGTTCAATTGTTTCAGCTGCAACTAGCACCGAAGACCGATACGCTTTTTTCAACATCGATCTCTTGCAGGTGAGGAATTTTAGAAAACTTTAACTGGTGAAAATATAACATAATATTTCACATAAATTCTGAAAAAAAAACAACTAACTTAAGTAGAATTGCTAAAAATAAATTATAAATATACATATATATGGACTTATGAATTTATAATTTTTGAGATATAAGAGGAACTGTTAACTTAAACTCTTTTCTAATTACGTAATTATTAATGAAAAAGTATTTGTATTTGTATTTATGTTTGTAAAAATTTCGTAGAGATTGAACGAGGACATCGAGGGGAATCTAATAGTGTCTCCCGCCAGTGCAAAAATCGGTCTGACGAGTTTGGTGGAAGGCACAGGCGGTCGAACACGTCAAGAATTGCTTGCGGCTTTAAGATTACCACCGGAAGAATATATTATCAGAAGAATAGCGGAACGCACCCTCAGGCCCTTAAAAGTATACAAAAGATTATTAATTTAAACTCGCATTGAAAAAAGTCGATACGATTTCGATGCTGTACACTGAAAAAATTGTTAACTTGATTAAATCTTTCAACTGAATTACTATTTTTTTAATTGAACATATATTAATATTTAAATTAAATTTATACGTGTTTTGTTAGATTTAATATATGTTATATTTAATTTAAATATTTTTATATGTTTAATTAATAAAATATTATTTAGTTGAACGGTTTAGTCAAGTTAACAATTTTTTTCTCACAATCAGTATAGATATATGAAGGTAATTTTTATTCGCGACAACAGAATAAAATTAACGTAGGATAGATGTGTTGTCATATCTATAGTATAGAAAATTTATTTTTTATTTGAAATTTATTTGAAATTATATCGTCTTTTGATCTCTGATCTCTCCTTTCTTTCTATCGAAAATTCGTCTCTTTTTCTATTCATTTTTTATTTCACATTTATTTCAGAGTCATCAAAACGGGACGGAAATCGACGTAGCAACTCGATTATGGGTCAATCCAGCTCTTATAATATCCCCTAACTATAAGAATGCCTTGCGTAATTATTATGGAACCGATATTCAACAGCTAAATTTCGGAAATGCAAATGTTGCAGCGAGCACGATCAACAGTTGGGTTCGTGAACATACACGGAATAACATCAAATCGATTATCCAACCTGGTACTTATTAAATCCTATTGAAAATAGCAAACAACCAAAACAAAAAATTTCATGCAAATTTTTGATCTCCACTAACTTTCTCTCTCTCTCTCTCCCCCCTGACTAAAAGTACTTTATCGAAATTTTATATTATTCTAGGTACTCTTCCCGCCGACACCCAGATACTTTTAACTTCGGCCTTATACTTTAAAGGACGATGGTTGAAATCCTTCGATAGGTATGCTACACATGCACGGTGTTTCCGTGTTCCTCAATACGGCTGCAAAGACGTTCCTATGATGGAGAATACTGCCCGATATCGATATGCCTATATAGCTCCTCTTGATGCTGATGTCGTGGAAATCCCGTACTCGGTAAGATATGATTCTTATATCGTCGATAAATTAAAAAAAAACGCATTTTTATATGAAAGAAAATTCGCATAAGATAATTAATTAACTAATATATAGTTATGGATTCAAAATGCTTCAGATTTCTCAAAAAGTACACACATCTACATAAAAAAATTATTATTAAATATATTTAAATTATTATTAATTAAATGTAGTTAATAATGAAAATTAATTTATTGAAATAAGCCGATATTTTATTTCATATGAACATATTTAATATAAAAGTTATTATTAATTACTATTGTCTAAAGAAGATGAGATTTAATAAAAAAGAAAATTTCTACATAATGTTATAAGGAATATAGTGCATAAAGTGTATTATATATTTTTTTATCTTCTTTGAGATTTTCCCTCTTTGAAAAGCAACATATTAATAAAAATATAAAAGTATAGATATAATGAGACGTTTTTATATAATTCTATTCTAGGAACTAACCGATATAAAATTTATATTTAAGGATGGCAGAACATCTATGTTGATATTCCTTCCATCTCACGAAGATAGTGACCCGAATCTCCAAATTTTATCCAAAGATCTCTCATATGTGCCAATGAGAACTTTACTGAGTAGCCTCAACGAAACTGAAATAATGCTCTCTATTCCACGATTCAGCATTGAGAGCAAATTAGATTTGCGCTCATCCTTGATGCGTGTAAGTATAAAAACATTAATTAAATCTTAATACTTAATTATTATTGTTATTGTTACATTATACATATATATATATATATATATATATACTATTATCAATTCCAATTATGAATAGTTTTTATTATATACATAAAAAATTTATAATAATTATTATATCATTAACAACTACTATAAATATGTGATATATTCATATCACATTAAAAATTAAAAAAATTGAGAATGTATAAACATATTATTTTGATTTAGATGGGTATACTGGACATTTTCGGTATGGCAGCGAATTTTACAGGAATCAAATATAATGATTATTTGCGAATAGGAAATATAATTCAAAATGCTAAAATAGAAGTTGATGAAGAGGGAACTATCGCTGCTGCTGTGACAGGTATCAGCATAATTTATAAAATTTCTTTGAATTTATTATAGCTTGAGAGAGATTATTATATTAACATTTATTTAATTACAGAATTCATGATTGTACCACTCATGGCTAATGTGGCACCAGCTTTTATAGCAAATAGACCATTTATTTTTGCCATTGTTGATCTGGTAACAAGTGAGACTCTTTTTGCTGGTCGTGTCATAGATCCTTCTACGAATAAGTTTGAAAGTATCTAAAGTTAAACCCAATACTCAACCTATTTTATATTAAAATTGCTTTAGACGTATAAAGTAGTATTAGTTATGTATATAATATTACTTTTTATAATGTATCTATATTTTTAGTTACATAATAATGATTGTTCATTCTTTTATACTCCAATAAACGACAAAATAAAATTAATAGAAATATATTTTACACTTCTGTCTTACGAAATATATCGTAAACGCAAAAAATCAAAACCTATACAAGTGGAGCTGATAAAAAACTCGTCAACATCATACACATGTATAAATCTAAGTTGTTATTTATTTATACATATTTGAAGATAGAGCATATATTTGTTACATATAAAGCTAACACACATTGTCTCTAAAATATCTCATTCATTACTCATATCTGTGCTTTATGTCTTTCCATAGTTTCTGAAAAAAGACAGTATCTATTATGCAATCATTGTCCTATTTCGTATGTCTCAGAACGTGTAATAGATTTTATTTTTACATGGTATGTCAATTAATGTTAAAAAAATGGAATATAAATTCTTCATGCGCGCACGCATTTTTCAATTATTATTTACGATAATTGGCATGTAACATTATTATACTATATATATATATATATATATATATATATATATATCAAGTATTTTGAGGTGACATTTAACCTCACTTGAATTCATTGATTTTATCAAATTAGTTGATCGCAAAATTCAGAATACGACACTCAAGAGTGTCAAACGTAATTTCAAATAAAATAGATATAAAATATAGAAAAAAAATATGTATTTACCCCTTTGTTAATAGTTTCAAAAATCTTGTCGGCAGCCACATCAAATGACCTTTCGAAGACGAAGGCGGAGGCTAAAACGACGAGCGTAAATGTAGATGTGCGTCTAAGAACGACATTGTACAACGTGCCACCGATGCCCATTTCTGATTTTAGTTTTTACAGCGTCTTCGCTCGACAGGCAATCACGAAAAAATCAAAACAGAGGTTATATTAAAGTCGACAGACGTGACGGATATTTCAATTCCGATAATGGTGACCTCGTGCGACGATTATGCAAACTTCCGATTCAGGGTTTCCAACATTAAAAAATAATTTTTAAAAAATTACAGAATTTTATTCTCTCTGACGAATGATTAACAAGTGTCATTTCGCATAATTATTGAACTTGTACGATTTAATAACGAATTAAGTAATTAATTAAATAATGAATAAATAAATTAACTTTAAGTATCGAAGAGTATCGAGTTACAATTTTGTTTGAGATTAAATTCGCGCGCAAAGATATCGATAGAAAATATCGATAAAATTATCGAGTTGAAGTTGCAGTCGCGAACGTGAGACACGGAAACGCTGCAGTCTGAATCGTGCCGTAGAAATAAAGATATGGAGGTAAGAGGTAAGTTATAATTGATATATATATTTCAATTTGACTGCGTAGCATATAAATACGGCATGTACATGTCATTGTTGTACGCGTGGTCTCATACATTGCTCTCATTCGCGTGACGACACTCAAACGTCAAACAGGCAGGCGGTGACATGCTCCATATTTATTTTTGGTGTGCTTTATTAAGTAAATATCGACGCGATATGACTTATTTATATAAAGAATTATTTCGTATAATATATATTTATAATAATAGTTGGTTTCTATTTACATCAAAACTCAAATAAATCTCACACTTCTGTCTTTCTTCAATATCCATGAAAGAAAGACAAAAGTAAGATTTATCTGAGTTTTGATGTAAATGGAAAGCAACTCATTTATCACGTATTAAAAAAGTGTATTTTGGTAATTTTCGACCATGTATAACGTATCAATACGGTGTTTGTGCAATCATCTATAATTTGTTGTTAATCTAGATTAGAGGAGAGCTCTGCTGTTGGAGCGCATGCGAAATTAGTATCTAAAAATGTAGCAAGAGGGCGCAAGTATCGGGTTTTACGCGCTTTTCCGCGTTATTTCCCGCCATAATGAAGTGCATGTCGCCAGCCATATTAAAGTCGGAAATGCGCCGTGCTAAGTGTCGCGCATTTATTATTGTATTTGAGTTTGATTAATTAGTACGGGCATGCATAGTTGTAATTAATCGTTTTTGCGAGTGCGCGTTTAATTATAATAAATTATTGTTTTCGGTAGTGAATGCCAAAAAATAGCAAGATGAGAGAAAGAAATGGTCCAGGACAGCATCAAGTGGCGGAGTTGCAACATATATATGAGGTAAATAATTTATTATTTATACAAATCCTTTCTTTAAAAAGACATGTTAACTGAGTGAATTGAATTTTAATCGAAGTATTGATAAGCCTCATCTTTTCCGCGATGCTGCGGTTAGTTGTCTCAAAGTTTGTTTCGCGGTTTGAATCGATCATAACCAAGTCGTTTGACATTTTTATTAGGAAAAATGTATTTTTGGCAAATTCTAAAGTATGAAAAATTAATACAAAATTGAAAAACAATGCGCGTGTAACGCGCGCTTTCATTGTTCAAGTTCACTAAAAAAAAGGAAAATTTTAATATCCGTGATTAATTAGTTTTTTTATTTAAATAAATTGAATAAAAGGCGCTACCTTGGACGCTACTACAATTTTTATTTTCTATGTTATAGATCAACGTAATTTGCAGTTAACTTGAATTATTTGTTGTGCATCAATCGGTGAGTAATAAATTATTATTTTATTATATGATAACGGATTTTCACAATGTGAAAATGAAAGAAACATATTACAGATAATATTTATATATTTTTACGTATATATACAACAATATTTATTTTACAAAATCTCATATAATAAAGTTATCATAACAAAATGTAAAACAAAATATATTTGTAACAATATAATGGTTATCATATATTATATATATCATACTTTCGACGTTCACGTTCATATTTGCCATAGATATTTTTATAATTCTTTTATATATCTCTCTTTGTATATATTCATAATTTCATCAAATTATTATATATTTAAAAATATTAATAGACAAAAGTACAAAGAATAATTATTCTATTTATTTTTCTTTTGGATCATTTGTTCAATATAAATAGAGAGGAATGATTAATATGAAATATAATTTACAATATTTATGTGGCATCCTTTTTTTATTTATATATTTTAATTAACAAATTGATGAAAAGAAATTATTGTGGGAAGGTATAACGTGTGGCCCATTAGCTCAGTTGGTTAGAGCGTCGTGCTAATAACGCGAAGGTCGTGGGTTCGATCCCCCCATGGGCCAAAATTTTTTGGTCCTAATGTTTTGCGATTATAATATAATTTTATTTTGAATTCAGTAATTTAACATAAAAATAAATAAATAGAATTGTTAATATACAGAATAGAAATTAATTTTTTTTATTTTTGTATGTAGAGGTTCATAGAAATCTTATAAATATCTATCATGTTCTGTAACTTTTCAATATCGTTTAATTATACAATTTTGGATTGATCGCTCTAATCATTATTCTATCAATAAAAAAATAGATCATACACATATATAAAATATAAGTAAAAATCAATAGTCACGTTGGTCTTTAAAGTTTAAAGTCTCCCTGGTACATTTGCAATGAACGTATGTTACTTAAATAATTATTGTATTTCAATATGCATTCATTATGCATTGCCATATACCCGTACATTGTCAAATAATTACGCTACATGGTACACGTTATCGTACATGTCTATGTAATATACGTCATATCTATATGCCGTACAATTACGTCAACAAAATACGCTTTCTCTTAATATGTGAGAGAGCCCTTTGGTTCACTCATATTTTGTGTATACTTAATATCCAATTCAGTAAAAACGAATGTTTTTATTAAATATAAATTATAAGTAGTTTTTTTCCGTGGAGCAACATTTCGTATTCGTTGAGTATTTGTTTCTTCATCGAAATATTGCGCACATGTTAAATGCTGATTCATGAAATAAGTATAAACAATGTGACATGATTGTAGGTTTAATCAGATTGCGCAAAAATTAAGAACTTTCTGATTGATTCAATTTTTCCTTTGATTTACATTATTCTAGTAATTTTCTTTTGTCAAAAGCAATTATTTTTATTTCTAATTATTGTGATTAAAATCAAAATTAATTCACTTTGAATAGAGATAGAAATTATAGAAATATAAAATATTTTGTATGACAAACTAATTTCAAAACGCTCAAGTGAAATTTAGATTAAATAATCAGAAAAGCAATTTATATTATTTATTCATTTGTTTACTCTCAATTGTTAAATGCTTTCAATAGATCATTTATATATATATACATATATATATATATATATATATATTTCAATAAAAATGTTCTTTTTCATTAAAATTATTTTCAAACCACAATCATTCACGATAATATAACGAATACTTTGTCGATCCCATAATAAATTTGCTTATACGTAATATAGCATAATACCCCGGGCATATATTTTACGCTAAGGCACAGAGATGTATTAAACTCTTCGCTTTTATATAACTTTTATCTATAAATCTACTTTAGAAAAATAGAATAATATATAAGTCTATACTTACAATTTATTTGCGGAGATCGCCGAAGTTAGAATAATACGATTATTCCAATTGTCATTCAAATAATTTTTGCTTTTATCACATATACATATATCTGTATATATGCATTACATTCGCACGTAATATTATGTTCTATACACAGAATTACAATGCGATAATTCTTCGTTAATTCTTTAATTTCTTTCTTTCCGAGTTTTTCTGAAATTGCACACTTCTTTGTGATGTTTCTACCATTATTTATTTTCGCATTTCCAGGACGTATATCCTAAATTTCGGGATTCTCCTCTTATTTACTTTTATTTCTCTGTCACACTTTGAAAAAGTTGAAGAGAGTAGATATGGCCATCCACGAAAACCTCATAACAGCATAGGCTAGTATAAGTTTTAATGCTTGATGGCACCAGTATAATCTGCAACATGAGTTATTTGATCAGTTAAATGATAAAGTTGTAAAATATTTTTTAGATATAATATTTTTTATTTCAAATATGATTCATAGAAAGACGCGAAAAAATTAAATTTTAAGAATATACAATATTGATTTAAACTTTTACTAATACAAAAATTTTAGGTAGGAAATGAATTAATAAAAATCAAAAAGCAAAAAGCAGGCACAACAAACTTGTTATTAAATTCTTTTTATTTAATTTGAGCATGTCCGTTCTTTAAATCATCTTCAGCAGATTAATTAACAAAAAATCCACGTACCTTGATCTACATCCTCGTCTTATGTTTCTAATAAGTCAAAGCGATCGAAGATGAGAAAAAAATAAGAAATGCATGTCATGACTTCAGCCATATACATACAAGACCATACTTAGATATGAGTATTATCTTCTATATATCGCTGAAGTCATGATCTACGCGTTTTTCGTTCTTTATTCTACATCTCATTTTCGATCACTTTGAAAAATTATTAGAGATGTAATAATGGGATGTGGATTAAAACACATGAACAAGATACGTGGATTTTTGTTAATCAATCTGCTGAAGATGATGAAAAGGAAAGATTGAAACATTTAAATTAAATAAAGAAAAATTTAAAAACAAGTTTGTTGCGCCTAATTTTTTTATGCCTGATTCTCTCTCTCTCTCTCTCTCTCTCTTATTAGCCTCTTTTTAAATTTAAATTTATATCTATCAGTTCTCTCTTTATTATATGCAAAGTGACATTTAAAGTGTTATCGAACCTATATTTGTATGAAAATTCTACAGAATATATTTTTAAAATTGTTTCAGAGGTATATATATATATATATATATATATATATATATATATAACATATATATAATTAAACATATATAGTTTCAAACTATTAAAGCAGACAGAAACTAATCAAACTTTAAATTATTTTCTGAATATCGAAATGCGGTGCTAAATATAAAGTTTCATACCTTTGCCATTTGACACGTGCCTGCGGCAGAGTGTCCAAGGGATCCTTAATGAGATAAATCCTTATTCCGCGAATATATGTCTCGAAATAAACGTTCCAATCAATATCTCGTATATCGCAGAAGAAATTTTCGCGATCTTTGGACGTGAGCTTCGCCATTAGCGCATGCAATCGGTCATTAGTAAATTTCCACTCTTGCGTAGCGAAGTAATTCAAGACGTCCATAAATTTATGTATCTTTTTATAAACCTTAAGTAACCTTCAACATGCATACACACATAATTATAAAATCATTAATGTAAAAGTAGCAAGTTTAGAAATAGTTTGCTTTTCTATAATTATTCTATGCCTTAAATTATTTTAAATGGTGTCTGTGTATATACATATTTAATTCTATTATTAATTAAAAACAAAGAGTATTTTTTTTTTTTAAATTATATATAAATTTTTTTTAAAAATACGCTGTTTACATTATTAGCATAAATGCTTTTAATTTGCATATTTTTCTTGAAAAAGTATGTTCATGTATATGTATGTAAAGTTTTTATGTAAAGTGTCTGATTATATTACCTCGGCTGTCTTCCCATGCAGACAGTCGCAGTATCGATCAACAAAGCCGGGAATAAGTGCCAAAAATACACAAAGAATAGATGGACTATCTTATGTTTATTGTTTCTGAAGCTGTAATACCAAATTGCTCTGGTCGAGGGAATATCGAGACCATACTTCGCCGACATTTCCTTCAATTGATCATAAGTTATCGGATTGTCGCTGGACACATAATTATAAATCGGAATGTCGGAATGCGATTTGTTGTTCGATCTGAAACGGTGATGCAATATTATGATGACATTTCCATGTTTACAAATACCTCGTAAAATTTAAAGAATTTTAATGATAACTTCTCTGCACATAATATATCTATATATTGCAATTGAAATAATTAAATACTATGTCTTGAATTAAAATTTCTCGCATGCTAATAATATAAAAATATAAAAAATTTCGCATTATATTTTTAAACGTATATATTTTTGTGTTTAATTCCTGATTAATATTTGATATACGTCATACGTGATGCCATATTGCATCGATAAAAGATAAAAAGAGATAGAAGAGATAAGAAAGTAAAAAGAATAAAAATAAAAGAAGAGAGAAAAGGCGAGAGATGATATTACCTTTGTATGTTTGCTACATCCCACGCACACGCGATTAGAGCGTTAACAGTTAAATCGGCAGGTACCACATTTGCATGAACCGAGCCATCACAATGGATTGATCGCAACAATCCAGTTCCTGCACCAGCAGCAACTCCCGTAGGACCATATAAATTATCGATCCAACCCCGCACTGGTTCCAAATATGTTGAGATTACTAGGAACAAAATGTCGAATGTTACATATATTTATGAATTTAATTATAATTAATAATAAGTGCTTTCCATTTACTATTATTAAATTATTTAAATAATAAAAATAATTAATTGCAAGATATTTAGTAGTACTATTCAATTAGCAATGCACAAGTCGACACAAACGTCTTTGTTCTATATTTTATCAGAATAAAAAAAGAATGACACTTGTGTCGACTTGTATTGCTAAATAGAAAGCAACAAATATCTTGCAATTAATTATTTTCATTCTTTGAATAATTTAATAATAAAATTTGTATTTTGTATATGTAGAAAAATCTCGAGATTCTTCTTAAAATTTTGTGTCAAATTTAAATTTAACGTACTGCTTAAATACTTTAATATAGTTTCGAATAGTGTTATTATGAATAAATGATAATTTATGCTAACCAATGGCAGGACGAAAAATGCCAATCGGCAAGTCGCCAGCCTGTTTTCTAATCACATTCTCAGCAACTGCCTTTGTGTAAGCATAGGTGTTCGGCCATTTTCCTAATAATCTGTAAATAGTGAGACATATGTTTTTCTTTTCGCACGTTCTTTCTTTTATAAGTGCTAAGAATTCAAATAAAGAAAAGTCTACGTACTGTGGAGTGATGTCTTCAGCCAACTTATCTTCCACACATTCCATAAGCGCAATTAGTTTGTCAGAGTCCATTGGCGGGTCATAAAACTTCTCCTCGATCACGCTTTGCGGACAATTTGCGTACGCAGTCGACACGTGCACAAAAGACTGAGGAAATTGCATAAAATAATAATGGTGCCGCTTAAGTTAAACACACGAAGGCTTACATGAGCAATCGTACATTTAGTATGTCAAGAAACCTGGCTAATAATAAATTCTGTTATTTAAATTCGTGTGAATCAAGTGTGTGAACATCGTATATTTTCAGCGGAAAAAACTTATTCAAGATTTGACAAGTAATAAAACGAGTCAGATAATGTTTTATGCATAGAAAAATTGTCGCGTAATTTTATCGTTTTATTTGTTTTTGTACATTTGAATACCTTGAGATTCGGGATTTCCTTGCAAAGATTCAAAACGTCTCTCGTGCTTCTAACATTGATGGGTACCGCTAGTTTCAACTTCTCATCGAATCTGACCGTAGCCGCGACGTGAAAGACGATTGAAACCTCTCGAATGATAGTGGCCCGATTTTGCGGGGATATTCCAAGATTCGGTTGACTGCAATCTCCCGCTATAGCGACGATTTGATGCCGAAACTTTGGCTGCTCGTCCCTAAGTTTTTAAATAACTAAGCAAAAGGGAATAATAATTTATTAATAATTTGTTAAATTAAAAACGATGTTTGTTGTCTTGTTATTATTAATGTTCTCATATCTTAGTATATGATACTAAACATATATATATGTATTTTTAATTTGAAAAAGGGATTAAATAAAAATACAAAAATTACAAAAACAAATTATAATTAAGCAAAATTAATAACGAATTGTAATTAATAAAATCGTTGAAAGAGACTAAATGTAGCGTTGACGTCAATGTCGACTGTTTATTGCTGACGTGCGATGCACGTATTATTTCGGCAAATATAATATACATATAACGTACATATATGTCATGCATAAACAGATATGAAGATATTAAATTGTGTGTATGCGATCCGTTGCATCCAATTATTATTTACTTAAATATTTTGAATCGAAATTTTAGAAATTTTTGAATCAAACTCTAGAAGATTAATTATAAAAAAGATAGAAAACTAAGTTGAAAGATGAAATAAGGTTCAAGTTAGGATCTGTCTGCAATATCTAAGACTTACCGCGTCATCAAAGATCTCTTCGGTGCGTTGATGCACGTCTTTGCCCTTCTTCGGGCGCACCAATAGATAGATCGAGGCCACTCCGGGACACGTCCTGAGCAGCTTCTCAATCAGCAGCTTGCCCATGAAACCGGTACCGCCGGTGATAAAGATGCTCTGGCCGTAGTAGAACTCCTGAATCGGCGACAGCTTTTCGTTGATCGCTGTCGAATTCTCCGTTGGCGAACATTTCGTCGGTGACTCTGGTATGCAATTCGAGTCAACGACGGCCACCTCCTGGCCATCGATACGATCCAAAAGCACCTCCACCATCGCTTCTCCGGGCTTGCACCTGCAACGACGAGAATCGTGTCTCTTCACCGGACCGATTGTTTCTAATTCGTATTCGCAGCTCAACGCGTTACGAGCCGCGTTGTGTCGAATTTAAAAGGTGACTGCCTTTTTTGCGAGCCTTTCGCCGTCTATCCGATCGATTAGCCGATTGGTGTTGCGTCGCGTCGCGTTTCGCCTCGCTTATTATCACCTGTACGTGAACGAAAGGAGATTCGCGAACCCCAGTATCGTTTATGTGACACTTATGAGATAGATACGTGATGAAAGAAGATCAATATTGCGATCTTGTCGCCACGTAGAATCACATTTTCTCGTGTATGTTCAAAGAATTTTTTTTATTTAATTAATCTTTGCAAAAGGTGAGAGATATTTGTCGATTATTATATTGCATATGCACAAGATTGATATTGTGATTTATTCATAGTGTAAGATTGCATCTCTCATAAAAATATTTAAAAGATTTTATTTTGTATGATTGGTTAATTTTTTAATTTATTTTAACTTTTTTGAAGATAAAATGTGTTTATTTATTCTTTATCTGTATGTATTTACTACATCCTTTCTTTAATTTTGAAATAAATTTTTTAATAGATGAAAAATAAAATAAAATAAGAGATAAAGATATTCTTTGAACATTATTCACAGATATATATGTGTAGTTTGTTTTGCATATTATTTTAATTTTTATGATAGCCACATGGAAATTTCGACATGGTAGATATTTGGCCATATATTACAAAAAATTTGCGATACACATTTTTTGCGAATTATCTTAATTTATATTATATTATATCCACATCCTATTTTCAATTCAAACCACACGTATCTATTTTTTCATTTTACTGTCACATATATCCACGTAAAAATATTTTTTGCAAATTATCTTAATTTACATTATATTATATCCACATCCTATTTTCGATTCAAACCAAACGTATCTATTTTTCCATTTTACTTTGTCACATATATATCCACGCAAAAATATTTTTATGTGGATATATGTGACAATATATATAATAGGATGTGGATATAATATAATGTAAATTAAGATAATTCGCAAAAAATGTGTATCGAAATTTTTTGTAATATATGGCCAAATATCTATCATGTCGAAATTTCCCAAAGATATATATTAATTTCGAAATAAACTGAATTGTTTATTATAGAAGAAAAAAATTGAGCATATTCCAAGATATATATATATATCTTGGAATATGCTTAATTTTTTTTCTTCTATAATAAACAATTCAGTTTATTTCGAAATTAATATATATCTTTGGGTATTTTCTGATAATATCGCCATTCAGAATAACTTAAATATATTCATTAATTATAAAGACAATCTTTTAAAATTGATTGCTTAAAAATTTTTGGTTAATTTGCTTTTAGCATACGAGTTGAATTTCTTGAAAAGTCTTAATGAGCATATATTATAAATATATATATATATATATATATTTGGGAATTTTCTGATAATATCGCCATTCAGAATAACTTAAATATATTCATTGATCACGAAGACAATCTTTTTTGCTTGCTTAAAATTTTTTGTTAATTTGCTTTTAGAATACGAGTTGAAATTCTTGAAAAAGTCTGAATGAGCAGAAATCTTATTGTTTCGCTGTATAACTCTTATGCAAGCCATCGATATTTCATTCTTCGAATGCACACTTCGTTGGTTAAAGAAAAACAAATATTGCATAGGTGTCTACACCACAAAGAAATAACGATACCAACATACTTCTTTGTTCGGAGAACGTCCCGTTAAGAGAATACACATCATTTTTTAAATATCATGCCGGATGAAAAAAAAAAGCAAATATATCCTCTTCGCTATGAAGGACACCATTCTTCAAAGCGAATCCTACTAACATGAATCTTGTTCATACGTTACGTAGGACGTAACGTTTGAACAAGATTCATATACCTCGCATGCTCTCGTCAAGCGACAATACATTTACGCCGTATGTACATTCTGTCTCCTCGTCGGAGTGATATTTACCAAAACGCCTTTTTTTAAAGAGCTCTTTCCAATACGTAGGTACGCAAAAGCGTACACAAAGTCGGTTAAGTTGTCAAGTTGTTACCAATAATGCAGTTTCCACGCAGTTACATGTTATCCGTGATCAGTGTTCGTTAAACGAGCGTGAATGTTTGTTACGCGTGAAAAATTAACGCACGAAGCGTGCATGAAACGCAAAAGAGCGTCGTTCTTTGTTTAACAAAGAAGTTTCGCGCGCTCATTCCTCGCACGAAGATAGGCTTTTGCTTTCAGATAGAGATAGAAAAATCACTCTGCTTGTACCATTAATCTCTCATTCAGTCGGTTCTTTTTCTTTCTTTTTTCTTCTTCAACAGCTTTCAGTTTCTTGTTTTCATGATACCGTCCACATTCGTTCCTCGCGTGAATAATGCATAACCGAAGCGCGGGACGTTCTCTGCGACGATAACTAGAATATTTTCCATGTTGAAAAAATTTCATTAAAATAAAAAAAATTTAGTCGGGAAAAAGAGAAAAAATTGAAAAGAAGAAAGTATTTCTTTTATCTTTCAGATGTTAATATCTTCACAGAAAAAAAGGAATCCTTGATTCAAGTATATTTTTATTCTTGAACGCTATTTGATTGATTTAAGCACAGAATGCTCTTTGTAATCACAAATTTTCATTTGTCTTAATAATAAATAAGTTTGTGTAAAGTATATTTTATCCTTAAGATATATTCTTGTTTTAAAAATCGCATATGGTAAAAACAAACTTAGTCACATTTGAACTAAGAATTATTATATATATTTGAAAGTACCGCTTATATCCGATGCACACTTGTCACTTGTCCCCTCAATATTTATAAGTAAATTTCAGCTTGAACCAAGAATATTTTGCACTTTGTTTTAAGGATAAATTATCCTTTATCCAAAATTATTTATATTTGGTGCTATTATAAGGATAAAATATACTTGAATCAAGGCATATTTGCATTCTCTCAAGGATACTGTTTTTTCTGTGTAGATTTTATAAGGATATAGATATTATAAAAATAAAATATTGATCAAGGCATATTTGCATTCTTTCAAGAATTCTGTTTTTTCTGTGTTGTTGTGTCTGCGTCTTTCTCTAAATCGCTATTATAAGGATAAAATATAGATTTTATAAGGATATAGATATTATAAGGATAAAATATTAATCAAGGCATATTTGCATTCTTTCAAGAATACTGTTTTTTCTGTGTTGTTGTGTCTGCGTCTTTCTCTAAATCGCTATTCAAATAACTGCCCAGACAGCACCAAGCCCAAAATTGGCGCATAAGATATCATTAAAAAATGCTGCAATGCATGCAAAAAATGCAAAGCTTAAAACAGCTTTAATTAAAAAATCTTATGATATATGATATCCGAAAGACATCTTAAACATATTTTAAAGATATCTTATGCGCCGATTTTGCATTTGGTGCTGTCTGGGTGTTATTTTTTCCGGATTTTTATTCTTTTCACGAAGAATCATATTTTCTTCTGTATGTTTCGAATAAAATTTAATTTTTTTATATAATACATACATATATATAGGTATATATATATATATATATATATATACATATATATAAATCTATCATCTATAAATATGAAGCATAAAGAAAATACACCTCGTAACACAAAATATGAATAAATAAAATACATATGAAATAATGAATGAATATAGTAAGCTAATGAGTCAAGTGCGAGAAATCACGTCATGTATCACATGTTTAAAAGCGAGAAAATCACACAATAATTGCTCAGTTTCAGAATAACAGCGTAGATTTATGTTGAAAAGAGAGAGGTAATTTGCCAAAACCTTTCATACTCGTTCTACGTCACAAACCATTTCACTTTATAAGAAAACCGTAATCGTGACATAACAGTTAAGGATTGTGCAATGTTTGGAATGAATTGAATATTTCATATCAGCACATTAAACTTCTTATACGACGTTTGTCGTTCACTCGCTGCGCATTAAATTTATCATACAAATTGTTAAGAGATTTTAATTGTTTTGGAGATTTTAATTTCTAAAAATTTTGCAAGTACGTGAAAATTAGAGAAAGAATCACGAAGAAAAAATAAAAAAAATAAAATACAGGAATTATATCATGAACAGTTATCTAATACGATAAATGTGTGCTAATTAATTAGTGATAATTAATTTGAAAGCATCAATGACGTTGGCCAACGTAAAAGTAGAAAACTATTTAAATATCGTTACTTCGTGAATGTGTTTCAAAAAAACTGTTTCTGCTTTTACTTTCTGCTTCTACTTAAGCACGTTTCACTTTCATTTCGTGGCAATTAACATAAAATATATTCCATCATCTCGGCGATATATGGAAATGTGCATTATAAATTATAATATTGCTATATTGTTATATAACAATGTCGTTACATTGCTTGATTAATCCCTGAGCGTATTAATTAAAAATATATTAATTGATTCAACGTCTAGCAATTAGTTATAATAAGCGAGTCAAAAGTAGGCAACCCGCCATGCGAGTCGTTACGCATACCAGAAGCGACTTGGTGAAAGTCGATCGTGAACTTCGAGCGTTCCTTCCTACGAAATAAAATTCTGAACAGACAGTCGTCTTTAACAACGATCGAGTCGCATAGATGTAATGATGAAATGAAAAGAAAGCTCAAGTATACGGGCGCAGGAACGTTTGAAACGAGTAAACTAAGAGAAATTCTGAAAGAAAGATTCTCAAAATCTTTTTTTTATATTATTAGATATCGCATATAAATATAAATTGAAATATATATGGATGTACGTAAATATATGTAAACTTGCAGACGAATAAAAGTGTACGAGAAATCGTCTATTGCATGTAAAATTGATTAAAAAAGAATATAATATAGCCACATATCAGACTATTTTTATCTCGATGTATAAATTATGTTCTTTTTTTAATCAGTTTTACATGTAATAAATTATTTCTCGTACACTTTTATTTATCTTCAAGTTTACATAAT